CCCGCCGGAGGGCCGATCGTCTCGACGCGCCAATCTTCCTGCCACTCGTGTGCCTGTGGTTGCGTGCACTCGGCTTTTCTTTCGAATTTATCACGGTGCCCACCCCCCGAAGATGCGTTATTTCATTTCTGCTAAACATTCCGCCAATTGTAACTCGACAAGGCGATTACACCTAGAAAACCGAGAAAACTGTTATCAAGTAAAGTTCTAGGCGGATCAACGATGATCATAAAATTGTTACACGCTCCGCGTTCGCTCCTGATTTAAGATTTTCCACTGTTTCCACGGTGGTGCCGGAGGTTAAGAGGACATCGTCGGACCACGTAGCCGCAAAATCTTGAAGAGCGATCCGTGAGCAGGCTCTCCCGTGGTACAGGCATTAATCCAGAAGGTTCTTCGTAGCATCCCCCAGGAGTCTCCCCACTTGTCGAGGAGACGTCGACGAGGCGATGGAGGGGATCCGGTGGCGAGGGTAAAGTGGTCGTGAAACGGGCTGAGTGCGGGCAGGGGACGTCGGGTATGCATGGTAGGGGCAAGAGAGGACCTTGGCCTTTTCGCGGGGCAAAAATAAAACCTGTTGACACCGAAGCCCCACGGACGCAAAAGAACCTCTCTCTCTCTCCCCCTTGCTCTCCCTTTGCACCCCTCTTTTTATCTCCCTTCTTCAAAGTCTCAGTTTCGAATCTCTTAAATAACGTGCTCGTCCTCCTAAATGGGGTGCAATTTCAAAATTTATCCGTGCAAGTCTAACCCAACAACAGTGTCTGCAGGGATCTCACTAGGACTCGGATTCTCACCCAATTCAGGGCCCAAAGCTAGTTACCTGCGCCAACAGCTTTCATTTTATTCTAACCCTTTTATCATTTCACTACTACTATACTACAGATCAACTATTTTCTAATGGTTTAATTATTCTTAATTTTTATTACCTTGCTATTCTATCTCACTCTTCATGCTGTGTATTATTTTACCTTTATAAGCTGCAATTTCCCTCAGAAAAATCCTAGAATGTAGACTATACCTCTCAAATACGAGCGCTCGCAGGCTAGCTATCCACCGGAGAGATGCCGTCAGACCCTGATGGGGATACAGACGGAACCAGATGCATTCAACCGGTATTGCTGCACAACTCGTGTGCACGTATTTGGCCGTACACGATGTCGGTACGCCCTGCAACACGAATTTTCTAACAAGTCGACCGTACCACTTACAACGGAGCAGGCCAATATGTTGCACATCAAAGAAGCTGAACAACGACGCTTAATTCGTAAGCAGGAGAATGAACAACGTGTTGGAAGAGCAACGTGTAGCAACTGAAAATGGTCAAGAGGAATGTTTATAGCTGTGGGCCGACACGCGATGAATTCAGCATGAGGGGCACATAAAAACGCGGGGGCGTTCACGCATCAACGGTAACGACGTGTGACGAGAGCGTTTCACTCTTTCCCTGCGATTTGCAGTTCTAAAAATTTCTCATACTACTTTCTAAATTAGAGATTCCTACATTAGGTAAACTCTGCAAATAGCGAAACCTTGTACATAACCGTTTCCCTGAGTATAGTGGTACAGCAACGTCCGTCAGCACAGGGGTCTCGAGCATGCACCTTGGCGCGACTAGACGAGCCAGAGACAACGAGAAGCGGCCTTCGACAACCTCAACCTAGCTACAGACGTGTGGCTGTTCGTGTGTGCACGTGCTCTCCACGTACGCGTTTCAGCGCGGAAAAAAGCGATGCAGAACACCGTCTCGAGGCACCAGTCGAGTCATAAATTGTAAATCGTGCTTCCTATTTTAAAACGGAGATCACGTAAAATCCTCGGCAACTTCATAGTCACGATCATGAATCGAATTTCCATCTCATTTTCTATGCGGCGTCTCGGTTGCTTCGGATATGGATTTTAATTGTTGACTTCTGTGATGTTGGTTCATGAATGATACGATTATGAGTATTCATTGACTGGGAAAAGTGGTAAACAATGACGAAGAACGGAAACGTGGTATGCACCTGTCCAGCACACAGGAAGCAGGGTTGAAAAATGCGATTCTTTTGCAAAGTTGAACGATTCGCGAGAGAAAAGGACACGCACACCTGCGTAAACTACGATGCAGGTGTACTCGTGTGCACTTCACACGCACACCGTTGTACTCCTTTGTGAGCCTCCACTGAGGTAGAATAATTCACTTTTTCTCGGCTAGACAGAGCAGAGACGGTAGATGTCTATACTGGAATCAAGCTCGATAGAACTCATTCCAGGAATAACTAAGAGCGATGTTTAACCGTAACGACGAAATTAAAAGCTTCGGATTGTTGAATAGGGAAAAGGATCCTCTGCCAGTGAAGTGTTACTTTGAGAACGTATGAGCTTTGGAATAACAATGCAAACGGGTTTCGCCCGATAATGCAATGCCGAAAAGAAGGTCAATGGAAAAGTTGCAACGACAAAAGCAGTGGTGCAACGTACCGGCGTCGACCATCGAGAGGGGAAATGTATAAAGAGTGGGTCGGACTAAAAGGCCATATCGGAAAAATTCTCATTTAGCCCCTGGCCAATGAAAGACCAGGTGGATCCTCGTGAAAAACAGGGCCACGCCTGTCAACTTCGGGAGACCTTAGAAAACAGGCCAATGGAGAAGGGCTCGAATACATCTGCATCCGGGAATTAAGACGTATCGAGCCACTGCACAAAACTGAAAGTACAGTACATTAGCTTATAAAATATTTCGAACGCTTATAATATTTAAAACAGATGCTTCTCGAAATTAAATTTCAAACTTCAAGCACTGTAGGCTGTGAAATTTTTGAAGCTAATGTTTCAAGCTCGAAATGTCTCAAACTTGATACGATCCAAGTTTGGAACATTTCAAAAACTTCCACGCAGCTTTGAGAAGCTGGCGACCATGGAAGACAGAAAAAAGAATAATACCTTGACGTACAACTATCGGTAGAAATCTTCAAAGGCCTCCGCCCAAAGGAAAATCCAGAGAACAAGGATTGGCGATGACAGGAAGGTAGCAAAATGTTCGAGACAAACGGGTAATCGGAAAGAAGCAGCCAGGTAATGTGTTCTGAAAGCAGTAATAAAATATCAGGCTACAAATGCTCGTACACGTTCGCAGTTAAAGGAGAAGAAATGTGCCGTCTATAAAAATGGTCGAGATAAAGAGAACGGTGAAGACAAAGAGAAACTGAAAAGGAACAGACGGGAGGGAGAGGAAGAAAAGGGAGAGAGAAAACCTTGGCCCACAGGCCTACTGCAGCGCTGCAGCTTGCTTGCACTCTGGCTCTGCCACTCTACCATTCATGTGGGAAACACCCTAGTATCCACCGTGGGGTTGGGCCAACAACCGCTGGAAAAATTTCTCTTTCGATGCACTGCAACGGCCCCGCCCCGAACATCGCCAAAGGGGAAGAAAAGTTTCAGTGGAACGATGCTGGATGGCCAGACATAGACAACTGCAATGTCTACCGAAACCTGCCTCTTGAAGATGGTTCCGTGGAAAACGCCCGAAAATTCCCATTCCGGAATATTCGAAACCTAATGAAAACGTAGCAACAATGGAATAGGGGGTGTTCATATACTTTCGTGTGTCAAGTATTTAAATACTTACAATAAATCAATGTTAACATCGAATAATTCTAAGCAATCGATAAGTCCTCTTTGATTGATCCTCGATTGAAAAAATGTAATGGCGTATAACGAACATTTTGGCGGGCTGTAAAAAATTGCCGCCAGAGGGCCAGCGCGGGTGTAAGATAAATACTTGTGAATCACGTTTACTAAATTATTTTGAGAATATATACTGCTTTCTTTATTTTATTTTTATACTGCTTTTTATTATTTTATTTCGTTAGAAGAAAATGGTATTACCTTCTCGAGATAGGTACAACAGATAATACCCATGATGCATGCAGTGCGAATGGTTACGTACGCATTTATTGACACTGAGATTCGCCACATGACTTTGATCTGCGATTCGTGATCTTGCACGCCTAACCTAGGCCACTCGATCTTCTCTTTTTTCTGTAACCTCGCATGACCGAATAGGCTGATAATATTCTGCACATTTAAATTTCTTCGACGCTATTCCTTGCACGCGAATAAATACGAGAAACGGAGATGACGGGAAGAAGATCGATAAATGTATCGATTTTTAGTAACACCAGCGACATCTCGATTATTTTGGAGGGAATGATACATTTGATTTTCGATAAAATTGTAAGGGAGGAAAAGTACTCGAATGGTTAGAATATGTATGATCAAAACCGGATATGAAGATAAATATTCAAGTATCTGAATTCAAGTTTTCTTTTGTGATTACTCAGATACGAAACTTTTCTTGTAGTATTTTTTTTTAATTCCACTCGAGCTTACTCTTATCTACTAGTGATAAAAATTTGCTGTAGAACAGTAAAATGGCAACAACGATTGTAATTCTGACCTATAGTCAAGCAGTTAGCAAACAGCTGGTATTTTTTAGCACTATTACTGAATATACGTTCGAGTCTTCAATCGCAAAAAGTCACGATTATCGATATTTTGCAAAAGTCAAAATCGATCGTATCTTCTAATCGACGTACGGTTAGTTTCGGTTACTGAATCGAGATAAAGTTCTAGAAGTTCGAACTGTCAAAATCGCTGGCTATCGATACTCGAATTACTTTACTTCCATATCTCGAAATACGTTACTAACTACGTTCTAACTGATAAAGATATTAATATAAATAAATTCATATTGTTAATACAGTTTAAATATTATTTAACGTCACATGGTGTTAATTTTTCATCAGTCACTTTCAGAATTAATTCACGAGTTATATACTGAACTTGATCTTGTTCTTGGTCGTCATTCATCAAGAACATGTGCCAGAGAATTGTGTAGCGCAAGAAACAGCGAAAGTGTGAATTCTAATATTTACCTCCTAATGAATCCGTTCGAAACAGGAACATCGCCGCATCCTAGGGATTTCTGCTGAACGTAGAAATTCATGAAGAAGAAAAACAGCGGGAGTAAAGAACGTGGTAATGTATGTAAGTATATATCCTATATTTATCGGACACCGTTCGTTTGTACGTCAGGTCGCCGCTCCCTGAGAGATCACTGCCCTCACGCACACCCGGTGTCTTTTCTCGTTCCTTTGGCCGATCGACGTCGGGTGTCCCTCTGCTCCGACGACGGGGGCCAGGGATGTATCGCGAAATTGACGGACCCGTCGCGAATAACCCGCCGCGCGAAACATCTCAATTCCAAATCGTTTAATGAATACACTTCGTAGCAATTGCACAATTTCCGTTTTATCGCAAACATCTCTCTAAAAACGAGAGAAGGTACACACGAAATCGGAACGAGAAAAAATTTATCGAGGTAGTGATGGGATTGATTAAAAAATATCTTAATCAATGAAGATAGACTGGATTAATTTTTTACGAATTACTTAACTGGAATATAGAATAAATGGAAAAATACTGCCACTATTGTAATTATCTTTGAACCATGGAACTGGAATATATTTTTCGAAATGTGATTACGAAGAGAACAGTCGATAAGAACATGTCTAATTGTAGTTGACAAGGAAATATATTTTTTTTAAATGTTAAGTATCGTTCGTCGAGATATCGTTCCCATCACTACTCTATTAACTTCCCTTCCTCGAATCTGAATTTCGAGACTATCGAGCTGTCTCGATGATCCGGCGACGAATAACCACCAAATGTAACGATCACTCGCGAACTTCCTTCGTGAACGGTTGAAAATAATTTCGAAAAATCAACCACGATCTCGAACGATACACGAGGAACTTTTTATCGTAAACGGTTGGATTTATGTTTTGACGTAGTGCACTAATCCGTTCGCGAGTTAAATTTGCCCGGTAATTGTATTTGTTGCACGCGCACTGTGTCTCACATGGGTGCTTGTTCTGCGTGTCCTCGCGAATTCGCGGCACACGGACTGCTACTTCCCGATTGCAAAAACCCCTTCTTTCCGCGCACAGAAAGACTGAGGGATCTAGAAACCCTACCCCCCAGGGCACGCGTACGTGTATGCGAGTTTGCACGTCTAGCGCACACCACGATAAACGCGACACGTATGTACAAAGGGGAAACGACGTGCAGGAGCCGGCAACCAGACAACCATTCCCATTCTCTTGATAGAACGCGTGGCAACTAGTCGAATGAGCGCAAAGTCGCCATCTGTATCGCGATTCTGGCATTATGATTTTCGCAAATTGACCGGCAAATGCAATCACGTCCCTGATCAAACGAAATGCGCATGCGCACGCGTGCGTTGGAAATTCAAACATTCTTGATCTGCCGCGAATTTTAAACAGGTACGTGGTTTATTAATACACACTATCTTCTGCCATTCATCCTAATAGTGTAAATGTTGGAACCTTGATATAATTTCTAATTAAATCTGAAATGTTCTAAAATGGATAGTATCTTTGGTCTTAATAGGTATGTATGATTGTCTTACTAACCTAAAGGTTATTTTCACTATACATTGAAATAAGAGTGGTATACCAGAATAATATTATTTTACCTATATTATGTTAATTTAGATTAGATCTACTTATATTCGATAAAGGTTAGATCATTAACCATCGGAGAAGACAGGCTTAACTATTAATACTTTTATACAACAGAAACGCGTATTGAACATGACACGTAGTAATATAACATAAAGTATTAAGATAGGTCAATCAGGCTCAGTGCAAATAAACATCATTCACCGGAATGGAGTAAGTTGCATATTATAAGTAATGAAATTATTTATGCAATGTATCTACTGTTTCAAAATACCGGAACTAACCCGCGCTTTTTTCAGGACTGACAAATCACATGTGTCAAATATTCTGATTGGTTAACGTTACATCACAATATGGCTTCCTGTAACGTTCTTTTACGATTGAACGATCATCGGCTTAGTTGAAATCAGTAAGAAACTTTGCATCGACACATAATCTATTGATACGAATAAGCTTTGTTGTTTTTGAAGAATTTATTTAATCAAGCATGTTATTTAAGACCGATTCGTATTTCCATAAAAGACAACGCTGCAAATCCATAATTCCCACCGATATTATGTCCCATTTTAGTTGGACAGTACATATTTTATTCGATGATAAAAACCTAGGATCATTGGTTGATGGTCTTCCAGGTAACTGTCTGATACAATCGATTTATTAACATTGATATCTTTGTTTTTCAGCAGAGGAAAACGGAGATCGTACGACGCTTGATATAAGAAAGAAAAATATTTCAGCTGTTCGGATTTTTCCCTTAATCTTTGTTATTTTTATTGGTATGTAATACGTATAATAATATATATTTATATATATTATATTCGTCAATATCGAATATATTAATATCTTATCAGTTTTCTCTTTCCATAAATTAAATAAATAACTCTTGACTGTGACATTATTAAACAAAATATTTTACAAAAGTAAATAGCTGTAGATTGCCAGGTGTTCAATGAAGGGTGAGATAGATGTTACTATATCGTCTATTCAAAAGTAACTAGACATCCGAAGCGTTTTACCCCGTATACGTGATCTTTGGCGAAGTCATGATTACTCTTCCTGGTTTATTTCTTTTCAGATATCAAAGTACATGCATATTCTTCGTACAATACGCGACGCAATGAAATCTATCTGGCAAAATCTAAAAATTCGTTCCATAAAAAGAAGAGGAGGCAGAAAAAGATATATATAAAAAATCAATGAATGATACAATAATTCAAGATAACGATATTAGTTGGCCGAAATTCTAGTTCCCAAGCCTTTTGTATGTATCCAGAGTGGTAATTAATATCTGCTTATATCCACGGCTCTATTTAATATTCTCCCTTTGATAAAAATGCACTAAAACGTCTCATATCTAAAAAAGCCGAAGGGAGGAGTTCCTCACACCATGGAATTTCTCTAACCTTGCAGAAAAACAAACGTTACTTGCTCGAAGGGTACATGATTATCGCCAATGTCACACAATACACATTCCGTTCGGTCGTCGAATACGACCCTCTACTTGTCGTTCAGTGTTTAGTCGCTTTTCAATACCGGTACGATAAAGTACACTGTTTTTTATACTATGCTGGACTGAGGTATCAAGAGGCAAGATGGTCGTTCGCTCTAGGCATGGCGTAAGGTTACAAGTGAGAGCTGTGAGGCTGCTGTTCGTAAAACAGTACGTAGGCTTCGCTGGAAACGACCGATCGCGCTGGAACTACGGACACCCGGCTGTCATTGTACTCGTGCCACTCTCCTGAGTAAGGATGCTTGCAATACGCCGTGTAATGGCCAGAGTACGTTGTACCCGAATGATTCGCGACACCGTACAAGTTATATGTACAGCCCGGAACTCTGGGAGCGGCAAAGGCACTGAGATCCAAACCCGTCAATGGAAAATCTACCATTACGTTTAGCTTGCCGCGATATCGTTCCATAGGAGAGAAACGTTTTAAATCTGATATGTTTCTGTTAAGGGAGATACAATATTTGGGACGTTTAACCAAAATAATTGAAGTCCATTTCTGTTTTTAGGTATTTCGCTTTTGAAAAGGATACGGATAACGAGAATCTTCGGAAACTTTTGTATACTGAAGCTTTTGGTACACTTCCTCCTCATTTGACACTTGGAACAGGTTGGTTTTTCATCGCCATCCAAAACTTCTTCTCGCGTGAAATGTTCTAAACACTGACTTAGTTTGACCGTGCCATTTCTGGCAGGTATCGGCAAACTCAAATCCCAGAATGGATCCAACGTTACCGACACATGGTCACAGGAGGTGCAGCGCAACGACGAGCGTAATTGACCGACAAATACATCCACTATCATACTGTCTTCGCTACGAAGATAACGTTTCCAACTTTCTACAGCTTTCTGGCTGTCCCTGTATAAGAAAGCTTTATCAATTACACGAATTCAGTTATGAAAACGAAGAGGGATATTAAGATCTACTCACGTGAACATCTCAGGAATATCTGTGTGTATCGGTTGTGGCTTTATCGTCACCCTGTTCACATCTTCGTGCAACCCTTCCAGCAAGTATCTGAGAAATTCTTGAGCATCTTGTTGACTATATCCCATGAAACGTGGTGCAAATCTCTGAATTTGAGATTTGAGCGCCGTCGTGTTCACCACGTGGTCACCGCCCACCTCCCACAGCTCGTGAATCACCTGGCTGAACGCCTTGATGAGGGCACCCTTCATACTGGACGTGGCAGTATTTATGTCCGCCAAGTACTGCTCGTTCAGCAAGTATTCCAGCAGAGGTCTTGTGTTGCTGAGACATTGGATTACGCTGTTCATAAAACACTGTAAAAAATTCATAAGCAAGTGTTAACGCTGGTTAACTATTTTTTAACCAAGCTAGGTGACAGTACCGTAAGTATTAAAAGAATTCTCTTATTATCGAACAAATTTAATTAAAATGAATATTTTACAGATTTAAAAAAAAGCGCGAAGCTTTTCGCAAGATCTCTTCGCTTGGTTTTAAAGTGTGATTGCTAGGTGCTAAAATTCATACATATGTAAATAGAAGATATACAAATGAGGGGAAAGTCAATAAGAAAAAAGCGATAAGCTAAACGTGAGAAAGTATCGAAGGTGGGACACATCAGCGAATGGTGAAATTCGTCATTTATTATATAATAGAAATGAATGTTGTATGGGGGCCTTATAGTCCGCGGACCGAAATGGCTACCTCTACCGTCCGTGAATAGATCCGTCATTACCGACAGTACTGCTTCCTAGCATATTCCTAGATATATTTATTAATAACTATGACTCACTGTATTTCCAATATTCCGTAATCCGTTTAGTCCGCATCGTTCATCACGATGCGCCTGTAGCCGATTACGTGCTGATTTGTTTGTCGGGCTTCCTTCCTATAAATACAAAACATTACTTTTTTCGCCATTCTAATGTTAATAGAATTTTTTAGAGTAACTAAATCTCTACAGGGAGCAAAAACTGTCAAATACTGTCGCGTTCTCTGTTCTAAAGCACGACAAGTTATTTCTTCGATGGTGGCGGTCTTGTAGCTTGCGGTACGAACAGCATCACACACCACGAATACGTACACACACGCACACACCACGAAGTCGATATCACAGGGAATACATCGTACTACATGAACGAGTCGTTAGTTATAAGATTACACGACACTGATATTAGTGGACGGCGATATTAAAAAAAAGAAATTCCACACAGTACGTACACTTCTCGTTGCGTTCGACCTCAGCGTATGGATCGTTCCAAACAGAAAGTATGCCCAACACAATATATTGAGAAAAGGGAAGACAGTGTAAATATCTAAGGCATCGAACAGTCGAGAAAGGGAAGCCGTGTATAACGTCAACGTCATTGCGTGTATGGGAACACGTATCGCTCTTTCTTTCTATATATACAGGCCTCAACAATTCTCCTAGAGCACTCACCTTCCCGCAACTGGCTGGAGGCTGTAGAGTTACGGCTAAAATTCATACATATGTAAATAGAAGATATACAAATGAGGGGAAAGTCAATAAGAAAAAAGCGATAAGCTAAACGTGAGAAAGTATCGAAGGTGGGACACATCAGCGAATGGTGAAATTCGTCATTTATTATATAATAGAAATGAATGTTGTATGGGGGCCTTATAGTCCGCGGACCGAAATGGCTACCTCTACCGTCCGTGAATAGATCCGTCATTACCGACAGTACTGCTTCCTAGCATATTCCTAGATATATTTATTAATAACTATGACTCACTGTATTTCCAATATTCCGTAATCCGTTTAGTCCGCATCGTTCATCACGATGCGCCTGTAGCCGATTACGTGCTGATTTGTTTGTCGGGCTTCCTTCCTATAAATACAAAACATTACTTTTTTCGCCATTCTAATGTTAATAGAATTTTTTAGAGTAACTAAATCTCTACAGGGAGCAAAAACTGTCAAATACTGTCGCGTTCTCTGTTCTAAAGCACGACAAGTTATTTCTTCGATGGTGGCGGTCTTGTAGCTTGCGGTACGAACAGCATCACACACCACGAATACGTACACACACGCACACACCACGAAGTCGATATCACAGGGAATACATCGTACTACATGAACGAGTCGTTAGTTATAAGATTACACGACACTGATATTAGTGGACGGCGATATTAAAAAAAAGAAATTCCACACAGTACGTACACTTCTCGTTGCGTTCGACCTCAGCGTATGGATCGTTCCAAACAGAAAGTATGCCCAACACAATATATTGAGAAAAGGGAAGACAGTGTAAATATCTAAGGCATCGAACAGTCGAGAAAGGGAAGCCGTGTATAACGTCAACGTCATTGCGTGTATGGGAACACGTATCGCTCTTTCTTTCTATATATACAGGCCTCAACAATTCTCCTAGAGCACTCACCTTCCCGCAACTGGCTGGAGGCTGTAGAGTTACGCGTGCGGATACAACCGATTCACTGAACTGTACGGGATAAACACTGGAGTAAATGCGTTTCTGAGACGTCAGAGGCGCCGTGACACCCAGCAAAAACGCGTATACGAAGAGAAGAGCGATCACTATCCACACGCACCACAACCCCCAGCATATCACTTGAGTATAAGCCAGTTTACGACTTAAACAAACGGCGAAGTCCTCATTAAATTCCCGAATTTTTTAGGAGTTTCTATGTCGAGGAAGATACATCGAAACGAGGATGCAGGCACGTTCAGTCTCATGCGACGGAAGAAATTTTTAACCCTCGTGTGTGTATATTGAAAGACGTTCCACTAGGATGCTCTTCCCCCACTCGTGGTCCACTAGCGCGCTAAACTGGCACACTACTCGTTTGCTCTTGTCGACGGAGATGGTCGATCAATCCGTGGAGGCTCGTGCAAGGGAAAAGATCGTGGATCACTGGCGCGAAATGGTGTCGTCGTCGTCTACCGACGCGACGCGTCACCAGCATTACCTATGCTGGTGATAACGATGATAGTATATGCATAGAAGCGTAGTATCGCACTGTCACGAGGTACCGTTAGGTTATAAGAGATCCGTTGACCGCGCTTCTCTTTCCCCTGCTCAGAGAGCTCTGGTCTATTAATAAAAGGCAGCACTGCGCTCGCCACTAACCGTCCAATCGACTGCGAGAAGAATACATTGACGCACTGGGCAGCTTCGTTTCGTAACACACGATGAACATAACTTGTAACTTAACATTTCTGCTTATCATCTTTCTATTTTTCTACTTCGTCAAGCTTCCGTTACATGCCACTGAACTTTTCATAGATTAGGAAGCAATGAAGACCCTACATTATGAGCACAGTCGAGTGCAACTAGGCTCCCTTTAAATATGGAAAAAGAAGAAAGTGTCTCAACATCTTGTACACATCCATCCCTCTACTTACATAGCCAAAGCTACATTGTACAACATGGTGCAACCTAGACTACCTTCAGCTAAATGAAACTGTGGAATATTTAGGTTATTCCTTTTTAGACTCCCTGAGCTTTAAGTACCTTTTGGATTCAATATTCTATCTAGCATCTCAGTAGATTTTATGTCCTCCCGAAATCGAAACTCAAGTGGTAAGAAAGTTCTCCTCCTACACTTATTCTTAGGCAAAAGAGGTCCACGTTGCACTCGACTATACAGGTATAGAAGACGCGTGCTTTTCTGGCCACGTCCGAGGCAACCGCGATGCATTCAGCACCACGCGGATGACTTATTAATAATAGAACGTGTCCAAGGAACGAAGCGAAAAAGAATGCAATATATTTTAAGTGCCAAAGACGTTGCTAATGAAATATTTTTTCGACAGGCAATTTGATGAGATCGAAACTCTATCTAACCCTGGCAGAGGAGGAAATAACTAAACGATATCTGAAGATAACCGTGCTGACGCTGATGCACCAATTCTACGAAATTTGATACACCTGCCCGTACATATTTTGCAATAGTGGGTGAGTAAGATCAGATACCGTAAAAAAAAAAATAAAATAAATTATGTCTGATTAATCCGTTAGGTAGGAACACTCACAAACTGGTCGGTGACCCCGCGGTAGAGATTTTGATGTGCCGTGGACGGTGCGGTGGGCGACGAAGTGAGATTACTGGCAGTATTCGCGCTTCCGGAGAAATGACCATCCGGTCTTCTCGAAGTGGAAGGCGCGGATGGGTCGTCTCCATAGGTACCAGACGGTCTCCCCGCCACGCCGTTTTGTAATACCGGTGGCGAGTTGCCGCCCCCGAACCCGGTTTGACTTATATCGTACGAGGTCGACGCGGTTCGCTGTTGTTCCTTGCCTTCCTCCAAGATCTCCGGATCTCCTGTGCGACCACCCTGAAGAAACGCGATCGCGTCGGCACCCCGTATTACCTCGGTTTCGTCTTCGATCTCGACGTCGTTCTCGGGCTGACGCACAACTTTGTCCTGGCCGTTGTTGTTAATCAGCAAATCGGCATTATTCGGATTAGTAGCAAGGTTAGTGAGCAGGTCGAGTTTAACACTAACAAAATCAGCACCGCCAGCACCACCGGGGACAGGCGACAAGAGGTTACGCTTAGCGGGTGAGACCTCGTCGGCTCGATGAATGGCAACGCGTTGGTGTGATGGCGGTTGTTCAGGTTGCTGTCGCCGTCGGCGTCGGCGTCATCGTCGTCGTCGTTATCGTTGTTGTTAATTCCATAGGCGCAGGCATCCTCGACGTTGCTGTTATTCCCATTGCCGTTGTTGTTGTGCTGATCGTCGTCGGTATTGTCCTCGTCATCGTCGTCGTCGTCGTCATCGTCGTCCTCGTCCTCGTCTAAGTCGCGGATGGTGCCGCGGTCGTCGATCGTTACCTCGCCAGGCGACGCGGTACTGTCCGCGCGAACATGCCCGCTGGTAAGCACCGTGCTGCTGGACAGTGGCTTTCTCTTCGACCTGGACCAGGGTATACCGCTAGTTGCGGCGGAAGACGACGAGGAGGACGAGGAAAGCGAGGAATCGGGTCGATCTCTGATGCCGCGATCGATTTCGCGCTCGTCGCCGCCGAACAGCTCGGTGAAAGAGGACCCGGTGGAATGGTGCTTCCACTGATGATGATGCGATCCGGCACTGCTACTCGTTTGCCGTGTCTTCGACACGTAATTGGACGGCGAATATCTGAGAAGGTCCGACGGATCGTGTCTGGAGACGGACGACGACGATTCCTGCGCTCTGTCCCTCGACGAGTCGCCGACGGAGATGCTCGACGAGGACGATGACGTGGACAAGCCGTATCTACCGCTGCTGGTGCCGTTCACAGTCACATTCGTACCCGCGTTACCACTGCCCGTACTGCTGTACGCCGACGACGAAACTGACCTGTAAAATTCGTCCAATGTGAATATTGCGAACATCGTTTTGTTCGGCTGGGCCCGCGGCCAAGGGCTACTCCTTCCTTCTCTATTTCTTCGAGTTATGCAATACTCGCGAGCGTATAGACGCGGATCACGCACGTAAACATACGCACGCGCAAACTAATACCTAGATGAGTCAAGCGACATCTGAGCATGTGTGTTAGTGACACGAGTAGTTGCAGATGGAAGACGTTTCTTAACGACACGATCGCCGATAGAATCCCACCGGATCGTCCTGATTTTATCGAGATACAACGTTCGAACGAATCTGACTCGAGGTCCGAACTGTTTCTCGGCTCGAAAAATGACACAGACCGGGGTGGCCCAGTTGCGAGGAAAAAGTAGGAAGAACCAGGCGTTCGGTTAAAAATAATTTTCCGTGAAACGAATACTTTCTGTCTTGTTTTCAGGTTGGCTATCTCGTACGGACCGTGGATCGAGAAGGAAGAAATCATCGTTGTCGCTGGCCTACGACAAAGCGATCCTCTTCGCGGTTTAAAGTTACCAACGAGCAACGCCATTCATGTATGCCAGCTTTCAAGAGGATGGAGTACGCGTACCGTACACTGGATATTTAGATACAAGCACACGCACACGTGTCGTTGTAGGCGAGATCATTACGGCACACGCGCTGGATTGACAGGATTCCAGGGAGAAAGTCACTTCTCATCGTGCGCGGCACAAAGGACATTCTACCGAGGTCAAGGTCTCCGGCTGCTCGATACAACTTTAATCGGAATCGATTACCGTGTACTATTTCTCTGATACATTTCACTCGCTACCGAAGTTGGGTCGCAACTCGATCAGACACTTCTTGAATGAGTCTACAATCAAATAGTAGCTGACGATTTTAGGTCTCCTATTCTTGTTACATTGCCACGAGTGAAAATAAAATTTACAATATATAAGTTAGCTAAACTGTTAGCCTTCTGACACTCACTGGCAATACGGGTTTATATTATCGTTCCCTACATTTCAGGACCTCCTGACCCTAAACTCGTTCAAAAAGCCAATGGTCGAGTCACGACCTATTCTAGTCAAAGGTGATAACACCATAACTTTACATATTTTTATTTTACGTTCTTAGAGCAGACAGAAAAAAAGAACAATGGAGAGACCTCGACTATAGGGGGCAAATGCATAGACAAGAATCCTGTGTAACTAGTTCTCGAGTTACCAGTTCAGGTCACTATGTGCGACCTATTTGCCGTCGACCTCGACCTTCGCTGGTAGGGTATAACATCAGTCACCTAGGCGATAGAAACAGGGACTTTATGCGTTCGTAATTGGATCATTGTGACACGGACAAAAGTAATTGGCGCTTTGTGAAGGGTGTTGAGCGAATACACGCGCAGGGGTACCTGTTGCCCACTACGGATATTTATAACGCGAACAACCAGGGGGCAGCATGCGAACATCTTGTAACCATTATACGGTCACCTCGTGTTCACCGAGAAATGCGATTGGCACGAGAATGATCCGCAGCTCAACGGTAAAAGGAAAAGGCGATCGACGACAAAGGAGAATCCATTTGTGTCGTGTGGCTCATCCAACCACCATCGTGCCTCGCAACGACTGGTTTCGCCTTAACGCTTTACCGACCGAGTTATAATTAGCAATTTCAAGAATCGCTGGTCGAGCAAGCTATTCCTGGCATTTTAGAAATTTCTCTGTACCATAAACGGGTATTTATCAAAAGCGTGTACAGCGTGGCTCTCCTTGAATATTCAAGTATACGCTCCAACTGTACATCTAGCAAACTCAAAGCTGTTTCGACGACGAAAGGTAACTATGATCGCATCCAACAGATGTCAGTATACAAATGGCAAACAACTCGTTAAATGTATCATAGATTTTAGATGATCACATTCCAAGAAGTAGATGTTAACGAGATGGAATTGTTACACGATTGGTAGCGAAGATTAAGAAACACAAAGAAGATATTGCGATGAACAATGTGACACTTATCAGGGTGTCGACGGGTCTTCGTGGTCACCGATCCCCCGCCTTTTACACCCCTTTTCTCGGGGATTGCTCACCTTGCGGGTGAGCAGCGAGACCGGCTGTACTCCGACATGTAGTTCCTGCGGATGCTGCTGCCCGTCATTGTTGACGAGTAGAAACTGTGGGGCCCATCGAGTATCAACAATTTAATATTCCGTTCGTTTCGCTTCAATACGTAATATTGGGAAGGACCCTGGGATCGGCAGCACGCTAAAGACATTTTTAAGTCACCAGCATTACAATTTTTATTTTTTAAGACTCGAGACTTTAGAGTTAAAATTAGGTCTTTAAGTTTAAATTAGAACAGATTTTAATAAAATAATATTTCTGATATTTCATTCATAGCTCGTCTTGACAAAAGTAGACTTGAATGTTCACACGTTACATATGTATCTAATCATATTTTGTCATTAAAGTTTACGTATCTCTCAATTAAAATAGAGCATTGTTTACAGATTAAAATGGCGACAGCGAGGAAAGAGACGTGGTTGCCGATCCCCGGAATCCGATAGAAACCCCGAGGACGTCGGGGAGAAAAGAAAACTCACCTGCCAGGCGGGCAGTAGGATCTCCAGTATTCGGACGTATGGCTCGTACGATAACCCGAGCTGCCCGATGACGAGTAGAAGTTTGTTGGTCGATCTAGGATCGACGAGGAACCAGTAGATCGGTAGGTAGTCAACTTTGAGGTGGAACCGTTGATAGCAGAGCTGCTGGTTCCGCTGCTACCGCTGGAACATCGTCTGCTAGGAGAATGCGGCGCCATTGGGCTGGTGCTGTACGAGACTGCTACGGCGCCCGCCTGGCCCCCACGGTAATGTGACATTGCACCCTCGTCACCAGTTTCTCAATTTCTTTTCTCTTTCTCTTTTTTATTTTTCTCCTTCTACAGATTTCCTGAATGTCAACAATTTTGCTGAGTGAAGCCAAGAAGAATTCGGACCGTGACTCGAGTTCTACAGGGAGGATTCGGATACCAGGAATCTTTCTAGAACGCATGCGCAATGATTCGAAAGCCCGCGAATTCGGCAGCTAAAGAGTCGTCCTGTGTTCAACGAAATACTTGGATTTGGAACGAATTTGGAAATGATGAGAGCAATCGAGTTAGTGAAGTATTTGGGAGTTAACCGGTATGCGTTTATATAGAAGAATTTGTGCACAATTCATCGTGATGAGTAATGGAAAGCTAAATAATTTTTTCTTTGTAATTTAGGTGTGTGAAGACTATAATTCCACTGATACGTTTCTATCGATAAAATTTCGCAGGTGGACTTTGAATTCCGTGTAAAAAACTTCGTTCCTTAAGACCACTAGATAAGAGAGCTTTCGAAAGAGACGATCGATGATAAAATATCTCGAGAGACCTAATAAGATAACCTAAAAAAGTTTTATTATTCCAAATTACAAGTGTACAATACTATTTAAATGTACATTTTATTATACGAGAGAATCGTAAGGTAAATTATGTTAATCGATTAGACGTTCTCTTATAAAAGAATTGGAGGAACCGGCAGCACGCAAAACTCGATTTTCAACCCCAATTCTAACCTCACTGTCGACCTTGTAACTTGAGCGTGCTACTTCACCTTGTCCTCTTTTCCTCCTTCGCGTAAAATCTGACCACAAAAAATCTACCCCTGCGCCCGCGAAACGAGCAGAAAATAAGAAACGTATCTAACGTGTCAGTGGAATTGGATCACCGTCGCGTTACGCGATCGAACCGGATATCGATTCGCTTTTGTTCGAAAGATTACAAAGAACAGAAGGTATCGATGTTCCAGCTACCTTGCTCAAAACGGCTGTCGAATTTCACGACGAAACGAAGAAATGCCAGAGGTTACTGGATCGAGTTAATACAAGTAGCGATGACCTTGAATCAAAAGAGGGAAAAAGGCAGTTCATTGGAATTCGTTATTTGATATACGAGACGCGTGCTACCGTTTCAGCTGCACTGTGAGGATAACTCGATGATTGCTGATCTGAGATAAATCGAAGAGCAGTCGGATATTAAAGTATAATTGATTTTACTGCTACTAGGAATATAGAAAAGTTGACTGTGTAATGTAAAAGTTTAAAGTCCAGTACTCTAAAAATTAAATTACATTGTTTTTTTTATAGGAATTGAGTCAGAGAGATGAAAATAAAAGTGTACACTGTGGAGTATAGTATGCGCATAATAATTTATCGTTCGCGTGTGCCTGTGAACGCCCAGTGAACTCATTTTCGAGATCCAGAAAAGTATTACGAACGATTCTAAATTTAAATAGGATACAGCTGACATTCTTTGTAACCCTTAAGTATCGTAATAAAATATAAAGGTGGAGGAAATAAAAAGTATGTCCAAAAAAGAAAACGGTAAATATTCTTATCTATGGAATTAAACCCTGACGAGTTCAATGTATGTATAAAACATTTACATCGTTAATATAAAAGTTAAAGATGTATACATTAAGTGATGCCTACTATTTTTTAACATAGAACTGGAATTAGAGCAACTGCTATTCTATTTTTTGGAATAAATAGCGGACGTGAAAAATAGTAAATGGTGCATACAACGTCGAAGAAGAAAATCCGCGTGTCTGCCAAATACCTGGCGTCAAGAAAGCAGTCGCGGTTTAGCGGCATTTTTCCTCAGTTTTGGCAAGCATCCCAGTTTTCACCGGAATATCAGACGCGCAAAACCAATAAGAGAAACATGTCCACTTGGATTTCTTCGAAGATCGTATAACAAGTAAAACCATATAATTTTAAACGAGCTACTACATGGTACTAACAATTTTGGTATTATAATTTTCCATAATTTAAACAGATTAAATAATTATTCATAATTTCAAATACTTTGCTGTAATTACATAATTATCACCATCTCCAATAAAGCATTTTACATAATTTATGGGAAAAGCCGTACAAAGATACATATTTCTCTGCTTTCAGAGTACTGCGAAATGGCGAGAGTAGTTGTCAAATAATTTACATGGAATTTTACAAAAAAATTGTGGCGAAAATATTACGGGTCACCTCACGTTTCACAGAAACAGACAGCACCGTGGTTACGTAATAATGTGAAGAGTATAATTTAAATTATGTAACTAATTCCACGACATGAACCTGCGACCGTTAGTGAACGCGTGAACCGTGCGTTTTCATTACATTGTTCAATGCGCTATAACTGGCGTTAAGTATCACTTAAAACAATTGTTTTTAACATTGAGGGATATCCTGAGGATTCTAAGAAACAGCTCGGAACAATTAAGGCATTACGTTGCAAATTCCCTTTTTTATGCATGTAAGAAAAGAGATAATTTGTGGAATATCAATTTGTTCAAACAATGTTCAATTAAAAGCTCTGAACAATTTCTGGTGATTTCCAGTGAGAACATCTCATTAAATTGTTCATAAATATTAATCCCTCGAGTGTTTACGAGCGCCACGCCATCGCTTCGCCTAAAACTCATTCAAAATTATTCACTATCGATTCGAACTTTAGATGACGGAGCGAAGAACACTTCGCTAATGGATCGTGCCGGTTACATCACGCAAATCAGTATCCATGGATCCAAACCGGCCAGATTATACGTTTACGCAACGATACGTGTCCTCCTATCGTTTAATATCTCCAGCCTCGATCGGTAACTGCTTAACATTCCAAATAAATATCCAGGATACTCCGATGGTAATGCCGCGCCTTGGTAAGTATTCGACACAACTAATGCTGATATCTTGACTTTTTCTGCTGCTACTTTACAGATGCGCGGAATGATTGTGTAAGTAACGACGAAGACTACGGCTTATCCAAAATCAATCGGTCGTTCAAGGTCATCGAGTGATCCCTACATTATCAGTCCATCACCTGCCTTCTCAAGTATGGATGCTCAGGGTTGTATTAACGAGAAAATCTATAAACAGTTAAGATGCGATTTGACTTGCTATTCGACTCGATGCAATTCAATCTGACCCGATTCTAAACTCTACACGCATCCTAATAAACCCTGAAGAGATCCAATTGATCTTGAACAATTTCAATTAGATGTATAATTTATCATTTATTCGGTAAACAAGTAATTTTCATTTCACAGGTGATTTCGTGGAACAATATGAATACAATAAGTTATTAAGAGATTAGTGGAAAACAGAATCAATTAAATTGGATGCGATGGAAAGAGAAAGGCTGTTTTTACGCGACTGTGCAAATCGAATATGACCCCGTTTTCTTTCAAAGATACAAGGCACTCGATACGCTTCACTCGCATAAAGGCATGAAAGAAGACGTGTAACGAGTACACGTGCACGTGGCAATGATCCTGGTCGCGTACGACTGCACTTGTAACGCGATTAATAAAATCGATGAAATACACTTATAGTACGGAAACATTTGTAAGTCATACAGTACGTATATACATATAACGCGTCGTATTACATAAGATAACGACACGTTATGGTGGCTAATTTTGAGACAACGCATTTGTTATAAAGAGGAGACACACGAGAAGTACTTAGTACGGATATAAAAAATTCAACTTAAGTCGGTTGCGTGTACGAATCTCATTGTTTACCGTAAACGTAGCAAACGGAACAAAAAGAAAATCCGATAATGAAAGTCATCGTCGCACAGCCATCGTTTGTTTATCCTTTTGACATAAAAGCACGATATAAAAATCGCCATCTTGCATTTGCATTTGAAATTTTTGATCCCTTCGTATATCGATTATCGCATATGGATGTCGCCATTACTATACCATCGACGAAAAAAAACATTAGTGCAATTCTTTCTACACAAAAGTCAAACGCAATAATGATAGGATTAGAAATGGTATAATCCAATTAATGATCACTAATCAAAGTTGATTGCAAAACTGCAAGCAGCTGTACTACGGTTGGCTAACGTATCGAGGGTATTGTAATTGTACGTTATACACACTGCCAACTACGGGCATTCAATTCTCCCTCCCGATTCATTCGTTTTAAATAGGACTCGAATTAATAAATGCCATTTCGTTCATTAACGTTTTCCGTTTTCTACGTTTGTTCAAATTTGGTTTCAATCTGCAACCATAACAATTTAAAACTCTCCAATATCATTGCTATTTACTGCTCGATTTTTATCTCTTAGTTTGGAAGATTCGTCCACGTAAACTCAACGTGTCAAGCTATCGATCATATCTTGTATTGGATCGACCCGTTAAAGTATGGATGTAGGAAAGCATTCCCAGATATTTCAAATATTTTTCTCGGGCAATTTCGATTTTGTAACCTAACCCCGTTTTACAGGAATAAGAGTGCGAGAAAGAGATGGAAACGAGGAAAGGATAAAAGAGAGGGAGATAGTTGACGGGAGAGGGAGAAAAACGCGTTGATTTGGACGGCCTTTGGCATTTCTCACGTTTCAACGTTAAAACTCACTGTAACCCGCAATTCACAGTTATAGAAAATGAATAAAGGAAATACTCACGGCCCGATGCCAACGAAAGGAGAGTATTTTCTTTTCACTTGACTATTTATGGAGGTCTACGGAATTTCACAACGTTAGTGTTATCAACTGCATCGCGTTTCGCGATCATTTCGTGGGCAAAAAATTTCGGTAGCTTTTTATGGAGACGAAAAAGGAAGGAAAGGTGATGCGTCGCGGTACTCGTACAAGAAATCACGGGCCATCCCACGGAACTGTCGGTGACGTCACTGCGACGAATACACGGACTTTCGAAGTGCCTTGAGGTGAGGAGATAGTCGCATGACGCTCCGAGAGCCTCGAGACACGATCGATTTACGGGTACGTTTACGTCGATTAGGCTATCACGGATGAATTGGAAAATCCTTACGCGATTCTGTGTACACCGTGTTTCAGAACTTGCGCAGCTCAACTATTTACCTTTTCTTTGACACTTCCTCTCGTGACAAACACACTTCCGATATCGCGAAATTTATCACTACTGACTTTCTTAATACAACGTGCGCGCAAACAATATGGCGTTTATAAGGTTGCCGATTTCCGCGTTGACAGTCATCGCTTCCGCGACTACCGCATTCTGCGCTAGCGCAGAACAAAATGTCGTCTCGATTGCTCTAGGGTGGAACATCTATACCAGTGTTGCCATATATCAGATGCGCATCGCCTCCAACTACCAACCACAAACGAAGCGCGAAAATCTTTTGAATTCAAATCATCAATTGATCTCGAACATACTATATTAATAACAAATGCAGTACATATACAAAATTATGTAAATAAAATAAAGAAAACTTATAAGGTGTAGAATTACAAATTTTATAAATGAAGTTTTTATAATTTTTATACAATTTTAACACATATATGAAACATTTGTATTTCTAATTTGTCAGTTAAATTCTTCTAACTGTCTTGACTACACTGTTTTTCGACATACTCAACAGCCATTTGTTGAACGCGTGCTACATTTTCCTGAGTACCGTGTTGTTCTTCAAAATTAATGAATTTCTTGAACAAAGATTTCATTTTCCTTGGTGGTAACGTTTGTATAACTGCTCGCTCCAGTACTTTCCTGAAAAATGACAACTTTTTCTTATTTTCCGTTCTAACAAGAGTGCAAAAAATAGTAACAAACTTTTTACCTGGCTATATCAACATCACCAGATTTGACTAGAGTATCGACGTAACATGACCATATATCGACACGTTTAGGATAAGAACTTAAAATTTGCTCGAAAAGAGTCTGTGCTCTTTCCTTGTCTCCATACTTGTTTTCCAAGATTGCAAACCTTGCCATTAAATTTACATCTGCAGAAATAAAATATTATGTCATTGCTGCATCTTAATAAATTTACTTTTTAATGTATTACTTACGATCAGATGCTGGTAAAGATTGCAATGCTCGTTGCATGATGTGTCTAGATTTGTCTTTCAATCCCATCTTTAATAGCACAGATCCACATTCAATCCATACTTGAGGATTTTGTTTAAACTTTCCAATCATAGTATTAATTGTTTTCTCTAATTCAAACTGTCTACCAGCTTCAAGATGTACAGTTAACATGTGTGTGTACACTTTTAATGAATCATTAGTCCTTACAGCTTCTTGGAAAACATCATTTAAAGATTCAGAAGTTCCAAACTTTGATTCTAAGTTTAACCAAGCATTCCATACATTCAAACGTTCATTTTCTTCCCTAAAGCTTATAGTTTTCACAGCTCTTCTAGCAACTGCCCTGGCTTTTTCTATTTCTGTTGATTGTAGGTGGTATGCCATATATTGTAACCAAATTATTGAACTGTCTGGACTTGCTAAAACTAGTCTGTCAAATTGATCCACAGAGTTTGGCAATTGATTGCTAGCTAACGCTTCTTCCCTTTGTCGAATTTCGCGTTCCTTTTGTCTCTCTTTCTCCCTGCGTTCAGCAGCGCTTAACTTTTTCTTTTTCTGTTTCGGCTGTTCTTCTGTATCATCTTCGCTTTCACTTGATGATTCTTTGGTGAGTAATTCCAAATTAGGTTTATCATCCCAAAAGAATCCACATTCAGGTATTCTTGGCTTTTCCTCATTTTCATTATCAATAGCATCAAAATTTAACTGCCTTATAACACTATTAAATGGTTTAATGTCTTCAGTTTCTTCTTCCTCTTTTTCTTGTTTTATCTTTTTCAATTTCTTTTCCTTTTTCTGTTTAGCACGTGTTTCTTTCAAATTTGCTTTTTCTAAGTCTTCTGTTTTTAATTTACCTTTTTTGTTTTTATTTGGAAGTTCAACATCTGGCTCATCCTTTTCGGTTTTTACTTTTTTAACAGGAATCACCTCACTTCCTGAAATCATTCCTTTCCTTTTCAATTTGTTAGTACTCTGTTTTTTCTTTTTCTTCTTCTTTTCTTCGAATGCTGATTTTACCATACAAATAGGCACGATATCGGATTCATTAGAATTCAATATAATGTAACATCTGATTTTTGCATGGACACTATAGGGTGATAAATCTGGTTGTATATCATTCATATGTCGTTTCACAGGCATTGCCGCTAAAAATCCTTTGTCCTCACCTTTTATGACAATTAAAATAAACCAATTTGTCACCATTAAAATTCTGCCCTTTAGTAATTTCTCCTGAGGAATTTCGATTTGCTTATTCTGATCCTCACTTATACTTTTCATTGTCGTAGGTTTCAGGGTTAATTCGACAAGTTCATGTACATAATTCTTCCACATAACCGTTCCAACAACCGTGTCTCCAACTTTGAGATTTCCAGAATAATGGTCTTTAGATACTATACCCTGCAAATTATTTTCTAATGCGACTACTAGTCCACTATTCGTAATTTTTTCAACTTTGCCAGTAACTCTTTGTCCTAGCCTGACTGACGAAATTGGTCTGTTGTCATAAAATGGATTTTTTGCTAATTCTGCTAATTTATTAAAATACAAAGTCAGAGTATCCACCGCTACTATAAGTTTACTATAAGTATCCAATAATCCATTATACACCTTTTTTAATGATAGAGTCACATTTATTTCCTTTTCTTTCCTGTTAATGGAAAAAACTTTTGCAAATAAAATTTGATGTATGTGCAGTAATTTGAAATGACTAACGTTACTATAAGAAACGAATCCAAATGGTGTACACCCTGAGACTGGTAAAATAACTTTTACACCATCTGGTTCAATGTCTTTAATGGAACAAGGTATACAGTCTCCTACTCTCAACTGTTCAAAACTTCTATATTTTTCGTCAGTTAGAAATGTTGCTGTTAATATTAAGCTCGGTGTAGTAGCAAATACTAAAGCAGAGAGAGTATCTCCAGGAATGCATTTTGATGCCAACAAAGCTGCAGTCTCCATACAAGGTGACATGTGTCCAGCTGGTAAAAATCCAGTACTAACATCCTGTCCATCATTTTTACTGATTCTCAAATATACACCTTGAGTAGATGATTCGATAATTGTTCCTTCCACGTGTTCGCCGATAGTAAATACATTTTCTTCTCTTTTCTTATCCTCAGTAGGTATAGTCAAAATTATCTTTCCTAAATTTTGATCTACCGATTTAATTTGTACCAAAACTGTTTGTCCAACGGAATAATTCCAATTCACTTCCGATGCTTCCTTGTTCGATGTATTTCGAGGAATCCAACCTTTGATATCGCCAAAAAATTTTACCAATAATCCACTATTATTTATTTGTATAATAGTTCCATGGTAATTTGAGCCACATTCTGCATCTTTTATATCGCTTAAAACAGGTAAATTGCTCGTTAATAGTGATCTCTTTAAAGTGAAATATGCCTTGTTTCGTGCCGTGCTGATACCTAAAACTTTCGCTTCAACTTCTGTATCAACTTTTAATTTTTTTAGATCGCTCAAACCAGCATCAGACACATGTTCTGGTGCAACTTGTCCATTTATTTTACCAAGTTGAACATTAACAAAACCAGTTTCTGCATTGATACTTATAATTCTTATATTTACAACATCACCTGGTTTCAAATCAAGCAGTGAAAAATATTTCTGTTCCAATAATGAATGTTGCATTGTACAAATATAAACAGCATCCATCCAACTATATGTTAACACCCTACATTTATGTTTAGAACCGGGTATAAATTTTTCAATAATTTTATCATAATCCACATTTGTTCTTTTCAAAGGAACAAATCCTCTTACTCCATTCTTGTTTAATTGCAATGTAATTCCACCTGATTCTCTGAATAAAGTAGTAGCTTCATCAATTATATCTCCAAGCTTCACAGCATCATTTCTAGATTTATCCACCATTAAGCTGAAGTATCCAAATTTTACAGTTGGCAAAATATACAGCAATGTACCAGTAATTTCCATTCCTACTGAATATTTAGCTAAAGGCTCATCTAAATAAAGTTGATTGATATATCCACTGTGGTTACTACCAAATGAAACATATAGTCCATTAGAAAGTATCTTGTTTACATAAAGTTCAAATTTTGTGCCTGGCATCAGACAGTCCAATGATTTGATTTCAGTATTATTTGTAACTATAATGTGTTTGTGTTTTGTGGATAATTTAACTGTTGACATATTTTCATTGGTTTCAATTTCTCGAACAGTACATAACAGCTGTTTACCTGGATCTAAATAAAATTTGTATATGACACAAATTATGTAATATGTTTAATTGCATAAAACATTTAACAATGTACTTACAAAAATATTTTTCATTATTCTTTGGAGTGGGTATAAATGCTCTTATATTTGTTAAACCTGTATCTACAACAAATCCATGGTCTTCTATACTACTAATATTACACAATATTTTTGATCCATTGTGCAAATAACTGATATCTAAATTTTGATTTATCAATTTAGGATCAAGTGATAAAACAATTTGCCACTTTTCTTGAGGTTGTATACTTTTTACATAACATACAACATAATCTCCACAAGAATATAATTCTGACAATGGTTTGAAATCATTTGGTTGTGTATCTTCTGTTTTAATTAAATTTTGCAACATGTTTGTATAAGATTCACTGATATCTGTAACCTGAGCACGACCTATTAGGCCACCTGGCAAAGATATCATTAAATCATATTGTGTCACTTCAAAGATACACCCTAAAACTACCAATCCTTCTGATATTGTTGGGTAAGATAATCTTTCTGCAGTAGAAGCAACCAAATTTGTTTCATCTTTATTCTGTATGCCTGACTTTTGTTTTTCACGATTCTTTTTATTCGATTTTTCATACTGTTTAAACAACTGCTAAAACAAAACTATCAATTAATAAACAATATAAGCACATATTGTTTTTATTATAGGTAATATAATTACCGAAGTTGATGATTTCTTGTCCTGAGGTTTTTTCCCACCTCGTGGAAAATTCTTCAGTATCATTGTCAATAATATTTATTTCCGTATAACGATCTAGAGGTTACTGCTTAGTTAACACATAAAATGTATCAAAAAATGCACGTACAATAACCACCAAGGTTATGGGAAAATTAATTGCCAATATATTTTATATTCTGCTTGGCAATGTCGCCTTCAACTTCTTCAAACTTTATTTGTATAGTTTTTAATCAGTTATATTTACATTTATAGACAGCTTGTACTTTTGCACATGGTCGTTCACCGGTTACAAACACGTTTGTTTTATCGAGGTTATAGCGACAGTCAGCGCCATATTCAATCAACTTCATGCAACTCTTTTTTTAAATTAGGTACTATAAATTCAAGTACTTTGCTCAAAAACAATTGGTGTCATTAATCAGTAACTTCAATTTTATTTTAGATTTATTTTATTATCACATAAATAATCCATAAATATTAGTTTACTGAATATCCATGTGTATTAATGTTTATTTCAAATATAATCCTATATACAATTTTACTGTCTAAATTATTCAGATGTTATCAATTTTTCATTTCCAATAGATCTCATAGTAGCTGTTAATTTTTTGTAGGTAAGAGTCTCTTCCGGTAATGGTGGTATTAAACCAGCTGCAACATGTCTACCTTCCTCACAGAGGAAATTATATACACCACATGCTCGATCAGTAGGCAGTATTTCAACACTGATATTCTTTTCACCAACTAGTTTCTTTAGTTCCAAAATTCTTTTAAAATCATATTTAGTTTCAATACCTAAGACTAATACATCTAATTTTGGTTCAATGATGGTAAATAAAGATAAACTTGCATTATTTATATCTTTCCCAGAAGCAATGTTCCAACACAAAAAAGTTGTTGGAAAAATTGCCAATGGACCCACTAATGTTGAATTATTATTTAATTTGAATCCTATCTATAAAAAAGATAATCACAAATGTAGTGTTTCATAAACTTGTGGTATAAAATTATAAAAGAATCATTACATACAGATGAACATGAAGTTATAAACAATTTGGGGCCAGCAACATTAATAATATTTATTGTCGATTTACCACTTCCTTCATATGCTGATTTCTCAATTTTTGAACAATGAAATCTCCTGTAAATACATTATTCATTCATTAATGACAATTGAAAGTTAACAATTAAAACAATTATTAGCTTTATCAGTATAAGTAACACTTCAATTTAAAGCTTTATTACTCACCTAATACTGTGCAATAGGTTCATTGTTAATAATCTATTATTTACAATCATTATGTTAAATTAATTAATATTTAAATCATAAATATATTTTTAACAGAACACTGTGCTATTCATTTCACAAAAGATCATGTTTATCAGACGACGAGTTTTCGATGATTCTGCGCATGTCAATTCTGATTAGTCTAACGCGTTTCGTACTCAAAAGTAGTACACATGTGCACTTCTAATGTTAATAGGAGACCCAGTGGTCTTTTATTTTTGTGTACCTTCTATGTCGTACCATTCCCCTTATTATTTGTGCATCTTGTTCACCATGAATATGATCGACAAATTTAAAAATATATAATAGTATAGCAACAATAAATAGTGGGGAGGATACTGAAAATAGCCGAGATGCGCAGATTGAGTCTGATCTATCGGGGAATGTTCATATGCATGTATGTAAATATATACACTAACAAATTCGATGATCTATGACTATTGCTAATATCGTTTGATTGGTTGATTCAAATAGCATAGCAAATTTTACCGTAGAGTAGAATTGGAAATGAAATCTAAGAATATCTTATCCTAAGCTCCGTTATGGAGTTATTCAGTTGCTCGCTACGTCCCCTTCCTATTCCTGCGTATTTTTAGATATATTGCATAGAAAAAGTTCATCACAGAGAGACAGTTTTGCATTTTAATAGAATATTGGTAACGACATATAATAAAAATGAGTAAAGGTTGTTGGAAATTCGACGAAGAAGATAAAGGTGAGCATTGGAATATTCTAGGTTATAAAATGGTAAATGTCAAAAAACAGTAAAAAATAAAGAAGTATTTATTGTTATACAATCTTACGTCATAAATACTATTTTGAAACATTTAGGAAACCTTTAATCACATAATTAAGTCTTCTGTATATTTCATGCAATTTTGCGAAAATTTTTAGCGGTATATGTCGGCATTCTAGAATAGTACAAGTTCCAGAAATAATTTGTTTTAAATTTAATAACTTAAATGACAATAAGCTTAACGTCGAATATAAAAGAAGAACCTATATTTAAATTAAATTAATCATGCAAAAAATAAAGTATTCATTAATTTTGTAGCATTATATATAGACGTGGAAGATGAAGATACAGAAGAGGAGAAAAAAATAAAAGTATACAGTCATTGGGATCAAATACCTGATATACTGCTAGAGGAAATTTTTTCTTACTTAACTATTCGTGAACGGTATTATGCATCTCTAGTGTGTAGGTCATGGTATCGTGCTTTTAACTTGCAAAATGTGTGGTCTACATTCACATTGGAAGATACTACGCTTACTAGAGGAAAATTTAATTATTATAGTGGATGGCAATATGTTTTGGATCACTTGAGAACATCCACATGTTTAAACAAAGTTGGAAAGAATTTTCGATCACTGGTTTTTGAACCTATGTTAAATTTTTATAATCTTTATGAATTCATGAATATGATATCTTGGTATACAGAAAGACAAGGATCAGATAATACATCTGTGGCAGGAGTTGGCACTTACATCCGAAGGCTTAAATTTACATTTCCTTGTAATATGGCAAACAGGGATGATCCTGACCGTATTAGATTGTTTGGTACTGGTGGAAAGTTATTAGAAGCATTGAAAAGGCTAATGCGTAATTTGCGTAATTTAAAGTGTTTAGAATTAATAGATCTCATGTTGGATAGTAAAGAAGCATTACATTTAATGGATGATATTTGTACAAATTGTACTCAGACCCTGTCAAAACTAGTATTAATTAATACTACAAGGTATTATTGTCCCCTGTTGCATGTAGGAGTATTTATTAATTTAAATGTAAGTTTGATTTAGCAAGGGTATTGGTGAAATTTATTGAGACTCCACATTTTATAGTATTTTGTTTTTAGGTTTTAGTTATTAGTCCTCAAAATCTCCATGAAGATATAATAGATTTAATTGGTTATACTAAATTACAACATCTTCACATAGTACAAAATCGATATAGTCCAAAGGACACAACTATGAGATTGGTAATTAATATATTCATATTAGTTTATTGATACAGTTTTTGGAAGATATTGATCCTATTCTTAAAACTATTAATTCAGCCTAAACGATCTTCTTGGGTGAAAATGAAAATAAATAATCCTTATCTTAAAGTACATTTTGAAGTGGAAAGTCATAAACCCACGGATATACTTTTGCCCATTGATTTACTAGAACATGGTGGTATTCCATGTCACAGTATTGTTTTAGATAATCCAAATACCGAGGTTAGTGTATATTATAAAATGAGAAGGTAGATGAATAATTTGAAATGTTATTAAGAAGAATAAATTTTACAGATTTCTGCTTCTACTATTCTAACTCATGGTACATTTTTTGAATCGACGATAAAGATATACGCGTTTAAAGGTTTGACAAGATACTTCTTGCATAGAAATTTTGCACAGAGATTGGACGAAGCACTAGTGCAATTCTGCAGAATGTGTCCAAACCTTCATACACTGGTAGTATTTTGTATTTGAACAAACTTCTGATGTTGTATATGACAGCTTTCTATAAACACTGTGGCATTAACAAACTCCTTATGGTGTGATGGCATGTGTTCAAATCCTTGTTGTACAAAAGGTTTTAATATTATTTGTGTAAGTTTTATCTAATTAATCTGTATCTCCATATATGTAACACAGGCTCTAAAAAAATTACATTAAAACATCTCTTAGAGCTTTTAGAGATCTATTTGTGTACATATGTTGTGTGGCAATATATCATTGGTCTGTCAATAGTATACAAGGCAATAAGTTTATATACAGATCAATTCTTAGACCACAATGACTTGGAAGCCAGTCAGTAAAAAACAAACATTTTACCATGACACGTTTGATAACTAGGCTGAAGCTCTTATGACTGAAAGCCAAATATTTTGTTTAGAAAATTGCACAAGTTTATTAAGTCATTGTAAAAATTTGTATTAATTTCGCCTAATCTATACAAACAGGTTTCCTTAATATTTGATATCGTTTTGTTCTCAAGTTAATATGCTTGTGGTATGCACATATAAAAAAAGTGAAAATAATTCAAAATGGTATTCTAATAAATTTGTACATTTGATGTATATTTTTACCTGCAGATGATACGAGATAAGATATCGACGGCTACAATTTTAGAAATCGTTTCTACTGCAAAGTCATTGCGTTGTTTATACGTTCGACGAAACGTGATTTTAAAAAGGTGCGACAAAGATTGGCTAAAATTAATGAATTGGTCACCGGAACATTACCAGTGGATCAAAACGAACAGTCGCAGTTACGAAAACACTGAGAAGGAAGTATCTAAAATATTAAACTATAGATGGCATATGTTATCTGAAAAGGAATTTAAAAAGCAAATGGTTAAACTGCACTTATAATTTAAACACAATCTTTGTCATATATAAATCTTTTAATAGCATAAATTTTTTATATCCGTTAATGTTTCTAATATATTTTCATACAATTAATCCAAACAAAAATCATTCTCAAAATGCATACTCTATACAAGGAACAATGCCTTTATGAAATATATACGTATAAAAATATAATATATGTACTTAATTTACAACTAGCTGTAATATGAAACTTGGAAAAAATTAATTATTTAAAGATACGTGTGCTAAGCTGTGTACAAAGAAATGTACTATGTTAAAAATATAGTACAATAAAATCATTAGGTACTGCAAGTATTTCACTTTACTTTATGGAGATACCTCTATGCTGTAACTAATGTAATTATGTACAATACCAGTATATATATATTTTTTAATGAAGTATTTTATTTAAATAGTTACATACAGTATATAAGACGATCAAACACAGTATACAATTTTACGTATACTTTAAATAAAACATCATTTACGAAGGTTAAAATATTGTAAGGACTCGATGTTTAAGAACAACAAACTTCATTCATGTGTACTATAAACAAATTTTTTCTTATACTTATATATATATTATATATCACTTACCGCGAAACATTTACAATATTAAACTTTACAAAATTGTTAACTGATAGCAGTTTGATTTGACATAATAAGCAATGATAATCATTACCAAGCGCGCTTACCGTATATACATACTTCGGTTGCGTATATACAAAACGTAAGTGGTAGTAAATAACATTGTACAACAATAATAGTTTTCGGCTAAACGGACACAAAATTTTAACTGACAAATGAAACCAAATTCGATTATAATTTTTCGTCCATGTTCACTTCTATTTACAATTTAAGCTAGATCATTATGGAAAATATATTTAACAGTTTCTTATTCTTGAACGTTTATAATAAATAAAAAGTCAATCGAGTTTACATTATTTTAAAAAAAGTTATCTGACGTATAAAAGCAGAAAATTGAAGAATTACGGTGCCAAGGCTGCTGATCGTTTATTTCTGTTTTTATTACGTTGAATGGTACGCGCTTTAAATGCAGCTGCATTCATTAATGTCTATATAAACAAAACGAAAATTATTAATGAAATTAAGAATTATCGTATTAATTGTAATTTTTGAGAACTTACTCTTTCCAATTTGCTCGTTTTTTGGTTCAATGGTATCGGTAGAACTTTGTTGCCAAGGTGGAAAATTTCGCGAAGAAGTTGATTCACAGCAAGATGAATATTTATACCAGGACCCAGCAGTCTACAGCATGCATTGTATTGAATTCGTGCACACCATCCCTCTAAATATAGAATTTCTTGACCGAATTTGACGTGCATTTCTGGTACAATGTCTTCCTAATATTACAAAAAAAACAGTAATTAGTGATGATAACATAGAATTTCAATATTGTAATTACGAAATTTACCTCTATGTAGTGGAGTATATCTCTAAAGTTAGCTCTCTGTTGTTTACGATCTTTCTTTGCTCTGTACTTATTAGAATCCGTAGCTAATTCTTTTAATACTTCAATCAAGTCCAATGACCAATCTTGTTCATAATCTGAGGAGAAATCTCGGCCGAGTTCGAATATTACAGCAAGAGCTTCACCAGCTGACAACCTTATATCCAGATGCGGTGATTCTAACAACTCAGATAGTTTATTTAGGGACCTAAAACGACGATTTCTTTATATTACGTTATTCGTGTACATGTACGTGCAAAGTTATATAAAATTACTTAAATACTCACGGCATGTAACTATTAGTTTTACTACTAGTAAGTAAATTATATATATCAGCTGGGGCCATAACTGTTAAAAGAAGAGTCCATGATGAAATAGCTGCTGCATGTAAAGCTGCAACCTCTGGGGAAATAGTTGCTATAGCACCATTTCCTTTCAAATAAGAACCAGAGAAGATATTGGATAATAACTGCACAATTTCAATTGTATCTGCCGCATCATTTCCAGACAAAAACTGATTCATGCTCAGAGCCCAACAACACTGCAAATACACAATTTATTATTATGTGAATTTAACTGTAACTTAATCTTGTTTTTACCTCTGCACGAGCTTGAGTTGAAGCTGTTGTATCACTTGCAATGAAAGTTAAAATACTTTTCAAATCACGGCATACTACTTCAGCACTTTCAAATGCACCCAGTTGGACACAAAGTAAAGTACTTATTCTAGCAGCCGTTGACTGTTCTTCACCACGACCTTTTTTTAATCCCCGTTCTATAGAATCAGTAATGGTCATTTTTCTATCCTCCACAAAATCTGGGATATATTTAACAGCAAATATTTTTTCAATGCCATTAAAACAAACTGTTCTTCCTTTTGCGCTCTTCTGAGTTAAACCATCAATTGTTTCTTTTAATTTTTCTTCGAATGCTTCTTGCTGGGAAATTTCATCTACTTCATTATCATTCACATCATCTAGCATGCTGCGATTATCAGACTGACTACTGGATGTACTGCATGCATCATTGTTGACAGAATCTTCATCAGATGTTAATTCAGCTCTTTTTCCACCATGACCTATAAACAAATTTTTAAGAAATTTTTTCCCCTATATTGTCATCTTCCCTAGGGAACCCTATTGTGCTTGCCACTATATAGATATAGTTGGCTATAACCAAACAATATCTGATATAATAATTGCACATTATCAAGGCTAATACTTAAACTTAATTTATGAAGACAATAAAAAGCAAACATAACAGCTGTTAGAAGTGAATGTCATGTTACATAATATAAAGTCTAAACAGCTGTTACTTATCACACTTAATGCAATTACATTATGTATAATATGGTACAAAATTATAATAATGCATAAAAAATAGGAACTTTTGAACTGATTACATGAAAATGTATATAAATATAATATAGTTTATAAATAAATTATCTATGATAAACTAAGTATGATTGGAATGTACTAATTAGTTGCATTCTTTCAAATCAAATTTTATTTATCCAAGATTTTATTATCATTACAAAGCAAAATGCAACGATAGCATTTATATCTACGATTACGATAAAATTGTTAAGATACGTAGATTATAATGATTGGTTGGTGATGGACATTTAATTGAATGCTACGTATGTTAATCTAAATTTAGTAGCAATGATTCAGGAAAAGCATGGTCATCCTCATGGAAAGTATCGTTTCTAAACCTAACCCTGTTTTCGCATCCTTATGAAACCTAATATCTCAAAAAATAAATTTTTCTCGATTCGATAACAGATATTCCATTGTTAAATATATATATTTACAATATATTTATATGATATAATTCGATATATAATTCGAAGTGCATAGTAATTTACTTTGCTTTTATTATATAGCATTGAATTTTTTCGTACGTTTAGTGGCTAAACCATGTGCGAAAAGCATGAAAGTCACATGGAGATGAACACTGGTGGCATGACGTTAGCTCGAATGCGACCAGAAATTTCATAAATCGATAAAGTCTTCCAAACGTAAAGCGGTAAACATGGATTTATAAGCATTAAAAATGAGAGCGAATATTGTAACGTAGTTATGACGTAAGATAAAATAAATAAAATTTATTCGCGTAATGAGTCATTCAAGAAGAATGCTAATAATTTCATGAAGAATAAACAACACGTGCATGATAATGATTCTTCTAGTTAAATCTGCCTGAAAACATTCAAGATACTTGCATCGATAAATAATAATAAGGAAGATAAAAAATAAAGTAGTTTTTACCGGATTTTCCTCTTCTGCCTCCTTTGCCTGGCATCGTTCTTCACTTTCCTTATTGCACAATTGATACTAACAAAAATACTTGATCAAGAGGGTAAATGTCTTGCACTATTAATTTTCTTTCGTATACTGAACACACTGCATGAATTTTTAATAAGAATTTGATAAAAACTCATTAACATGATGCGAACTGTTCAAAACATACACGTCGAGACAGCCTACAATGGGCTTTCTCAAGTGCACTGTCTTTTACGAATCGCGAATCTACCCGAACGCCACCGAAACTACCCGAAGCATCAACAACGCATGCGCGACATTTTTTTATGTAAACGCGCGTTAACCAATCAATTTTCAGCATTTATAGCATTACGAAAATTATACGACAACATTCAAATTTCGCGGGGTCGAGTATTGCATGTGCGCCTTATAAATCCTGATGCTTATATGCATCGGGAATTGTGTTGTTGTATCGACGTATTTTATTTTAAAAACATTGAAACAAAAAGTTATATAATGTCTGGAAGGTATGTTTGAAAATCCAAATACAAATACTATTAAAAATAATTGTTATTTATTTTATCGAAGTAAAGACTAAAAGATTTTTGATGTAAAGTTTTGAAGGTTGTATAATACATATATAACAGAGTAAGTAAGTAGATACAAATATTAAAGGAATGAGGCACAATTTTTGTAGCAATTATGTATTATTTTGTATTTTTAAAATACAAAAACAATATTAAAAAATATAAATATTAATGCTTAACATCTTTTTTCACAATGGTGCATTATCATTGTGACTGTAATGTAAAATTACATATAATGGGCGAATGAACTTGTATACAAAATGTTCATAATATACCATACACTTATAATGTAACAAATTAAAAGTGAATGATGAATACAACCCTGAGTTGTATTAATGCATATAATTAATATTTATATTACAAATTTGTATTAATTCATTCAGTTGTTTTGCTATAGTACAAAATTTAATACATACATTTTAAATGTAGCAAAAGTAAAGCAAGATGTAGGTTTTGCTACAATTATAATTTACAATTAGCCATAGTTTACATGTTCAGACAGACATTTACAAAATATCAGTCCATTCTGAAGCACCTGAATCGATGGAATATAATAAGTTTATATGTAATAATTATATTTAACTTCATTAATACAATAGAAATTAGAAATAACGGCAAACTTATTCTTTACAATTTGCTTATGTTACTTTACTTTCTATGTAACTTTCTTAGATACTTAAATGACACATTGTATTAAATATCATATTGCACAATATTTTTTGTTCAAACATTAAATAAATTACATTCCAAATTATGGTCAATTAAAAAAATTATGTTTCAATGTTGTACTCTTTGTAGTACATAGAAAGACTTATTCAGATTTACTTCATGCGAATCTTAATATTGAAAATACTGTAGCTGTTATTACCAGCAAACTGATTGTAGAGGTAGAAGCAGCACTGCGAAAAGATGCTAAACCTTGGCACGGCGTTACTTTTAGAATATACTTGAATATAGAATCTACGATGTTTGCAGGTGTTGGATCTGAACACTTTTCCAGTTCCTTTACCACACAGGTTTGAAGCTTGGTAATATCTCTGCAGATTAATCATAAGGTATGTTTTATTTACTTATTTATGTCATATACTTCATTTCAAAATTAAATCCATCAATGTATGTTGAAAAGAAATTAAGTTTACTTACTCGCATTCCTTGGTTCCAAGGACTAAGGGTGGAAGATTATTCAATCCTTGAAAAGATTCGTTGTTAAGTTCACCCGCAGGCATGTAACTTCCAAAAATAGTACTTAAGCACTGTTGAATTTCTGGTTGCTTTGATTCTAAACATTGTGGGCCATCAGCAGATATAAATACTATGGAAAGAATCAAACATAAGTACAACCTGAAAGTAATTACTTGTATATGCTAAGTATTTTAGTATACAAATACTTACAAGCAATACGATCTCCTTCTTTGTAACAGACAAAATTTAACAGAGAATCAGTAATATTTTGGACAACTTTCTTATTTTTACGTTCTTCTGGTTCTAAACAAGGTTCTATAGCATCTGTAAGGTTACTGATGCATTTTTTAAGAACAGGTGTTTTTTGGCAGTATTTTTTGAACACTATATCCAAATCTCCAGTAGGTTTATATTTTTCCATTTCTGCTTCCAATTTTGACCTATTAACAAATGAATTAAGGCACTCTATCCACTTCTTTGTAGCAGTTTGGGCATTGTCGTATGCATTAGGTCCTCCATTTTTATCACATTTTTGCTTGAAAAAATTCTTGCCTCCATCAATAGCATGTATCACAGTATCATTAAGATTATTCAAATCTGTATTTCCAGATATGTTAAGATTATTTATGACATTGGACACAGATTCCAATGCCTCCTCTGTATTAGGCAGATTTTCTTGCGAGTTGGTGTGTCCAAGAAATCCTGAAACAAAGGTAAAGATTATGAACTAAACTGTATTTGTCATATTTTGCACCATTTTTGAAAATAATTCTTAAATTATTTCCTAGAACATCAGGTTCAAGGTATCTTTTCTTTTAATTTGTTTCAAGTATTAGGTGTCTACTAGTTCTTCACATAATGTGATTAGGAATTAATTGAATAAGCTGTAACCGGACCAGCAAAAGCTCCATGATTATAAAGGGTTTAAATAGACATTACAGTATGAATATTTCGGGCGTTTTTTTTTTTTGTGGAAATCAATTGTTTCGAATTTTCATGCGATTCCATACTACAATGTTTGCATCAATACTTTTGACCAATACTGTATTTCTCGACTAACCCGGAAATAAACACGTCACGCATGGACTTTGTATTGGAGCAGTACTTGAAGTCGTTTGCGCATTTTTCTGCAAAATTAATTAAAAAAATACTTCATTCACCATTACTTTACGTTTATTTTTCGAAAAACATTCGTTTGTTCGAGAAAAAAAGTATAGTATATTTCAGCTACACACGATGAGGTACAAAGTACACGAATTCTATGCATTTGTCACGCGTATCGCAACGATAAGGGTTCCTAATACAAAGGCAACAGACAAACAAAAGAGATCCTGTACCGCAATAATCAATTTTGATAATCATTACTCTACCCATATTTACAAGTTATATATCTTTTATACAGTCGACAGTTTTACAAGCATTTGTTCTTGTTTGAATGTTAAATCAAAAGTTCGATAATTCAGCGTTCTACCTCGTATCGAACGATATATTCTTATCGATTGTTCGGTCCCGGGATTGCTATTGTTTCTCGATCAGGTATCGATTACAATTTGAGGTTAGCGCTATCATTAAAATTTATGCACAATACAATCACAAATCATGTTTCATTGAGACTTCATCTTTTGTTTGCAAAATGTTGCAAATAACTTTTGACATCTAACACGAGGGCACTGATAAATAATATTTTTAACGTGAGAGTAATTCTGCATACGTATGTATTTCAGATTCTTGCACGATTTCGTTATATTTGAACACGATATTGCGTATTACGAGTCACCAATACAAGTTTTGTTGACGAAGGCAAAAAGAAAAGAAACAGCAAGCAGCCGATTCAAATTTTTTTCCAAGTAACTTACCAAAAAGGAACACCACGATAATGAGTGTCAAGTATCTGGTCATTTTTGTTTTTCCAAGGACACACGGTTAAACGAGAAAACCGTAACTGTTTTTCGACGTTACAGTACCGTCCACAAATTTCTCCGGTAGAAGATGCGTACCCGACGAAACTGAGATGAGAATGCAACCTTTCAGTTTTTCATTACGTCTAATGTTGTGATTTTTACGCCTCTGTTTATCATGGGAAGCATGTATCGATGCGTCAGCGTTACTGGGAAAACTGGTCGAATATAGGGGGACGAATTGGAGCGACAGCGGAGAATAAATGCGCACACTACGACCGCACAAACGATACTCCGATAGTGAGCTTCCGAGCGCGTGCGCTCCTCTTATATAAACTCGCGCTCCACCTCTATGCCATTCTCATAATTTAATTTTATGCAAATCACATCAAAATTTATATGTTGGTTATATTATTTTACTTGTTTTCAGAAACGCAACTTCAAATAATTTAAATAATAAAGCAAAAAATTAATACAAAAATAAGGGTGATTTTTTAAATGGAACATTTAGACAGTAATATGGTAATATAATAGGATAATAAAATAGTAGCATAATAGTACCACAAGACATGTGATGCTATTTGACTTCTAATCTAGATCAGCAAGTTATAAAAGCCAAATATTTAATGATAATTACTTGATGATTACTTACATTGTTATGGTAATATTGTAAGAACAAAGGCATTTCTGACTCCTCAATAAAAGCCTACTATTATGCTGAAACTTTTGGAGTTTCATAGATTTATAAGCGAACAGTAAAACGAGTAAGTATTCTGTAAAATATTTAACACAATTTTGAATAAAGAAAACAAAGCAAGAACTAATGAAGATTGTTTAAAAATGTTGTTACCAACATTCCTCGGTAGTATAGTGGTTAGTATCCCCGCCTGTCACGCGGGAGACCGGGGTTCGATTCCCCGCCGGGGAGGGATTATTTTTATTAATTTTTGATTTCTTTTGTCTTTAACTTGCTTTTTATACTCATAATTTAATCGTTTATTGTGATATACCAAAGATTTTCTAAATGCATTATGTATTATTATTAGTTAAAGGAGTAGCTTTCCGCTATTGAATCACTGCTGGATTGGAAAAAGAATTATAAATAATCAGGCGGCATTTACAGCTGGGAAAATATAGGGTTCAAGTGGTACGTAACCCCATACTGTTGCATCTATTCACCAAATGCGAGAGGATTTGGGCCTGGGCAATAAAACGCGGTCGACCAAAGTCCTCGACACCCAACAATGAAGGATGCCTGTCCACTTGCTACTGTTTTTACGACTGCATTCCTAAAGAAATACGGATTCTTGGGTTCTAAAGATATACAAGGCCATAACCGTAATAACGGAAGCAAAATCCATAATAGGCTTACTTAAACGTATTAAAAAAAATTACGTGTTTTCTTACACGTCGAAAATTATATTTGAAATATAATAAATGTAATTCAGTATAAATAGGAATTGTATGACAAAGAATTACATGTACTTATCACTGATGAAAGTCCAAATGCTGTATCAATTTTGATTTTAAGCTATCAAGCTTAAATCAAAAGACTAATCACAGATACTATATCAAGAAATATGGGTGAAATTGGAATCCATTGTTATGTAACAGATTATTAGCAGATTGCAATGATAACATTGTTGGATACAGCATTATCGACTTACGTTGCACAAATTAAAAATCTTTGTCAACTCCTCCTCGATAGTATAGTGGTTAGTATCCCCGCCTGTCACGCGGGAGACCGGGGTTCGATTCCCCGTCGGGGAGTCCTATAATTTTTGTTTTTCTTTATTATAATTATAAAATATTGTCATTGATCATTTTATTTTGCTTTGGGTAGCTCTATGTCATTAACTGATGACTATGACTATATCATGAGTGATGTAAAGTGTTGTTTCTTTTATAATCTGCTCTATCCATTTTCAGGTGCATATGTAATGTGGATGATAAAATATCTGCAAGTTCAAGTTACAATATTTTCAAGAGGAACAAGATAACACAAGATGATGACACAAGATGACACAACTAGTATCATTCACGTATGTTCTTATTTATATTGAAAGTTTTTATTAATTAAATATGTCATACTAATTAGCTATATACGTATGTTGTAGATCATCTCTCAAGAAGCATCGGTGGTTCAGTGGTAGAATGCTCGCCTGCCACGCGGGCGGCCCGGGTTCGATTCCCGGCCGATGCAAAATTGCTTTTTGCAAAACTTTTTGGTAAATTGATAACTACATTTTATTAATCGATTTTAATTTATCCATAACATATTTAAAGCCATCTACAAAAACTTCTAATAAAATGTACACAGTTTATGAACTTATCACACAAAACAATAGACTGATAAAGAGTAATTTTCATATCACAGTCGGTAGTCGTTCACGGCTAATAAATTATGTCAGTATCATTGTCATGTGATGATAAATCCATGAAATAATTTTAATCGGTTGATCACATTCAACGTGTATTGGTTTTAACATACATATTAACATATTCACGTACGATTATAATAACATTTTATTATTTAAAGTGATACGAATTAAAAAATTATTAGATTACAGTGCAAGAAGTTACGCCTGAGGAATTAAAAATTCGTAGTCGGAACTGTCGAAGGTAATCACAGTGTAATTTTGTATGAATCGCTTCCATATGTGTATGTACATACGCACATTATTTTACAGTGTGGATACATGTTCTTACTTTACTGTATTGGACCCTGTAACCAACTTCTGTCCTTGCGTGCAATGCACAACGCACACATTTCACGCGTCTATATGTACATGCTTAAGTAAACAACTTGGCGCAGAAACTTTCAAATTCATTCTTGCCGAGGTAAGAAGTATGCACATCAATATTTTATACATTTTCCAAAGATAAGAATAATTTCAAATATTTACGAGATTAAATAATTTAAACGACATTGCAAATTATCTTGAAATATGCTATATATTATTTATCACTCTTTGCATTTTTTCACTGTTTTTTTTTATGGAACTGCTGCAGTCATCGTTCTAGCGTAGATCAACTTTACAGTAATTACACGTTATTAAATGACACCACTATGCTCGATTATAGTTTCATCAACTTGTAAATAAATTTTTTAGTAGGCGCTACAAGCAGCTGTGTGAACATCTATACCACTTGGCATTACAACCGACCTCCAAGAAATCACAATGAATTGTTTAAAGGTTGACATTAACCGCGAAAGCTTGGCATCCTTGCTAGAAAATTGACCTAAGATTAATAGTAACTGTGTGCTGATAGTGGCCACATGTTGAAGCCACAGAAACGAACTGGCAGAATGATAATTTATCTCGAAACGGTGCGTTGCGCATTTAAAGCTTATATGCGTTCCGCATCATCAAGTCAAAATACGCGTCATGGTCGATGCTCGCGCTAATTGCGCTGTAATAGTTCATGAATTCCTCCTCTGTTACCTGTAACACAGAAAAAGGAAGCACAATCAGATATGCCAACAAATACTGGATTCAGAAGATGGAATGGAAAGTACACATATTAAATCTTACAGTGCCATCTGTGGTGTTGTTTTGCTCAAAGTTTGCCAAAAATCTGTTCAATATACTCTCCTCGCTCTCTTCCCCGCTTATATACCGTGGATGAGATTTGACATTGTAAACACCTCGTAGATCGTCGATCGTAATCACTCCGTCTCCAGTTTTGTCCAATTTCTTGAAAGCCTGATCCACCACGTTCTTACGGCTTTGAGACATAGGAGGCTACACAGAGATTTTAAGAGTGAAGGTCACACAATTACGCACAGCACCAAAAGGAATAAGGAGAGTATAAGGTGTTTTAAATCGAGGAAAATGTTCATGTACAAAGTTTAAAGCGGTCAAGAACGTCCACTTACTCGTATGGCAACGATGAATTCATCGACGCTGACGCTTCCATCGTTGTCTGTGTCGAATTTGTTGAAAATTTCCTGAATCTCTTCATCTGAGATTTCCAAACCAGTTTCGTGTATGCCGTTTATGAATTCTTCTAGATTCAGTTTTTTGTTTCCATCATCGTCCATGCGACGGAACGCTCTGTAAATATGCCACCGTAGAAGATAATTATCTCTTAAAAATTTCGCACAAAAAATTTATCTTTTCGGTAAACAAAATGTGTTGATGCAACTTGATATATGTATGTCTATTAACAGTATTTAATATCGGTTTAATATTTAAGCTTTTCAAGGATATCTACTTTAATGTATCTTTTGTCAAATTTTTAGAACGAAGTGGATGAACAGTCAACTCACCTACCCAAACCAATGATGCCATTGGCACCTCTGGCCAGGCAGAGGAGACGAAGTTTCTCTATGGAATCCGTGACTGTATGTATGGCCCGTTGGGCCTTCTGGATCAGCTCAGTCTCGTGTCTCGTCGTCGCACTTTGTGGTCTGTTAAAGAACATCCCTGAAAGAGAAACCTCACGGTGCTGATTCACCTGACTACTACGATGAGTCAGATATCCAACAGAGAGAGAGGAGAGAGAGAAAAAAAGAACAGGGAAACAAGATCAACTGTGATATGTCTGTTCTCTTCGTATGTAAATTAGCTAAACATTTCCTGGTTGCATCTTTGCTTTATTTTTAAGCACTCGCTACGACGTTATCTGTTTTGGGTCAATTACAAACGTGGACGTTGATAATTGCAATTTGTTATCTTCACTGGATAGAGAGAGACAAACAAGAGATTGGTAGGGAGTGAGCGGATATCTGTACCAGCCAAAAAGTGGGAGTCGATACCGACTTTTTGACTTTTTATGGAAGTGAAAGCTGCGTTGAAATTGTAATGTAAGGTTTATTAGGTGTGTACGCTTTCATTTTATTAGCTAGTTGTAATTTAATTCCCACAAAGGCGTGGTAAATGACCCGCCCTCGTTGAACACGCTTGCCTCGTTTAGTCAATTAAATAGCGAGCAGGAAACTCGAGGTAACGCATCGAAATTGATTTCTATAGAACCTGAAGTTGAAGTAACACTAAGCAACAGTGTTGCGAAGGAACAATCGATCAAAACGATCCGTATCAGTTGGTGGTACGTTCAAATCGTTGGTCGTATGAATCATATTCAAACTTCAAAGTAGAACAGAACTGACGAACTGAGGCGGGCAATAAACTGACACGCATTTAGGTGTATGTAGGCTTCTCTTGAATGACTTAAGCAGAGGCAGATAAAATTTTAAGAGCCCAAATAAAATTGTAAAATTTTTAAATTTGAAAATTTACTAACAAAAAGTGGGAAGCTTATCATATTCATCTGTGCACATTGTTAATCGCATACAATTGTACCGATTAGTGACATACGCATTGCTTATAATCAATGAAACAATAGTGCATTGAATTATTCAGCAGTAATAATATCAAAGAAATGTTTCTTCTTTGATAAGACAGTAACTCTGATAAACTTTGTTGAACAATTAAGATATTAAAACTTTTCATTGACACTGAATATAAATTCAAGGACTATACAAATTATTTATAAAAAGATAAATGAAATGTGAATGTTTCAAAGATAATAGTTGAGTGCAAGAATTTTTAATTAACTCACCTTAATTTCCAGGGAATTGGAATAAAACCGTGATCAGCGGTTTTTTAAGGAAATCTTGATACGATAAAAATGAAAGAAACATTCGTGGTCCCTCTGAAGAGGACCGGAAGGCAAGTGACAGTATGGGATTCTCGTGGCGTATTCTATATAGACCTACACACATTGGATCACACTCGTGTAAGGAGGAGGATACATTCATGTATGAAAACAAGGTGTATACGACGTGTACGATCCGTACGATGGTTTGTAGTACATGTATCCATAACGACCGACTGGCCACAACATGTATGTCAGAAAAAAATTCACGCGTGATCAATTGCTAATACTAATTTTCTTACCAATCATTCAATGGATAATTCATATCTTTTTACTCGTAACAGTCTTGAACTGTTACGTGTTATCAATGACTGTCGGAAATATTCTTAGGGTGAACAAATCAGGTTTTCAGTATAAGTTGCTTTAACCTTGATTGATCAATTCAGGTAATTATAATTTAATGAAGAGACTTTAGAGAAGTGATAGGCAACTGTACTTGCAAGGCGTACAAATGGCGTACACTCACGGATGATCTATAAAGTTCGAAAACTCTGTACTGCTAAATTTTCAAGTTTATAGATTCAAAAGTTTTTACATTCTCTGCAAATACAATGTAAAAATATATATTTTATTGCGGCCAAATATGTATCTGTTAAATGAAACTTATACAAGACCACTTAAGTAGTAACATTAGAATATTACGTTCTAGAAATTATTTGATTGTGTGGTTTCGTTGAAGCGTAACATATCCGATCTTTGTTTCGATCGACTCTTGTCATCATCTAATTATCTTGAGTAATGCAATTGAATAAATAAAATATTCGTGGAGTTATTTATAATTTATTCGTTATTACTGCACACAAATAAGTGTAGCACAAAATTGTGAAATGTACATATATATTTTCATTCTTGCAAAAAAATGATCTATCGAATTTGAAGATTTATTGCTTTAGATTTTATCGACGTATTATATTTATCTACGTTTGTTAAATTACCGATCGAGTGGAAATCTACTTTATCGACCGTCTGCTTGTCATCTATCGATAATTGATATTAATATTTTATTGATAACTTTTTAAGCACCACAAAGCAAATTTTAAAAATATGAAATCATTTTTATGGTTATTATATTTAGTGCGTTAATAAACACGTTAAATGTATATCCAATTCAGATATTTTTGAAAATATGGGGTGAAGAATATTCTAGAATAACATGAGACGTGTATTACACTCGTCTACCAATAGGAAGACGACATTTGGACCGAGTTGCAACCGGCTTATTCGTGATTTGTCGATTTGCATTGCGTGGGTTCATTTGATTGGTGGATGTTTGCGTTTGCCTGTTACTATATTATAGCGTCACGGGTAGATTATATGACAGTCGGTGTAAAACAGCGGACGAAGGTGTATAAAGTGAATTCGAAGATATTTTCGCTTTTTTTCTTCCATTATTCGTGAACCACTCACGAAAGCAATGAAAAAGGCGTTAATATTGTTATCGGTCCTGTTCCTCTTGGCAGGTAATTTAAGAATTATTGCTAGGAAAAGAATTTGAGTTAACACGTTGATCAAATTGCAAGCATCAATGTTCGTATTTGTTGTTTAGGATTTGTTAGAGCAGAAGATGAAGTCGAGGAAAAAGTTGGAACCGTGGAAAACGATCTGGGGGCCAGCCGCGAAGGATCTCGAACAGGTTACTTATTTACTAATGTATTAATATTTCATGATACTCATCATCTTTAGTTTCTATGAAGTTCACTGTACTCGAAAATTTTGAAATTTCTAAGTGATCAAAGGAAATTAATTATATTTTCTAGACTTCGAGTTCTTAAATATAATAGCAGTTTTTAACTATTTCTTCCACACATACGAATTTTTCTTTAATTCATTATTGAATATGGAGCTAAATACATACACTGTAAATGGAAATAAAATGCCAAATTTTTATTGTACTTGTTGAATATTGTTATTAAAGATAGTGGCTATAAATAGCACACACACATGTGGAATTTTTTATTCACAAAAGCTAATCATAACAGATATCCATCTGTGTTTAACCATACAAATAATGATTATATCTTGGTTTTTACATAATTCACTTGTAACACACCTGTAATAAGTAATACTTTGTTTACAAAGTAAATACATTTTACAGATGATGGAGTTGTTCAGAGGGAAGAAGAAGCGATAAAATTAGATGGACTAAATGTGGCTCAAATGAAAGAACTAAGGGACAAAGCTCAAAAGTATATGTTCCAGACTGAAGTCAATCGAATGATGAAACTCATTATAAATTCTCTCTACCGGAACAAAGATATTTTCTTGAGAGAATTGATATCAAATGCATCTGATGCTTTAGACAAAATTAGATTATTATCTCTTACAGATAAAAATGTTCTGGATGCTAACCCAGAACTAGCAATTAGGATAAAGACTGATAAAGAAAATAAGATATTAAGTATTAGTGATTCTGGTATTGGTATGACTAAACATGAGCTGATTACAAATTTGGGAACAATTGCTAAATCTGGAACTGCTGAATTCTTGGGCAAAATGCAAGATGCTGCCAATGCTCAAGATTTGAATGATATGATTGGTCAATTTGGAGTTGGCTTCTATTCTGCTTTCTTAGTTTCTAATACAGTAATTGTTACTTCCAAGCACAATGATGACAAACAATACATTTGGCAGTCTGATAGTAGTAGCTATAGTATTATTGAAGATCCAAGGGGAGACACATTAAAGAGAGGCACAACAGTTAGGTAAGCAATATAGGATTTATTTTATACATTATTTTTCTGGCATTAAAATATAAAAACTAATTTATTTTTTTTATAGTTTGCACTTGAAGGATGAAGCATTAGACTTCTTGGAGGAAGATACTATTAGAAACTTAGTGAAAAAATACTCACAGTTCATTAACTTCCCTATTTATCTCTGGAGCAGTAAAGTCATTCAGGTTGATCAAGAGGAAGAAGAAGCAGAAGAAAAACCAGTAAAGGAAACGGAAAGTAAGAAAGAAGAGGAATCTGATGGCGAAGATAAAGTGACGGACGAAGAGGATGATGCGAAAGTAGAGGAAGAATCAGAAGAAGAAAAGAAGGTGAAAAAAATAGACAAAACTGTATGGGACTGGGAACTCTTGAATGATTCAAAACCTATATGGACTTTGAAACCATCTGAGGTTGAAGAGAAAGATTATAACGAGTTCTATAAAACACTCACAAAAGATACTCAAGATCCTCTCGCTAAGATTCACTTTGTTGCTGAAGGCGAAGTTACTTTTAAATCGCTTCTTTTTATTCCCAAAGTTCAACCGAGCGACAGCTTCAACCGCTATGGCACTAAAGCAGACAATATTAAATTATACGTAAGACGAGTATTTATCACCGATAAATTCACAGATATGATGCCTAATTATTTGTCTTTCATTCGCGGTATCGTCGATAGCGACGATTTACCATTGAATGTTTCTCGTGAAAATTTACAACAGCACAAACTTATCAAAGTGATCAAGAAGAAGTTAATAAGGAAAGTATTAGATATGATAAAGAAGATTCCTAAGGAAGATTACGACAAGTTCTGGAAAGAATACAGTACTAACATCAAACTGGGTGTAATTGAAGATGCTCAAAATCGAGCCAGGCTATCGAAGCTATTATTGTTCCACTCTTCCACACAGAAAGGAACTACAACATTGTCCGATTATGTTTCCCGCATGAAGCCCAAGCAGCAATACATATATTATATTGCTGGTTCTTCCGATGAAGAGGTAAAGAAGTCTCCGTTCGTCGAAAGATTGGATAAGAAGGGTTACGAAGTTCTGTACTTGACCGAAGCCGTCGATGAGTACACTATTTCCGCTCTTCCTGAGTTCGATGGAAAGAAATTCCAGAATGTCGCGAAAGAAGGGTTCTCTCTTGATGAAGGAGAGAAGGCTAAAGAGAGAATGGAACAACTGAAAACCACGTTTGAACCATTGGTCAAATGGCTTAGTGATATTCTGAAAGATCACATAAGTAAGGCTCAGGTTTCTGAACGTCTTACGGATTCCCCATGTGCATTGGTTGCCAGCATGTTTGGATGGACTGGAAATATGGAAAGATTAGCAATTTCAAATGCCCATCAAAAGAGTGACGACCCACAGAAAACGTACTATTTGAATCAAAAGAAAACTCTAGAAATTAATCCAAGGCATCCACTCATCAGAGAAATGCTTCGTAGAGTAGAAGTAGACACCAATGACGAAACAGCAAAAGATATCGCCTTAATGATGTTTAGGACAGCTACTCTTCGGTCTGGATACATGCTTAGGGAAACTGCTAGCTTTGCAGATAGTGTAGAGCAACTAATGAGGAAAACGCTCGGTATTTCTCTCGATGAAGTTCCTGAAGAGGAGGAGATACAAGAAGAAGAATCTGCTTCAGCGGAAACGGAAGCAGAAAGTGAATCCGAAAAAGCCATGGATATGGATGAGAATGAGGAGGATAAGGACGAAGAAAAGCACGATGAATTATAATCAATAATTATATTGAATAAGACTAATTTTATAGTTGCATGACTATACAATGTATAGTCATACAGTTAATCCATTTAGTTGTGCAACCGTTATTGTTGCAAACAAAAATGAACTCTTGTATAGAGAGAAAAAGAGATAAATGTACCCTTTGATGTTTCTTTGTAGTATTTCATACGTTTTTTTTTACTAATGTGTCGATTTCAATGATACGTCAAAGGATGTGATAAATATTAAAACGCGAGTTGTTTCGCTAATTAAATTTTTCACCATAATATATTTAGTAGTAGCATCATAAGTTGCATTTTCTTAAAGGGTTATAATTTATTTCATTTGATCTTCCACCCTTTTATACGATACAAAAACGTTATCGACTGAACACAATGACTCTGCAGTATGTTTGTGATGTGAATGAATGTATTTGTATAAAGAATATTAAAAAGATTATTGAAATAATATAAACTTTTTATGTTAGACTACGATTCAGTCTTTATCACCATTCTTCGAATTTATTGTATATTTTTACACATATCAGAAATGCGATAATATTAATCGAAACCAGACGGTATCCTTTTATCGTTGTTTGAAAGAATAAATAAGTACTGTTATGTGTGATATTCGATTCTATTTCGAAATTTACGGATCTAGAAACTTCGAAAATTCCCAACATTCATTTTTACGAAACCAATAATATATTTTAACTCTGTATCGAAATTTGCAATACTTATTTCTATAAAAATAGTAAGTTTATCGTATTTTCAATTTAATTTTCTATGATTTACACTTTCAAAACAATGCCAAGTTATTAATTTCCGGTGAACGCACTGATTCCGGTAGACTGACAAATAAGAGAGCCACATTCCGCTGGAACTGGGACAAACGACGTAGATATCCGAGCGTAGCCGAGCGCTCATTTCCGTTTTCGAATCCGACGTCACCTACTCTCAAAGCCCGTGTGTTTTGTGTTTCTTTGGGGCCACGATGATTATCGCTAATTTAACGTAAGTATTGCTCGATTTCATCAATGATCATGTCAATTAAATCAAACGGAATTCCCGTGGTGTCGTTTGTAATAAAAATTGGTCACGAAACCGCGCGAATTCCTTGCGTAAGTTTTTCGGGAACAGAAAGTTCGCCATGCCGGCCTATGAAGTACCTCTTTCTCGAGTTCGTTCGATTAACCGAGAAACGACAGAAAATTTTAGCTAGCCATCTTTCGTTACTATTACGACCACTGTTTCAACCAAATTAATCGATTCGTTGAAAATGAAAAAATAAGTCGGGTCTAATGGTCGGGCATAAACAAAATAAATGGCGTCGGCATACTTCGTATCTCTAATATGACAAATTTTCGGCTGTCCAGTGTTGTTTAATTAAAGAATATTATGCCACAATTCCTTATTTCCGATTATGAAGATCTTTTCATGTCGAGATAAAATATCTTTCACGATATAGCGGGACAGTGCCTTGTTATTTTATTCGTCTGTTTTTTGATCTTGTGATTTTAAATAAAATTCTTATTACACGATCTGTCAACTACATTTTGCGATCGTTGTTTGTAATTTCTTTCAAATAATTTTTAATATTGAATATATATGGACTAAATAAAAAAATAATCGTGTACAGTAATTGGTATTTAACTGATGTGTTTTTTCAGGTTGAAATTATTAAAATTGAAATTAGATCTGTTTGTATCATAAAAGCATCTGAAAGGGAAAAGTAACAAAACACTTTTGCTTAACTGTCAAGAAAGGAAAGAAAACAATTTTAACGTTACATAAAAGTCAAACAAATTTAGTCCACGAATTTACATTACTAAGAAATCTTGAACAAAATGGGCATTCAAGATCTGCAAGTCTTTTTGGATGGCAATTATGTACCAGGAGGGTCTGTACCTGTGGATCTGTTGAAAATTGCACGTAACGTTATTCAAAGACAACATAATCGTATCGGTAAAACGCAACAATTACAGTCTGCTAAACTAAGACTAGTCCTTGATGGAGAATGTTGTCTAGACAGATTATATGGAGGATACTTCTCAGGTATCTATAAGTCCTTACATTAATTGAGCTACAAAATATAGAATTTATGCACTGATCAGAAAGAAACACTCAGTATGAAATATAATATTTTATCATGTTTATTTTTATAGCTGGTCTAACAAAGTAGCAAAATAAGGTACTAAAAGACTGTTTTCTAATTTAGATTGGGCATGCGGGGGTCAATGGAACAGAATGCTGCAGTTTTTAGCAGTCCTTATACACGCAACAGAAGCATCAAGGGTGGAATTAGCTGTATTCTTTAATGGTTGTTTTGAATCTCCTAGACGAGCAGACTGGATTCAGAATCAGTTACAAGTGCGAATTAAAGTAAATAATGTAAGTAATAATCATTTATATAATTAGAAATTTCATTGAAATCTTCAAAATTTTAATAAATAACATTTATAGGTATTGAAACACATTTCAACAAAAGGCACTCCACCACCAAAAATTTGGTGGACACCACCAGTATGCTTGAGAACCAGTTTACGTATGGCTTTAAGACATTTGAATGTTACAGTTTTATGTAGTATGGATGATCATCATCAAGAAGTAATTGCTTATTGCCGAGAAAATAATTTCAACGGCTTAATAGCTGATGATGCCGAGTACGCTGCATTTGATCCTCCAAGATACTTCTCGTCTGAACAATTAAAACTTACGTATAAGGGTTCTCTCGATACAAAGGAATACATTCTCCCTGAAGTTTTAAAAGCGTTGAACATCCCGTCTGATAGACTATGTTTTCTAGCTGCGTTACTTGGAAACTACATTTTAACTGAACATGACTTGGCTGATTTTTATCAAAAATTGAACGTCAACACCAATGTGAATAAAGTGAATGTAGAACATACAATAAAAACGATCGCAAATTTCGTTAAAGACCTTCCATCCATTGAATTGGACGTAGTCGCGCAAAAAGTTTTTGGATCTGAAAAGGATCCAAGGTGTTCGAAACTGAGGCAATCAGTTCAGTACTATATAAATGGAACTAAAGAAGGATTCTTACATTACAAACCAGTGAAACCAAGTAGAGGTAAAGTTTTTCTTTTACTTGAAAATATGTTATAATAACATCTCCGTTGTTCTGATCAAACGTAACGTTGTTTTAGTACATAAAATAGATTCTAAACAAAATGTGCAACAGCAGTCAAATTTATCGGAAACACCGTCAACTTCGGAAGTTGATTCTAATTTAGAAACATCGAGATTCGCTTCTGAAACGGTAGAAAGCGAACGAGAGAGTTTAAACGCGTACAAGCAAGCAACGGCAAATGCAAAGTCCGCGCCGCAAATTGTGATAGATCCACCGGGTCTTCAGGGCCATGGAGACACCGACAATATTAGGACCGAAGAGGAACAAAGTAAATTAAACTGCGATAATGTCGGCTCGTAAAATATTATTTGTATGATCTAAAATAAATAATATTTTATTTAGGTAACGGTCACGCAATTAACGGCACACACAATCTTCTAATTAGTTCGTCAAGTTCGAGCAGCAGTTCATCCGCCACGTCTCCATCTCATGCAACAGCTGATTCGACAAAACAGACGGAAAAGATAACTAATATTCCCAGCACGGTACCAGAAGTTATGCGTACCGCGTCTGAGCGACATCAGAAAGGCTTGATGTCTCCACATATTTATCAAATTCTCATCGCTGGCGAGATCAAATTACCTGTCCTTTTGGAGGACGAAAATCACCGCGAGTTCCCATCGATTCATCTTATTTATAGACCCGTAAGACAGATGGTATATGCGATATTATTTAATCTTCATCACCGGATGTATTTAGCTGCTAAGAGTAAAGAAAAAGGTGGTAAGTAAAGTGATTGTTGTATAATTTATATTACAATAAGTGGTACTATATACACATAATTCTTTGCAATAGATAGCGAAAAAATAGAAGTCCCAGATGTTGTGATAAAGGAGTGGGTATGGTCCAAGTCAAATCCTTACCAAACTCCGGAATTAGTGAAAGCGGAACAAATCGGTTGGGGTGTTCCTACAATTCAGCGTCTGTGGTTTGGGTAATTGTACTTAGTAATTGTGTTTCTTAGATATGAGTATTAAGAAATTCACAGAGACTTTGCTTATAGCACAGGTATAGACGATAAACGTCGTCGACTGCGAGGTTTCTTAACTTGTATGATGTCAGACACGCCTCTTATGTTGAATACCTCTTACGTACCACAACATCTTTTAGTCATGGCATGCGTACTGAGGTAAGCATTCTTGTATTCCTAATAAATTCGTTGCAAAATTATCTCCTTACATGTACACTCCTTTTCTAGATATATTATGTCGTTTTCCGATAAAATAAAGATTCTACGTCGTCAGGAACTAGATGCTTTTATTGCACAAGCATTTTCACCGGAGCTTATGAACACTCAGTATTTACAAGATCTCCAGGTAACTTAAATATCATAATAAGGTTCAATTTTTTGCTGTTTAAGAATTTTATTTAAAAAAATAAAACATTATACAGCTTCCTTTAGTGACATCCCGCGGAGTACAATTAGCTACATTATTTATGACCGGCGTCGAGACCGCTCTTTTAGCTAACGATGCGTGTGGTGCACCCATCCCATGGTTAATGTGCTGTCCGTGGTTGTATTTCGATGGAAAATTGTTTCACCACACGTTGGGTCGTGCTACGATCGCGAAAAACTTACTTGAACTTTGCAACGGTCATATAGATCGTGTTGTGAAAGTTGAGCGAATGAGGAAAGCTGTACTGGAGGGTATTAATGTTATTTATGCGCGTCCACCGATGCCCGTCGCATCAGGTATGTCTCTTCATTCTTATCAAGAAAAAGTTTCAAATCTCCATTTAGGCAGTTTGATTTTCTCTTCCAACAACCTTAATATACCATGTATACTTTGAGTGGTATGTTTTCGATTTGGAAGTAGAGAAACTCAGTTATATTGCTTCGTGGGCTTTGTGTATGTTTCTAAGTCTACGAATCTCAAAGCTGATACATAACTATATTTTGGAGATTCTATATATTGAATAGAATTTTGTAAGTCCTCTAATCAGTAATTAATGCTTATTTGTATGATAGGTATTCGTGTGTCGGTACCGCCGAACATTTTAACTGCTGGCTGTGCGATTAATGATGGTTTAATGCGTGGTCGTGGCAGTGGAACAATGCCTCAACGTGGTTTGATGCGTCGCCCTATACCTTCTCGTGGTGGACAGTTAGAAATCGCCGGAGTCGTTGTAGGACAGTGGGGTCCAAACTATGGGCAACCTGGTCGCCTACCTCAGCCTCTACAGGGTCATCCTCGTGGGCGGCTTCCGCCACAGGTAGGATCTTATGGATACCATCATTACGATGCGATCGAATGAAATAGAAGTTAAATTTTTTCATTTTATAATTATTTTTTTAAGTTTTTGTAGCTTTTATGTACAGCCTAAGTGCTATTTTGAATAAAAGATTACTTTTGTATTATCGAAGTTGGTAAGATTGTTACCTTCCAATTAGTTAGGTCTTAACAAAAGATATTATTTATCTCATCAGTTGAGAACTCACCCTTAGAAATAATAAAGCTATATAGTATAACTTTTTAAGGCGTACATTGTAGGTAACGTCAATAGGCGGTCTCAAGTATGGTCTCCCGCGTGGCTTTAACCCCATGGGTCGACCTACATTTCAGACGCGCGGAACTAATCGAACACAATTAGCAGGACGTGGAAAAAAAACGCAAATGAAGGTGAAAATAAATCATATTTACTATTGGAGTAAGGAGGAGAGGTCGTGAGCTGACCTATTTTACAGACAGTACACGTTTTCGTATTTTCATTCTTTGTCAAGTTTTAAAAAGCGTGAGAAAATATTGCTGTCCGCCTCGAAATCATCGAACAATGAACTTTTTTCGACCTCTCCTTACAGGATATTGTATGAAACCGCGCTAACTTACACTTATTTGCGCAGGCAACTGCTAAAAAGAAAACTACTGTTAAAAAGAACAAAGAAAATGAAAAGAAAGATAGTAGGGGACGTGATAATAATATTGATGGAATAACCGATTATAAGTAAGTGATCTGTATGTTTAATGCGTTGCGAAAGCAAGAGCACGAATTTCAAAATTTATTTATGCCATTAGCGATACGATTCCAAACACGAATGCAACAAAAGATGCACTGCCAGTACCAGGTCAATTTGAGGACGCCGTTGAAAATAGCAAAGGGATAGAAAAGGGGCAGGGAGATGCGTCGCTGGTCGTTCCAGTCGCCGCTGAAAATTAGGTATTTATACGTCACTTTTTATTGACATTTAAACTCCCGGATGTGACACAAGACTGCAATCAAAATCTTCTTAGAACGTGTAACGAGTAATAATGCGTCGATGACATTTGAAGATTTGCACTCCTGACAAATTCACGCAAGAAAATTTTAATCATAGATTTTTATTTTTTATTTTTTTCTATATATGAGTAAAAGGAGGAGTTGAAATATCGTTAATGAATTGTTCCACGATTCAGTTCTTTCTTTAAGTTCAGTTTTCGTACAGATTTCGTACTGTCAGAAAGAATCTTCAAATGTTACATGCAGAACGACTCAACAATGTCTAAAGCTCTGATGGGGCCAAAACTAATTAAACTAATATAGGAGACAAAGCATCGTTAACACGATGTCAAGATATGTAACGCAAGGATAGACCCATTTCCGACGTACACAATACGATGTCCTCACTGCCAAACGTACCATTCAGTGTGTAAGATAAGAGCGAAAATGAAAACGAAAAAAAAAAAACAAAAAAAAAAAAAGAACACGTAGGAAAACAAAGAAATTGTGCTTGTGTTAACGCGAGCGTGTCTGAACTACTCCGCTCGGATCACCATAAGGATGAAATCGACTGATTAGTGTATGCGTGCGCTAATTTTACTAAAAGATACAAGAAACGAGAGAACAAGTCGTCAGCTGCTATAAGTATTTAATTCTTAAGAAGCGTGATTATTTTTTTTACAATGAAAATATATATTTTCCGGTATTATATGAAATGCGAGCATTGACACTCTTAGTATCCTGATCTGTCGCGGGAGTGATAGTATAACGAATTGTATACCTGCAATATGTAACGATATACTTGGACGTAGACGGACGAACAAATGGACGAAGACGTGTACGGATAGTTGACTGTTTTTTCGTAGATAACGCGAGGCAGGATACTAAGACATTCATTAGCAAATGGAGACTGATGCTTTTCATATAGGTAAAATATATATTTATATATGATTTAGGTTAGAGATTCCCGATAGCATATTATATGTAAGTTGTGATTAACTCGCGTGCGAGTATGAATGTATGCGTCTAGCGTGCGATGATGGAAGAGTATTGTTTTCTTTATTTTTTCTTTTTTTTATTTTTCTGAGAAGAACATTGTTAGGAGAGAACGTGATACGAATGCACGACTGCGAATGTGAGCATAGATAAACAAATAATGTATATAAACGTGGGATGTTGATACGCGTCGGTCCATGTACATGCGCGTAACATGTATAATCCGAACAAGATGAGTGAATGAGAATCACGCGCACGCTTGTACGCGGCCTGATCGATATATTTATTTGCTGTTGCGTCGAAGTAGATAGGAATGAGTGATTTTGGAACGAATTACAAATTTCCATGTATGATAAGATACGAAGGAAAGGTACGATGTACCCGCGGATCAACGGAGAGTTTACCATAAGAGTTTGAAAAATATGCTACATTTGTGTCGATCGCAAATTCCGTACATTGATCAGGAATACTTTTCGTTTTGTTCAACAAAATGGAAAACGAAGCATGCATGGGACGTAAAATACATTAGGTTCCATGAAAAGTTTGTTTCCTTTTTCGATTCGGTTTGGAAATTATGAGGAAACACATGCATACAGGTACACAGACACATGCACACATACGTACACTGCTGCAATAAGAAAGATTTGCGCCTTCTGTAGCATATTTTAAAAGATATGTATGTCCCCCGTTTAATTGTACATATGAATAGTTTACTTTAGAAGTGACGGCGTGGGATTGGTGTACATAAGAAGAAAATAGCCGGCAATCGTGTACTTGTTACACGACGGATGGCATAAAATAGGAGATGATTATGTTTAAAAGAAAGAAAAAAATACTATTTATGTGTAGAATAGTCGGAAAGACGTTCTACCAAAGATTCATTGGAGTTTGAAGAATAGAAGGGGGAAGGTGTTTTATCAGTAAAATATGATAATTAACAGATAACAGAGAAACAAGACAGCACGACAGAACACGGTTATTAAGGAAAAGATCAAAATCGAGAGTCGAAATAAAAAAATACAATGTGTCTAAAGTGCAGAAGTAACATTAAAATAAATAAGGGAATGAACGAGAGGGTGAGAGAGATATAGAGAGAACGATTGAGAGAGAGATAAAACCATTTATTGAGATAATATAATGAGAGATAAGATAAAAATGTTATATTTTTGTAGATTTGTTATTGCGTAAAATGCATTAAGACAATGAGAAAACTTTATATAATTTGAGTGACGGTTAAACTGAGCCTGAGAGAGTTATGGAAATAATTAAGATCACGAAGAGAATGGTATAAAGGATAAAAAAAGGGTGAATAAGTGCTTTAGACGAGAGACGATGGTATGTTGAACATGTTTGACATCCGTGATTAAAAGAAAAAGAAGAAAAAATATCTCGTTAATTTTTCTGTGTCTCCGAAGCTCTCAGAGATCTGAGCTGCTTCTAATAAATAACCTAAGAAGGAACAAAAATGTGAAACCGAAAACAAATTGATAAAAAATACAATGTCGCTTTGATTGTGAGTTATCTATCAGCGTATGCACATAATAAGAAGTTTTCCCAATGCGATTCAAAGGAACGAACAGAAAAATGAAATCTCATAAATGGAACTATATTTGTAGATGTAAAAGGAAATAATGATTTGCGCTATCGTTTAACGATTCTATTTATCAATACGTACATACTTGTTGTTTTTCAAGTACTCTATAAGTGCACAAGATATATGCAAAAAAACAATAACCAAAAAATGACAAAAAAGACATCGCCATGTATCTTCCTTGAATATTCGAAATTTCTAAACAGCGTCAATCGTTTACGAACAACTTATCAATATAATGCTAGAAGCAAAGACTTTTAATGGCTGAACATTAAAAAAAGAGTAAAATGCCACTTTACGCTTTCGTGTAAAGAATAGATTTTCTTTCTGAGAAATCGATCATCCTGAACGTGCAACCAGAAGCATGCAAAACGTATAAAAATAAACTAAAAGAGAAAAGAGGTGAAAAAATAACATGATGGTATATACAACGTAATCAGTTGCTGCTGCACTGATATGAGGTAACGCAATAAATATAAGCAAAGGAATAATTTAATAATAATGTTGAAGCGAACAAGCAGAACCATGAATCGAATAATGAAATAACGATTAAAGAAGAAGAAAACTAAAGGAAATCCATATTATTGAAATATGCAACAGAGCAGAAGTACCGCAAAAAAGAAAATGATAGTATAATATTATATCAAAAGAAAAGTGAAAACTTTTGCAAAACATATAATGCTCGACGTAAAAGAACAGGTGCGCGCCTGACTCGTGCCTGCTTTTCATTGTAATAAGTAGAAAAATGGGAAAAAATGCACACAGAAATGTAGGGGCCCACGAAAATACTTTGTTTAAACGATAGAAGATGTAACCAGGCGAGAAAGTAATGGAAAAAAATGAAGAGCCAACGCGTAAACGATTAACTAACTCCTTGTGTATCTAGAAAGTAAAACCATTTATAATCTTGACCTTCGAACATTGTGTGTCGTTGTGGTAAACAGAAAATTAATTGTACTTCGAAGTAAGACACATTTTAACTCTCGCTAATTGTAACAATGATGATGCTGCATCATAATGTAACGCTAAATGCTTAATAAGTGAGAAACAATTGAACGAGAATGTAAATTAAGCAATTATATATTTTCTTTTTCTGTTTTTTTCTTAAAATCTATACAAACATTTTTTATACGTCAACGCGTCAGTTTTCTAAAGATTGTTTTCTTCATTTTTTTTTTCTTTTTCATTAAATCAGGACCGTTGTTATACTTTTGTTAGAGCAAGTTTTTACTGATGCAGCAAATAGCCACAAGTTCAAGAGAAACATGAATTTGTTTCTTACCGTGAAAACAGAAAAAAATCTTTGTTGTTTCGCTGTTAATTTATCCTTTATTATTATTATTAATTTTCTTTATTATTTTTTTTTTAATTGTTTTCCATTCTCCGTTTGATTTGTAATCACAGTGTAGTAGAACCTTAGGTCTTTTCACAAAAATCACATTGTACGTGAATATATACATAGGAAAAAATATATATATACGAAAATGGAGCAGATCATTTAATTTCAATGATTTATTTTAAATGATTGCCACAAAAAAAGGATAATAACGATGCGTTTATATTATTATTTCACTGTATCTTTGATAGAAGCACGTAACCAATGGGCATTAAACAAAAAACGTTTAACATATTCTCATTTCTGTTTTGTATAACGCATGCCATATTATAGCTTCGTGTTGGTAGAATTCCAGAATTTTTTATAGCAACCCGATGAGAAATGTAAACAGTGCTCTCAATGAGTATTGAAAAGAGAAGCACGAATGAAAATATTGTGTTGCTATGATGCTCGATGCTTAAATTTTAAGTTTCTCTTTTACCATAGTTTTTGCTTGCATATTCTATTAACAAAATATATTAAAAATACGGTAGCGAAGACAGTAAATAAAAAATATTAATAAAGTAAGAAAAAAAAACACAAAAAAAGAAGAAGTAATGAATTAAACACTTATCAATGTAGCTGCAAACGTATGTGGGCCCCATCCTTATATATTCTTATTAAATATTGCATAACGTGTATTCCGCTATTATTTTTCATAGCTAAAGGAAGCAACAAGAAGAAAGATGATTAAAATGCAAATGCGTACAGAGGGTAACTGTTATATGTTACAATTTATAATTATTGTATATTTATTTTTCTGTTTTACTCACTTTTGTTTTATAATACGTAATAAGATAATATAACAAGATAATTGATGACCAAGCGTGCGTCGCGCATGGAATGTAAAAGAACTTTAAACGATCAGAAGAAAACTGAGAGAAACTGAATGCTTTGGGCTCGAATGGCAAAAACGAAGAAAATAGGTTATGGAAAAATTGTGTATGCGCTATAATTTTATCAATGATTGTATTATTTTAAACCTATATGGGTCGGTTGGTGGTAGCTATTTCCAGAAGATGTAGAAAAACCAGTGTAAAGTAAGCGTTATAATGTATAAGCGTTTCCAAACTATGTATTTGTTGGTATAACGGTGTTGAAACTTATCGCTGTGTGATGATTTAATGTTGCATCTCTCAACCAGCAAATATTATTATTCGTGCATACGCGCGGCCCAATTCAAAACACAATAACGAGCAAAGTTTTGCGCGCAGAAACAGTATGCTATGTTAGTTAGTGATTTGCTGGTGTTTTCGAGGCGTTTTAAAAAGACCTCCATACCGATCCATTTGGTCCTTACAGTTTTCTCTATAACACAAAGTCACATCGATGTACTCTTGTTGGATTATTCTACCCTGTAACTTAAAGTTGTAACATATGCCCCAGTCATGTCTAGTGTCAAGCAGAGCTGATTCTATGCTTTTGCTGGTTTGGAAAATTGAAGAAAACGTTTCTTAAGCAAAACCAACAAATAAAAGAGAAAAAAGCTGAGCGCGAAAATTTCTTAAGTATTCGTACAATAACAAAAAGAAAGGAACAAGTTGAGAAGAATCCAATGTTGTTGAATAATTTAAGTACAGGCGTGTTGGAAGATAGGGACAAATAAAACTGGAAGAATCAGTGCTGGCGAAAACACAAGGCAACCAAAAAATTATTATAAAACTAAAAAAAGTCACATTTAAAATACTTTTAAAGTGAATACATATTTGGAAAGTAGGAGGTAATCATTATATTAATGTAGTGGCAACTCTATAATACTGCGAAAGAAAAAAAACCAATATATTCAATAATTATTCGAAATATTAAATGCAAAATGCACTTTAATGGATGTTGTAACAATTTAAAGCATTCAAATTGCATCGACATTTTTCTGTAAATCTGTTCTTTGGAATAGAACTGCTCTGCTAGCTGAACTGCATCTTTCTTTCTAACAAGAAAACATAATGATTACAAACTGGGAAAAGCAATCTTTTTCTTTGTCCCAATGAGCAGAGAAGTTTCTCCAATGACAGATATTTTAAGTTTGTTTCTTTTAAAAAAAATATATATATATATATTTACCTTCGTTTTTCTTGTATAAATGCAATTACACGACACACATGCAAATTAGAAAGAGCAGTTACGGTTCATAGAGATTCTCTATTGAATTAAAGAGAATAAAACTTCGCAGGACATACTGCACAGTTTGAAATAAAGGAAACAAACTTTCAATGAAGTTTTGTAAGAAAGCTGTTCGTGTGAGAAGTTCTCGGAGATGGTTGGCTTACATTTTCGGAAGTTTAATGATTTATTGAAACGTGTTGTCATGTCTTGAATACAATTAAAAGAAAATATTTAAAAAAGTACCGTGCATCATTGATATTACCTTCGATCTTTATGTTACTCCTATTACTATTATTTATAATAACTTGTAGGATGTTTAAATGAATTGTATGCACCTGTAACGTCCATTAGAGTTTTATTTTATTCTGTTGTTCAGTAGACAAGTTGTTTAAATGCAACTATCAGTTTTAAGAAACTCAATATCATAAAGCAGTGTGCTTTGTAGGGTAAAGATATAACCGGCTTTTATATTCTTGGATGTCGGTAACAGATTGCAATGTAGACTTATTTTCGATCTCGTCTGTAATAGGAAGATACACAAGTGGATACTTCGTAGTTGCAACCTTTTCCTGATGTTGGTCAGCTGCAGAAAAATATATAATTTAATTTGTATAATTTATGTATTATAAAATTTGAGTTGTTCATTGGTATATACTTACAGTTCTGTTCATTAGGATGCAAGTCATCATCATTACTTTCCTTAGGATCAGAAGTCCCAACCACGTGAACACTTAGTTTTCTTAAATTATTCCCATTAAGCGTGTGAGAGTCCATCCATTCTCTCAGATCATCTAGAGTTATTTGTTCTATCATAAGCAGCTCCTTTTCAATTTTGTCGAACATGTAATTGCCTGTGGTGATTTCTACCCAGTTCCTATCGACCTCCTCTTTCAAATGCACATCGTCGCACAGTTTAAGTTTCATCAATGCCTCTTTGATACTCTCCAGTTCCTTCTCTGACATTTCTTTCAAAATACCTTTGAACATCTGTACAAAAGCTTCGATTCTATTGTCCACATGTTCTGTAGTGTACTTATTTGCTTGGGTGTGGACCGTGATAGAATATCCAAGAATGTTAAAGGTATCTCTTAGTATACAGAACACGTGATAACCTAGTTGTTCCAGCGTTCTGAGTTGATTGAAAAGAGGTTCCTCCATAATCATGATTATTAATTCGATGATGACGGATAATCTGATGGATGTAACACCGGATTGATAGTAATTCATCACGACAGAATTTACATCTGTTTTATTGAAGTTCTTCACTTTGCAACAGTATGTGCCTGTTGGTATCTGTGCAACTCTAATCTGTGGCATCGTGTGAGGCAATAGTGGTCCACATTTCAAAGTTTCTACAAATTCTTTAACATTTTTTATAACATCCTCTTTGGTCATATTACCCTGCACCAAAGATTGAATGTAAAGATGATCAGTGAAATATCTAACAAAGTTTTGAAACTCGTGAAACTGAATATTTTTGATGGCAATGTGTTTGTCGAGAGCAGGCCAATGAACTAGCATTAATATCGATAACCTCACGTCTTTAACTAACTTTTTAGGCTTCAAAAATGTATTATAATACTCTCTGGTCGTTTTCTCTTTTATTACTTCGAACAACTCTTCTGATACAAGGTTTGGAGAGTTCGCTATATACTTTGCAATGATCATCAACAAAAGAGGCAATTTCTGATTAAATCCATTTATTGCTAGCAAGATACCCTTATCATTCGTATAAATGTCATAATTTAATTTTGCAACTTCAGCTGGATATAATTGTTCTACTAACAACTGTTTTAATGTCGCAACAAAGAGATCCATCAGGGCTGCGCTGAAATGTTGAAATAAAATTTTATCGATTATGTCTAAAATTTGCTAATAAGATATCTATAATAATAATTACCTCTTTGGGGAACTCAGTACCAAAGGTGTTACAATGTTAAAGTACATATAACATTCGGGCAGACAAAATTTAGGATCAGGTCGGTACCAGACTTCCAATATATCATCAGAATGTATTTTTGTGGGATATTTGGATACGTCAGACGGTATCGAAATCAAACTAAAATCATCTGTGAGAAAAACGTTCGGCAATGGTAAATGAAATTCGGGTAAAGGTTTTATCGTTTTCCAACAATCGACCCATTCTTGAGGTATTTCTGTATCTGTGTATTTGGTTTTGAACCATGGCTCAACTTTGTCAAATTCTTCGTCATTGAATTTCTTGTCGAGAATCATGATGTTCACGTTGTCAGGTGTTAAGCAATTCATGTATTCTTGTATAGCTTTTGGATTATATTCAAAGTACAATTCGCTACCGGTTAAATAATCGGAGGGAGGGTAATAGTGCATGTCTTGACATAGATCCTCCACATATTCAGCCGGCGGTGTTTCGTCCATGAATCTGAAGTTCATTTCTTTTATTTGTTGCATTTCATCGAAAAGCTGCTTCTGGGGACCCTCCTTTTGCATTAAGTTAATGAACGAGAATATAGCATTCAATACTTCTTGCAACTGTTCCTGTCCTTGTTCGGTTAGTATCAGCGATATAGTAAATAAAGCATACATTGAACTGTCCGTAAAACCGCTATCCGCGTTATCGATATCGATGTCAAGGCACCACATTTTCTTCCTCAAATAACTTATTAATGAACCTTTCCCTTTGTTACCCAATACCCAAGAAATGTATTCGTGCGGTTTACTTTTGTACAAATGCTGCACAGGTGGCATTGACCACGTTAATTCCACTTGACGAACATCTTTTATAGGTTTGATTTTATAGATTCTTCGAAAGCTTGGTGTATGGAATGACTCTACGCCTTTAAACATGCTAAAATCATCGACTGGCAAGCCATTATTTGTTACTTTGGCAAAACATTGTTTCACGTAATCTTCCAACACATCTAATGGAAGCTTAGCTTGTATAGCAACTTTCATTCTGTGAGCGCTATAATGACGTTCCCTGAATTTGTGTAACTGATCGTACAGTTTCTCCTCGGACACGTTATCGCGTAACGTTACTAAATTGCCCCACCCAAATTTTTTTGCTGGGTGATCCTGCTTTGCAAAACTACTAAATAATTGCTCCTTTCTGTTCTCATCAGAAGGTAAGGCCATTTGAAATTCTGTAATGATAATTAAATATCATTACATATTATAACAAAATGCATTAGCTTAATTATTTACGCGTACCGCTTTCTACCGCTTCACGTTCCCTAGTTATGGCATCCTTCTTCATTAGAGGGCTAATAAAGAACTGGGCAAAACGATCAAGTGCTGCCAACAAATGTTTTTCTTGTACTTCAAAATAATACGTTGTTAATTCACAGTCTGTACAGGCATTATCAGAGCCACCTCTTTTTTTAATAAATGTATCAAAATCGTTCTCCTATAAGTTAAAATAAATATTTCTGACACTTTAAATTCAGCTTAACTCAAAAAATTAATGCTTGAAATGAATACCTGGGGATACTTTTCAGATCCCATGAAAACCATGTGTTCTAAAAAGTGTGCTAGACCTGGAATTTCTGGTGGATCGCTGAAACTACCAACACTAATAGATAATCCACATGCAGCCTATATAAAATAACAAATATAACAGTTCACCTATGATAGAATGCATATTCATAGGTCTCTCCAAGTAAGGGAAATCTAACATCAAGATGTAATATATTCTCAAATACTGTACTGCAACCGTGGAAGTAGCATTAGAAAGAAGATTTATATATTTTGGGATTGGATTTTCCCTATTTGGGAAGGCCTGTTTCATAAGAATCATTAAAAGATACCATTTTTTCATCTCTCTTCATCTGTTTTGAACTAGTAGACAAGTCTCCTGGAGCCTCTGTATCACAATCACATTCTTCATTGTCTGTATTATCACTTTCACTTTCATCTTCGCTACTTGAAGCTTGTTCGCTGTCAACTTCATTTTCAGATTCATTTGCACTAGTTACTGAATGAGCTAGTAAATAATAAGTATTTTCACATTCTTCAATTACTCAACAACTAAATAATATAATAAACAAGTGCATGAATCATAATAATACAACATAATAAATAAAGAACACAAATTGAAAGAGATTGCAGTATAATGCAGTTGACATTTCTATTTACCTTTTTCGCTATTATTATTTTGTGAACTTGATACGTGTAAATCTGCTATTAACAAGGCAGTTAAACCATTTTCTAATTCAATCACCCTAGAATAAGAATATGCATTCAATAAAATGTGTTTGAAACAGAAGGTGAAGATACAGTAAAGAATAATAACATTTTCTTAAGGTCAATTTTACCTGTATTCTTTTTTATCATTTTCTGACTTAACAGGCGTGTCTAAATATTTAACTTTTATTTGTGGTTTGTCGATCATGGTGCCAGCAACACCCTCAGTTTGAGTTTCACTTAGTAGCTGGTCAACCACCATTGTATTGACTTGAAGGTTAGGCTCTGTCAAAGTGGTTACGGTTTTTATTGAATTAAGTGTACTTTGATTAGGTTTCAACTTCTTTTCAGGTGGACACTGAAGAGAACGTTTTGGCATTATCGTTAAACAAGGTAATTTTTTAGTCCCGCATTGGAGCACCTTTGTGACAAGATATCGCGATGACCACGTTATCGTTACCATGCGTTACAAAGCAAACTAAACGATTTACAATGATCTGATTTCAGAGTCTAGTCGTGAAGGTATTTATTTTTATATATTTTGTAAGTATATCTTTCAGATGTTTTATTTTCTTTAATTGTGGGGATAGTAAAGTTCTTGTGTAATTTAAAAAAGAGTTTTTAAAAAGGAAATAATTTGGAAGCATTATTAAGAAGCTTTTATGGTTAACCACCAGGTGGAATCAAGTTATAAATAGACGGTCATACTTTTATATACTGTGATTTATTTCAAAGTACGTGAACAATAATTTGAAATAATATAAAAATAAGTATATATAATAGAATATTGAAAGTGTACAAAACTACATTTGAAGTAAAAGTATAAGACATCAGTTTTATTGTTACTATCCTAGTTTTCTAACCTGCAATTTTTCAAATACATTTTAGAACATAAATGGCAAGGGAACCGGATGAAGAATTGCGGAAGGCGTTTTCGCAATTGCATGAAAAGATGATAGATACTACTCAGAAATTGAAATTAGCAGATTTGCAAATTGATAAACTAAAACGGACAAAACAACGTACGGAATTAATCGTGAAAGAGATAACCTCCTATCCGAAGAATACGAAGGCGTACGAATCTGTCGGCAGGATGTTTCTTTTGGATGATATAGAAAACATTAAAAATGATCTTGAGAAACGAATGAAGACCGCGGATGAAAAAGTGAAAACTTTAGAAAACAATAAAACTTATTTGCAACAAAACTTGAAAGAGAGTGAGAACAACATCAGAGAAATGGTTCAGCAGAGACAAAATAAAGATACATCCGGTTAATTAACTCTTTTTCGTACAAACATTGTGTTACTGTCAAATATTTTCTAATGTTTTTATTACTTTGTCATTATGATACCTTTCCTTCATAGAATATACACATACACAGATTTTAAACTGTGTTCAATTTGAAATGTACAGTTAAAATATTGTCTCGTTCAAATATTTAGTAATTATGATCAATTATTTATATCCGATACTTTATATTTTAATAATAATTGCACTAGCTCATATATGATATAACTTGTATTTGTTGCAAACTATTTACTGACCAATAAAACAATTTGCTAAAATCACTGATGAAGTTTAGAATTAAAATTGGTAGAAGGTTTTAAAATATACTACCCTTCAAGAGATTCACAATTTATTAAACAGAAATATTAAGTACCACTGTAATTTCTAATTATTATTAATTTATTCCAGCAGAACTAATACATACAACAAACGATTTTCCGTGGTTTGACTTACTTTTCAACTTATCCTGTCATTCATTCTTTTCTTTCATTCTCTCTCTCCCTCGCATTCTCTTAAATTCCTTGGCTACATCCTAAATTACCCTTGAAAACTTATCATCGTGTGCCAACACGGTAATTTGGCAAACTGGTTAATTGAAAATTAAAATGCTCTAGTGTTGTCTCGCATCTGGGGTAGAAAAGATCGAACAATCAATAAGTTTACTCAGAACTTGTTAACCTTCCTGTCGTTAATTACATTTATATAATTGTTTTACTAATATAATGCATGGGATGTATTACGTGCTCTTCGGTTTTGCTTATGAATACTATAATATACGTGTGTTCCTGTTACGATGGTGCAGTAGTATGCAAATATATACAAAGTATTATCAAATTATGACTGCATTATCAAATTCGGAACCTAAGTCCTACTTAATGATCTGCGCTTAATTGTGAATCTCGAACAAAGAAATTCGATCCCTGCGATATTGAATTACGTATCAGTGTAATTATTACCGTGTGCATCGTTATAATACTTAAGTATCAAACAGACTTTTGTGCCTCTGCTCTCGTTCCGGCTCGTGTAGTAAATACATACATATATAGTATCCATGGTTGAGTAGTTCAAACGAGGATTAAATCGTGTATGAAAAACCTCATTGCCCTTATTTAATTATATAAAACCCATGCATTACAATAGCGTGTGTATCATAACGTGTACGTGTGTCTGTGTGTGTGTGTGTGTATGTGTGATTTGTGTGAAATGAATTCTCTCGAATGCAATATGTAACGTCAGTCTTAACTAAAATGATTGCCATTGTTTATCATACATTGTTGTCAGTAATTTTTAGTAGCATTTCTTGGTACTTGTGTGTAAACATGCAATCTAAATAAAATTTCCTGAATCGTTAAATAATAGATTAAGGGATACCACATTAAGTCTTTCAGATATTTAAAAAGAAATTATTGTCGTGGAAAAAAGTTTTGAATAAATTATAAGAATAATATCGATTGGCGTATCTTGTTAACGCACTTTACGATCCACGCAAATCTATTTCTTGTCTCTTAAATAAGTTTGCTTTTTTTTTTTTTAAGTAAAATGTACTTATCATTACAATACGATACACACCGTCGATGAAGAAGTATAAATCATGCTCTTAATATCGCTTAAGAAAATAATTTATGCCATCTTTCACAAGGACCGTATGTATAAATACAAAACATGAAAATCTTGATGCTAAACTCGAATGTACATGTAATAAATACAGGAATAATGTAATTTAGATGTAAGATATTACGCACGTGTGTTTTTCGTTATTTTTTTCTTTTTTTCCCTTTTTTTAATACTTTAGCGTCTTTTCTCTAATGAAATTCAGCTAAAAATCGTAATTTACGAAAAATAATATAGCGCATACGATCTCGTTAAGGTAGTGTAATTTGCGCCATTACGAGTTCACGTTTGAGCCATTGTTTGTCAACCATTTACTCTTCAAGCTGAAATAAAATAATACCAATTAACGAGGAACAAAATGACATGAAATTATTAGAAAAAATCGGACAAGTTCGCGAGCTGACGAGAAGGATATCTTTCTAACAATTTTATTTGTTGCATACCTGTGAAACCTTGTGGTGGTTGACCTGGTACTGAATATTGTGGTCTAAAATTACCAAAATTGGCAGCACCCGCAAAAGTAGCCGGTAATTGTCCTCCAGAGAAGCCTGCCGGGAATTGTTGTGCTAACAGGGCTGCTTGACCAGACTGAGAACTGCTACCACCAGGTGCAGTGGCAGCCAGTCGACTTAATATCGACCTCTCAGACATCTGAAGTCTTTGAGCAACGGGTGGAATACGAGCTAAAGTTGCCGGTAAACGACTAACGTCCGATTTCATATCGGACAATAGTTCTTCTAATTGATTTAGTACCTGTAAGAAAAGATGTACATATTCACTCGTCACATTAAAAGTGTTGTCTCACTTGGCATACATAGGACTTTAGTTGTATCAATGATTTTCATTCATAATAATAGTTTACCTTATGCAATACAGCATTCGCTGGTTTGTTGCCCGCAAGACTTTCTTTACTAAGATGTTGATGCGATTCTGCAAGGCACTCGACTTCGGCAAATCTTGCATTTAGGCTCATCGCAGGATGATTAGGATCCTGCGTTAGATTCAGGTACGCTGCTCTTCGCAATTGTTCTTCTATTACCAACGCTTGTTCTAACAGCTTGAAGCGTCGGGCCAAGAATTTATTTTTTATTTCTAAAAAGTTACCCTTACCCACATCCATTTTGAAGGGTTCATTTATTATTGCGAACCTGTGAGCACCAAAATCGAGATAATAATCATTTTGTCGCCTTATATATTTAAGTTCTGAGGTCCATTTTAATAATTTTACCTAATGTCATTTTGGATGTCTTGCCAACGTCCATAGCCATGCGTAACAATACCAGCTAACAGCCAGTAGTCGTGTCTTCGATGCCATATTTCATATTCGCGACCAGGTACAGCAGCTTTCTCCTCGTTCAACCACAATGTGTGTAATTCTGTGAAACCACCATCTGCTATATTGAACATGAACTTACGCTTCGGCTTCATCATTTCTGGATCAGAATCCTTCACGTCTTTTTCCTTGTTGTCTTTATCCTGTAAATACAATATGAAAAGATACAATGAATTGCAGCGCAAGCTGCAAACTATTTAACCATAGAATTAGCACATACCTCTCTCTTTTCAGCTTCTTCTTCGTCATCTTTAACAATAACCACGTCCTCTTCAGAATCCTGTTTTGGCTTCGTTTCACTACTTTCTACTTTTTCATCGGTTTTGGACTGTGGTTTGTCAGCATCTTTCGCATCGCTTTTATCTTTTTCTTTGTCCGAAGCTGTTTCTGCCTCTACCTCCTTCTCTTCCTTTTTCACTTCCTCCTTCTCTTTTTCTTTCTCTGCAGTACTATCTTCCTCCTCCTTCGTCTCCTTCGACTCCTCCTTCGCATCCTTGCCATCTGTGCTCTAAAAAATATTATAATTTTGTTACAAGTTTGGATTATAAAAATTTCGATCTCAAGGAAAAAGTATCAATTGGTGATATTAACATCTTTGTCTTTTTGTTCCTCTTTACACTCCTTTCCTTCAGATGATTCAGAATTAGCCTTATTCGTTTCAGTGTTGGTCGATCCAGAAATTGTGAGCGGGGTTGGAGTTGCAGCAGGACTTGGACTAGGTGCGTTGGAAGTAGCTGGAGTGGCACTGGTGCTACTTGTTCCAGTCGCCGCCTCTCCTTCCACTTTCACGGGTTCAACTGGTTTTCGAATCATCTCCGGCATAGAGTAGTACCCATTTATGTGCTCAAACTCTTGTACCTGTAAATAGCATACGAAATTAATTTTTCTGAAAACCGATTACTTACTGAAAAATAAAACTATTCGTACACTCGTACCTTTTTCCTAATTAAAGACATTACACCGATTCTCGTCAGAACATGCTGTCTACTGAGACCCTCCCGTGGCACACCGTCCGCGAACGCTTCAGCGTTGTCTGCTCCAGGCTCGCACAGGTGTCTCATGAACAGGGAAACGTATGCCTTGAAGTTCTTCTCCGATTTACCTCTCAGATCACGCACCAGCCTGAAATGCGACAATATACTTTAACAGTACTTTAAATTGACTGACAAACAATTATGTTTTGAGCGACTAACTAACCACTGAGAGTTGAACGCATCCTGTGGTGGCATACCGTAACGCATGATTGCATTGAGGAATGCCTTTCTTTGTCTGGCATTGAAGCCCAATACCTAAACAGAAAAATCATTGTTAAAATTTAATCTAGAATATATTTGACAGTATACCAGGCAGGTACACCTACTTCAATATTTCCATTGACTCGTGCAAGCAACGGTGGAAGAGGTCGATCTTTTTCGTCTCTTCTTTCCAATCGTCGTCTACTTCTGCGGGATAGAAGATCTCCGTCACCCTTTTCATCGAAATCGTCGTCTTCTTTGTCATCGTCGCTTGGAGCACTAAAATCGCTGTTATAATCTGATAGATTTTCTTGCCAAGGCTGATCGTCTCTCGTGCTCTGATCACCGGTAACTACTCCATCATTATAATTCACTTGCTTACGTATTCGTTTACCTGGAATGAATTATAATTTGTTAAGCATTCGAAAAGATAGAAAATAATAATTATGTATGTACCTTTTCCAAGCGTCCTAGCAATGTCTTCTTGCTGTTGTTCATAATGATGCCTCAAGAGCTTGATCCAATAAGCAGGATCTGTGTTCTCTGCTTCTTGTTTGATAATTTCTGTATCAGCTTCTTCTTCCGTTTCTCCTTCTTTTGTCACATACGACGCGACTTTGAAAGAACTTAAATATTCGTTGGCCCAGTTTTCTTTCTGTTCAATACCCTCTTTGCTTCTGTCTAACAATTCAGCAACTGCTTTGTCGTCATAGTGAATAGCTTCGTCTTCTTTGCCTTCTTCTTCTTTGAACAGTTCCTCGGTACCTGAAGTATAATCAAACATTATAATTGTCTTCTTTTATGATTTACGAAGTGTGCTGGATAATTGAGAAAACTTACCGAACCGTAAAATGTCATCGAGCTCTTGTTTACTGAAATTGGCACCCTTCCCACCCATTCCAGGTCTGACGACCAAGTGTGTCAGCATCATTTTACGTTTCGCCACTTGTGTTACCCGTTCCTCGACGGAATTACGTGTGACAAATCTATAAATCATGACTTTGTTAGCCTGACCGATTCTGTGGGCTCTGCTAAACGCTTGAATATCATTATGCGGATTCCAATCTGAATCATAAATGATTACGGTATCGGCAGTTGCCAGGTTTATACCCAAACCACCAGCACGAGTAGAAAGTAAAAAGACAAACTGCTGAGCACCAGGAGCATTGAATCTGTCAATGGCTTCCTGTCGTTGAGCTCCCGTGATGTTACCATCGATTCTTTCGTACTTGTATCCTTCCCCTTCTAAATAATCTTCGAGAATATCCAACATTTTCGTCATCTGAGAGAAAATTAGTACTCTGTGCCCATCATCCCTTAATTTTCTTAACATTTTGCTCAACAATACTAATTTTCCAGCTGCTTTGATTAACGCTGATGTTTCGTAGGTTCCATTAGGCGCGGTTGGTGCTTCTTGAGATGCAGCTGGGAATAGATAGGGATGATTACAGCACTTCTTAAGATCCATCATGATGTTTAACAGAGACACTTGTTGACCTCCACCCTTGGGATTCAAAGCTTCGAAGTTTCTCGTTAAGATGTATTTATAGTACTTCTTTTGCATCGGCGATAATTCAACACGGACAATGAATTCTGACTTGCTTGGCATATTCTATAAAATACAATATGCATGGTAATGCACTAAACTTCTGAGAGAAAAAAAAAACATAATAACAACAAATACCTTTAACACATCAGCCTTTAATCTCCTCAACATGTGAGGTCCAAGCAGTTCATGCAATTTTTTAACTTGCTCCTCTTTTGAGATGTCAGCGAACTCATTTTGGAAAGCGGCTAAGTCGTTAAATTTGTCTCGACACAGGAAATTCAATAAGTGGAAAAGTTCTTCCAAATTATTTTGTAGCGGAGTACCAGTTAAAAGTAATTTGTACGCAATATTGTAAGACGCTAATAATCTGAAGAACTTTGACTGATTAGATTTTAGCCTATGTGCCTCGTCAACTACTAATACGGCCCAATCTATTGATCCCAAACACGCAGAATCAATTGAAATAAGCTCGTAACTCGTGAGGAGCACGTTGAATTTAATTTGATTCGATCGAATCTTTGATGCTCGTCCTCCACGAACAGCACCTTCTTCAAAAGACAATTCGTTCTCGCGTATTACGATACGACTATCTTTATCGCCTGAAATCAACAAAGAATTAATCAATAAGTACCAATACATTTTCATTTTATTAGTTATTGCTATTATATACTAACCAACATAGGTTACACAATAAAAATCAGGTGCCCAGGTTTCAAATTCACGTTCCCAATTAATAATGGTCGATAAAGGAACAGACACAAGAAAAGGGCCTTTACAATGTCCTTCTTTGTACAGTGAGTATAAGAAAGTAATAGTTTGGATGGTTTTTCCTAAACCCATTTCATCTGCTAAAATTGTATCTATACCTTGGCCCCATGAATATCTTAACCAGTTCAAACCCTAAAGAATTACAAAATTATAAATCATTCGTACACAAGAATGCTGATATAACGCGTGTAACTAATACGCACTTCTAACTGATACGGATGTAATTGCATTCCAGTCTGATCCAAGTACTCCGGTTGTCGTTCATACTTCTTCTTGAGATCTGTTGTAGGTTTGTCGGGTGGTGGAGTGTACCTCTTAGGTGTTCTCTCCTCATCGTCGATAAGCTCACGAGTCTTTGATTTTTTACCTTTACCTACGTATGATACATGGTTACTTCACGGATTACAACGACGATTGCAAAAGGAAAAAAATAAATTAACCGACTCTTCTCACCCTTCTTGCCCTTGCGGGAGGAGCTGCCATCGCAACAATTCGCTGCTCTAAGATCCAAATAATACTCAATGGCCTGCTTTAAACCCGGAATATCTTCGTGCTCATCTTCCCAAGTGGCTTGGTCGTATCCTAATTCTCTCCATTTAACAAGATACGTCGCTCTACCATCTCTTGAGAGCCGATGGTTAATTACACGATGTACTACTAGCCATTCTGGTCGAACTCCGTAACGGTAAAACCGTTCTTCTAAGTTATACTCGTCTCTGTTCGTAGCACCATCCTGTTCCTTCAACCGTTTCACACGAGTATCACTTTCATCCAATGGTTCCTCTAGCTTTGGTGGTTCATCCATATCATATTTTCGTGAATAGTTTCTAAAAAAATATATCAAAACCTTAGACGATGATTACAAAAAGGAATTTATATTCGTTATTTGGTGTTTAAATAATAATTTACCTGAACATGAGAGGATGAAAAACGTCAAGTTGTAACTCCGTAATCCAATCACAATGCCAATATGACATGTCCGCCCATTTCACAAAGAATTCACGTATTTTACGTTGCTTAGGCGCAGCTTTGCTCGTCGAGGGTTCTTCTGATGGCGTTTCTGAACATTCTTTCCACCTCCACGTTAAAATTTTTGCAACTGTAAAGAAGTAAATGCAAGATCAAACCAACTGTATATATTATATGTATCATCTAATTATACTTTTGTACATGTTTCATCGTACCTTTACCACGTATAGGCGGGCAAGAACATCTTGGACATTTCCAATCGCCATCAGGAATTTCCGACAGTGGTGGATTCAAACAATGTGTATGGTATGCACTAGTACAACTATCACAGCATAACAGTTCACCACCATCTTTACATATTCTACAGAATTCCATATGTTCGTCATCATCCTCGGCTGCACCTGAAAGTAACGTAGATATTTAAATGTTCAGTAAAGAGTTACGTCGACAGAGTGTACTTTAACACGTTGGGTGGGATGGAAGGTGTAGGGTCTCGAGGAAGCTACCTGTAATACCTTCTCCTTCGCAATGAGGACAACTCCATTTTCCTTCAGGCGTTTCTTCTAACTCAGGCTCCAGACATACCAAGTGGTATGCTCTAGGACAAGTGTCACATAGTATAATCTCTCCACCTTGTTGGCACACCTCACAATAATCTTGGTGATCAGTCTGTACAGATAATATAAGAAGAATGTTACTTATTGTTACCAAGAAATTATAAATAATTATAACTAGTACTTAAAAAAAAATATACCTGAATTCCTTCTTCTCCATCTGGAAACTTGGATGTGGTTTTCGTCTTTTTTTTCTTCTTGGTCTTATTTCCGATTTTAGTTTTTGCCTTCCTGCGAACAGGCGGTTCTGCAGGCGGTTCAACTCCGTTCTCTTCGGCGTTGCCTTTAGTGGATCCATCGGTACCAGCAGGTTCTTCTGCATCAGCTAGCATCTGCTCAAATTCCATATCAGAATCTCTATCACTGCCAACACCACTACCCTCTGCTTCTTCATCCGAGCTTCCTCGTTTACGCTTCCCAAGTTTTATTTTAAGCGTCGGTACTTTGGAAGCTTTTTTTCCTTTCTTCGCTCTGGAGCCTCGTGATTTTCGCTTTCTATCGCTATCTTCGTCATCATCTTCCTCGTCTTCGCCTTCTTGTACCGCGGTGCTGCGATTTGCTCTTGCATTTCTGGTTTCCTCATCAACGTTCGCGGCGGATGACACATCCGCGTCAGGTTGCGTGTGAGGATTCAGTTCAGAGAAGTCTCGCCATTTAGCGGCTACCAACATCATCAGTTTTGACATTGGAACTTTTGGATTCTCCTTTGCTAGAAGTGGTCTAACATGTTGTTGGAATAATTTGTACGTTGTTAAATTTTGGAAGTCTGCATCTGTGTATTCGATTTGTACATCAGTCAGTCCAAAGGTGTTACACACTTCCTCGATAGTAGGCATGCCTGTTGTAGGCTCTTGATTTGGTGCAGCCGGTGTATTATGACTGGACGACTTTCTGGAAGAAGATTTTCTACTTTTTCTATTCCCTGCATAATCACTATCATCTCCAGCTACGTCACCTGGTTCACCACCAGCTGCAAAATCACTTTCCTATGGCAAAAAAAACGTATAAGTACTTGATAATATATCAAGATAATTATGTACATAATTGATAATAAGATTAAAATGTTTACATCTCCAGAATCAGATTTTTTCTTTTTCTTCTTCTTTTTGCCTTTTTTATCTTCACTTCGTGCTTTTCGCTTCTTCCCTTTTTTCTTTTTCCTTTCCTCTGGCTCATAGTCGTCATCTTCTTCCTATGTTAACAAAAATTTAGTAATTAACAACAGATGATATATTTTTAAAATATAGATTTATAAGCAATACTTACTAGTCTTTGAGATTCTTCAGCATCTGAAGAACCGTCTACCTGTTGATTGACATTTGAAACTTGACCTCCAGTTTCATCTAAATCATCTTCCCCTAAAAATCAGTAACAGGTCAATAACATTCTCTTAATATATTTGGCTACTTATAATATTTTTCATGTATGTCTAGTATTAACACGCTTCAATGCATGCTTCTGACTTACATAAAATCAATATCTCTATTCATTACAATGTAGGTTTAAAAATAGTTCACTAAATACAGTACTGGACAGAAGTGCTAGCACAAGCCATGTTTTAGCATAGAATTGTTTATAAGTTTAGAACAAAATATCATGTTTTATTCAATCTTTTTCTAAAATGTACCCTGAAATTTATAAAAAAAGAATAGAAAAATATGTATAATAAGCAATTTTAATTGAGACAAAAGTATTGACATGTTTACAGTACATAAGAGCGGACAGCATTTTTAAGCAAAAAATTATGAACTGACAATCTATTCCTGTATGATATCGTACGAAGAAAGTAGCTTATTGCCACTTTATATTTTTTTATCACATTTTAACAAAACATTTATTAGTCCATGTTTGTATAATATGTTTCTCTTATTTTTACTTACAAAATATGCTGAATAATTTTTGTAAAAGAAATCTGGAACACCCTGCATATTTTTAAGGCTTCTTAATAATGAACTATATATTTAAATTTTGTACCCATAAATTATATTTCACAAAAAATTAAATCAAAAATCATGATTTACAAAGATGCATATAATATTAAATAAAATTCTGATCTGTGCCAATACTTTTGTTCACTACTGTACATATATCTAATGAACTATTAATATCTCAATTAATATTTCAAATAAATCAATATATCGAAAACTATCAATAACAGCGATTATATTATCACTCGTTTATAGACATCGCTTTACCGATCTCCATTCGCTAAAATATAACTCGTTTGATCGTGAAAAATAATTATTCAAAATATCATCCATTGCTCTACCCATGTGCCGTGAGGGCAAAGCCTTTGCCGCTAAAATGCTATTCCAGAAAATTCCGTAAATTTTACTCAATACAGTTTTTTGTTATAATTTTCGTTGAAAAATACAGTATCATTTTCCGAAACAATAATGTTTTTAGCACGAAGCGTTCGAGGAAAAAAGAGATGCAGAATTCAAATGAATCTCATGCAACGGAACATTCGATTCGCTGAACGACAGCAGACTGATAATTGCCAAATCGATAGTAACGTTTATAACAAACCGATTTTTCTATTTTCATAAAATAATTAAAAAGTCAAATTAGCCTGAACGTACTGTTCGCACGAATCGATTTGTAAGCGTGCACAATTATAGTTTAAATAAATAAAAAACATTGAAACGAAGCAGTCAAAATATATAAATTATTTTGGGCTAATCCACGTTCAGTGAATGCTTTGTGCGAATGTACGTCCGCCATTTTCTTCAAAAGGGCTCACCACATTGACCGTCTATATTTTATATTCATAACATTACTGCCGACTCCGGTTACTTTTTTTGATTGTACAAAAAGACTGCGATTACAGGTTGTACTGGACATTTTTAACAAGTCCTGGAACGCGATCTTCTCAAGATCCGAATCGGCGGTTATATATATATATATATATATACATATGTATATACATATATTGAAATCGTCGATGTGCACGCACACAAACGTGCCAGATGGTCCAAAAACCGAAGCGAGCATCATGATATTATATTTTAAATTTTTTATTTCAGAAACTGGAAATATTATCTCTTTTTAGCGATATCTTGATACTTGCGATATTGTTTATATTGTTGTTTAGAACATTCGTCGTTCCTACTTTGAATAAAATGATTTTATCATAGTAATAATAAATGAAGATTGTAAGTAGAATATAATTTATTTTACGAGAACAGAATTACTTATACAAAGAATATTTTGCGAAATGTTTAATATCTAATGTAAAAATGTAGTATTTAACCGAAATCTTGTTTAGCGGTAAGTTATTGAAACCGATGTATCGAACCACGTTAGAGGTTTAAACTTCGACTCTTGTAATTCGATGGGGCTTGTATCGATAATTTATTGATACATTTAAATTAACAATAGGAACACGATAAATAAAAGAAACACGGAGAACCATGTGATTTCTGTCTAATCATTTAAACGTAAACAATAACCTATACCTGAACTATTTCATTAAATTTAACGTACAGTTACGCGTATTGCGATTAATTGATTTTATTATTGCATTAAACGATGTATCCTTAACGACACATCGCTTGAAGAATTATTTGACAATTCTGAGGTTAGTTTTTCTTCTATCGAAAAACGACAGAATCATTAATCATGAAACATAGTTAATTTTTTATATACAATGATTAATTTAACACTAAATATATAAAAACTGTATGAAACAGTGTAGTAAGACACGCGACGATGAAACAGCGTGGAAAAGTATAGAAGGACCAATTGACATGGCAGCCATCATACGAAAAGCGCGCGTCCTGCGTGTTCGAGGATACAACTTTCCGGTAGTATTCGTAACACGGTGGCTCTTGCACTTACCCGCGTAGCTCTCGTCCACCTCCTCGTCAGATGCCATTCTCTAAAAGCACGGGGTATTACGTTTGTAACACCAAGATATCACTCACTGGATAAGAGGCTCGCGTAGAAAAACAGTACGGAAATGCGACATTAATCGTTCGTGGCTGAACGCTCTTGCGTTTCGGTTTCGGCGTGCCGTCACTTCGTCTCGTACGTGCACCGATGTGCACCTTCTGCTGTGTGCTTCTTCTCTTACCCGATTCGTCGGTTCTTCTCGTTTCTCCCCACTTCTCCACAGTTTTCTCTCCCCTTGCTTTCCTCTGTTTGCTGTGAGAGAGTTAGAATCTTCCTCTTTTCGTCCCGCGTCCCTCGACTACCATGTGTTGTGTAGATGAACGTATATTTCGTTCAACGAGAGATCGTAGTCATTATATGACAACTTTTCATACGTTCTACGCAGGTTAGTTGTGAGTGGTTGGTGCACAATTCGTAACTAAGAGCAACGCGCATGTGCAATTAGAATGCTACTGACGCTAAGCGTATATATTTGGTAACTCAAATTTTTTAATTTTTCAAATTTCAAATTTTCGAATTTAAAAATTTTCAAATCCTCTATTCTAAACTTTTGAATTCCCAAGTTTTTAAATTCTTCAATTTTTTAAATTGTCAAATTCCTAAAACGTCAATTTTTTTGGATATTTTTTTGACAATTGTATATTTTGTTCACTGAGTATATGACCGATGAAGTAGAATGCGTACGATGGTGAAGTTAGCGGGAAATACACTGAAGTTAGCTGAGTTGCGCAAACTGAGTATGATCTCCTGTTGAAGGAATAATATACAAATGGTCTGCCGACTCTATCGTGTTGTATTTATTTCTTTTTCTTCCCCTTTACACCGCCCCGCTCCTCTCATCATTGAATCGACAGAAAATTTTTTTGATTTTTTACTTTTGGCAACGATTTTTTTGTTAAATAGAGATATGCACTCGTTATTTCTATTCTGATTTTTTCATTTTTTTTTTTGTAATTTTTTTTTATCGTATTACAACATTATTACTTGAATAATTTATTTTTGTCGGCTTTCCGTATTTAATCGATGAGAACGTATCCATTTTGATTATACAATATAAATATTTAAAAAAATTGTATTATTTAAATGTACATTCGCGGCAGGAGCAAATCGCCGTCGATTATCAATTATTAAATATTATGCAAGAAGATCCTCCATTTTAATAGAACGAAATTTATTAGAATTTTATATACATATGTATGTAAATTGTAATAGTATGCGTGTACAGATTTGCGGTATGATTAATAGCTGCGCACTTACACACGTCCGAATACTTACGTACGTGTGCTCGTGTATCGACCTTTTTGATAGAAACAAGATAACCGAATGCAATCAATTCGGTTCATTTTTTTCCTTAGCATGCTTATTTTTTATTTATTCATTTTTCTCTTTTAATTAATGTACATATAAGTAGTACGCGTATTATTGATTTTGCATGTCGAGTGCTCGCAAACTGATGTATTAATGTAAGGAGTAATCGAAATACTGCGAGAAAATTTAAATTAGGAAATTGGATATTATATTATTGTAATACATACTGAAATAAACTGTTAATCATGTATTTGACTTATTTCAGTTTCTCAATTATAATTTGGTCAACTTCAAATATTTGTCCTTTAATAATTTTAATAAAACTCGTACGAAAGCGACTTATATTTAATAAATATTGTTAAATAATAAGTTGTTTCTATTGCGTAATGATTCTTGTAGGTGATTTTTGTACAATAATGTTGATATTTGTTTATATTCTTTTATTTATAATTGCTGAAAGCACGATCTATGTATAGCGAGATTACGTTACACGTGTTTCGATAGATACATATCATCGTGTAACACGAATGAAAATTTATTTATACGTTTATAATACGTAACAATCTATTTACATATATAATATATATATATATATATATTATTAGGCCTTTTGTATATAAAACGAAAAAACCAGGAAAAAGCATTCGTTTTTACATACAATATCTCTCTCAATTCGAAGAATCATACTTAAAATTTATAATTTACAAAAATGCAATTTATCTTTAGGAATGGATAGCAGCAATACAATACTGTATGGAATGAATTAGGACTCGTAGACGTTTAATAATTAATGTTAAAATCAAGTTAAAGTATGATGAAAATCATCCAGTTCTTTTGCTATGGTATAAAATCATAGTCTTTTTACTCTATCTAGTTCAAGCAATCGCAAACACAACTTGAAACTATATCTATCTTTTCTTATGCATTAATGAAATCTAGATTCTCATTGAAAATATTTTTATCTAGCATATAAACGTTATTTATTTATGCATAAGTAGATGTATGAAGATATAATGGATAAAGAAACAGGCGATCATCAGAATGTTTCCTGTATTGGAGTACAATTCTTTAATCAGAATTATTTGCATACCTCTGATGAATATCATCAAATCGAATCAGATTTGCGAAGATAAAAAATTATACGCGATGCTATTATATAAACATACTGTAGGATGAAGTATTATTCAGTTTGTTCAACCATAATCAACGCTAAGAGCACTAAGTCCTTTTTTCTTAATAGCTTCAGCCACTGCTCTTTCCAGAAAATTTTCCTGTTGGTTATTTTCATCTATTTTATCCAAATCCCAATCAAATCCACTGTATTCATCTGTATCTTTTGAATCATCAAATCTGAAAGAATCTGTTGATGTTGTAGCAACAGAACTTCCAACTTGAATATAATTAGAAGGACAAGAACATTGCACATCGGTATACTCATTGTTGGTCCAATATCCTGGGGCCTTATCACTATAAAACGCATCTGATTGAGAAACCAATCCTGTGGTTTGAACTAGTCCATGATTACGAATTGCCATCATAACCGCAGTATCTTCCATGTCGTTTTCTCTAAACAACTGAAATCTTGATTCTTCGAGAGAGTAAGTAGGTGTTCCCATAATATAGTTTTCTAATACTTTGTTGATAGTGTTATCTACGTATCCCTTGGCCACCTGACAAGCTTGCCATCTTTTTAGTTTCTCTCTCGCATGCCTTTCTGCATCATCATACTCAACATTTTCTTCATCCTGTACAGTTTCTTCATTTTCATTCAAACTCTTTTCCTAAAAATGAGACATTCAAGGGTACATTACAGAAATTGTAGGAAACATAATATACGAACTATTAGAAATTATATTCCATAATTACCATATCCCAAATTGTTTCATTGACCTTAACAAGTCGCGTGCATTGTCGTTTTGGAGGAGCGGGTCTTTCATGATCGTCGGTATCTGATTCCTCGATGTCGGTCGCCATTTTCTCTATTTTGTATATAACGATATTGTTCCCGTTTCAAATAATTTAAATAATCGAAAAAATATCTTTTAGTGGTGTCATTAAACAATCGCTAAAGAACTAGTGAAATTGGCATTGTAAGAATTCGGGGCACATCCAACTTTGTACATCATTATTTTCTCAGAATAATAACGGATACATGTCGTACATCCGATCGATTTTAAAGCATTCCATCTTCTTTAATCACACTAATTCTTTGTGACATAATTATTCAACGATATTAAAATGGAATGGTAACTTGATCAAATGCCAAACTCAAAACTTGAAAGAAGACACCGCACACAATCAAATGGTAAGAATCGTTTTTGACAGCTTTAAAATGGCCACCTTACCATTAAGTTCTATATAAAGTATATGTGCATGTTATACGAAAATTTTAAGAGATATTGTTAAGGATACATAATTTTAAAAATATTATACGTGAAAACATGTGCAAATCGAGCACGACAAGAATTTATTTAAACTTAAATTAATTTATCTGGACAATGTTTTGACTGCAGCACTCCATTGCAAAATGGCATCGAACATGTGTTCGCAGTGTTCGAGAGAATCTTGACGTCTGTTCTGTCAAATACACCGTTTTTTAAATCGAACAGAGTAAATTTATTTTGACACTTTTGTTGAAATCGTTAATTGGTATGGCAGTGTGTAGAGAATATATTTGTAGCCAATTTCCTACGATAGACGATGATTTGTATCAATATGTGGAAGGTATACTCTTGATAAATAACCTATAAATTGCGAAACGTTATTTTTCTGATTTATGTACGAATAATACGGATATTTCGCTTTGAAAAGGTATTTTAGATAGCTCTAAAGATGATTTCGAGGATGGTGACGAGGTTTATGAAGCGATAGGACAAGTATTACACGAGGTCGAGGAAAAACCAGAGAATGAAATTAGGTCTGTAAATGTGTTGTTATAATTGCCATTTTTTATAGTATTATTTCTATTGTAAATGAATATCGATGTCGTTATATTCATTGTTTCTACTGTGTTCCCATAATGCTACAATTGCAATAAATTCTTGTTACTTACATTTGTTTCTCAATTTGCTAATCATGATCTTACATAATTTCTAACATTGTTTCAATCTTAAATATTCTATGTTTAGGCAAATATGCATCAAATTATTGGAAATGTTAAAAGGTGGTTCAAATGGCGAAAACGAAGAAAGGAGAAAAAATGGTGTGAACAAGGTATTAAATGCACCTATACATTTAGGAACTATGGCTGCCACTTCAGAAGCTCAAGTAGAACAAATAAAAAGTATATGGGTTACTACTAGAGATGATGGCATGGTAAATATTTAGTCAATCTAAATTTAAATATTTAGTCATAGAAAGTAAATAAAATTTAAATAACAAAATTTACTTAACAGAAAGTAGATGCTAAGAAATTGGAAAAGGCAGAGGCAAAACTACAGCAGAAACAAGAGAAACGAAACAATAATGAATCATCTGGACGTATTAATCCAGTATACTGTAGTATAGAATCCGCAAGTACAAGTCAAATGACGAGTAAAAAGGATAGTAGAATGGAAAACAAGGGTGGTGTAAATAAAACTCAGGACATTAGAATAGAAAATTTCGATGTGGCGTACGGTAATCGAATTTTATTGCAAGGAGCTGATTTAACGCTCGCATTTGGTAGGCGCTACGGTCTTATTGGCAGAAATGGACTTGGTAAAACTACTTTGTTACGAATGATATCTAGGTAGTAAAACTTTTCTGTATTCTATCAAGTATTGAGTATTTTTTATTAAGGTACTATATCACTACTTATCATTTTAATTATTGCAGTAAACAGCTGAGAATACCATCTCATATACAAGTACTGCACGTAGAACAAGAAGTTGCTGGTGATGACACTTCTGCCCTTGAATCTGTACTAGAGTGTGACCAAGAAAGAAGCATGTTGCTTAGTAAAGAAGCGGAATTGCAAGCTGCCATAGAAAAGGATGGTGTCAAAGCAAGGGATGCATTAGGCGAAGAATTAGCTAAAGTATACGAAGCAATGCAACTAGCTGAAGTAGATAAAGCACCTGCTAGAGCTAGTGCAATATTATCGGGTCTCGGATTCTCCGTCGAAAGACAATCGTGGCCAACTAAAGCTTTCTCAGGCGGTTGGAGAATGAGACTTGCACTCGCACGAGCGCTGTTCTCCAGACCAGATCTTCTCTTACTTGATGAACCTACGAATATGCTTGATATTAAGGCGATACTTTGGTTAGAGAAATATTTACAATCATGGCCTACAACGTTGCTTGTAGTTTCGCACGACCGAAACTTTTTAGATGCGGTATGGATTTAAAATATCTTACATATTCTTTTATAGTAATGAAGTTAATTTGATAATAGTATATTTGGTAACAGGTTCCTACGGATATACTATATTTACGTGGACAGAAAATAGAGGCTTATCGTGGTAATTACGAGCAGTTTTCGAAAACTAAGGGAGAACGTGAAAGAAATCAGCAAAGAGAGTATGAAGCGCAACAAGCTAGGAGAGTACACGTGCAGGAATTCATTGGTCGATTTCGATACAATGCAAACCGTGCTTCTAGTGTACAAAGTAGAATTAAGATGTTGAACAAATTGTGAGTTTAATGCTTAATGAGTATAATTTTAAATGGTACGTAATAAACGTTATTGTTTTTAATAGGGAAGAATTAAAACCAATGGAGAAAGAAGGAGAAGTAACGCTTCGCTTCCCGGATGTTGAGCCATTGAGTCCTCCAATATTGCAACTTAACGAAGTGTCCTTCAGTTACAGTGGAGGCACCGATGACTCGTACATACTCAGAGGCGTGAATTTAACTGCCAGTTTACAATCTCGTATTTGTATCGTAGGAGAAAATGGCGCGGGTAAAACTACGCTTCTAAAAATAATAACAGGTGCGTTGAGTCCGACACGAGGCACTGTACACATCCACCGAAATTTGAAATTCGGTTACTTTAGCCAACATCATGTAGATCAACTGAACATGCAGTCGTGTCCAATTGGATTGTTACAGAAGAATTTTCCCGGTATGAATATATTTACAGATTAAGATTGTCAGTGTTAAACAAACTTGTTACAAATTGACTTGGTCATTAATTTCAGAAAAACCTGTTGAAGAATATAAAAGAATGCTTGGAAGTTTTGGAATAAGCGGTAAATTAGCTTTACAGCCTATCAATTCGTTGTCTGGTGGACAAAAATCAAGAGTTGCATTTGCGTTGATAGCTGCTGCTTCACCAAATTTTCTAGTACTCGATGAACCAACGAATCATCTTGATATCGAATCAATCGAAGCTTTAGGGAAAGCATTAAATACCTGCCAAGTAATGTTTCTTTTCTCATTCATTTTTAAGTCTCTTCATAAAATTTGTATTTATTTCTTCATAATAATTTTCTAGGCGGGTGTAATATTAGTTTCACACGATGAAAGATTAATTCGAATGGTATGCACCGAACTCTGGGTATGTACACAGGGTTCTGTTCGATGTATCGAAGGAGGTTTTGACGAATATCGGAAGATCGTTGAAAAGGAACTCGAAGTATAAAGATTATTTTAATTTAAATGCATTTCCGCTTTGCATTGTCCTGTATTAAGTTACTGATGTGAAAATTTCAATTCATGCGGATAAATGACAGAAAGAAAGTTTATCGCAACAAAATTTGGACCGTTCACGGGCAATGCATGTTACATTGTCACAAAAGTTACATTCTCTATTTCAAACAAAATCATGAGCATTAATACGAGAACTCTGCAAAATAGACTGAATCGTCGATTAATAACGACTAAGATTAAGAAAGTTTCACATCGTTCAATTGTCAGTTATAACTAAACACTGATATTTAATATTGTACATTAGTTAATAATAAAAAAATCAGTGTTATAAATAAAAGTATGTAACATTTGTTTTTTTATAAAACCTTTAGGAGATTACACTGATAAATCCACAGGATCAATCGTTTATATTTTTTTACTATAGTTCTTTGTTGCTATTGAAAAACTATATCACTGTTTTATATGGTTTTTAATTCAAGTACACATGGTTTCACAAACCAATGTGCTTTAATTTAACACAGTCTTATGTCATAACAATTAACATTGTATTATATTCACATGAACATAAAGTTAATAAATTATGAAATTAAGATCAACGCTTTATAATAATCATTTTAATTGTTTTTACTTTGTCCTTTTTATATGCTTTTCGCATCCATCTAGCTTTTAGTTCTGTTGTAATAATGTTTTGGAAATTATTAAAACTAACGTATAAATAAAACAAATTACTTGAAACTTTTAATGTGCCAAGGAAGCTGTGCTGCCACAATTAACCCCCAGATGATGTGTTTAATGGAACCATTGTATTGGATAAAGAAGACATTTGCATGGGTGGTGCAGGAGCTTGCTGTTTGGCCGCTGGAATTTTCAAATATTTGCATTACTTTCTTCTCGATAAATACAAACGTTAGTTATATACATACATATACCTTCCATTAATAATAAGATGATTACTATTAACATTACAGCATGCAATTGAATCTTGAAGTGCGTTAGTTAAATTAAAATGCTAATGTCGATGATAACAAATTAGTAAATTAGCTTACTTGTGACCATTGCATCAAAATTATGTGTGATTATTAGTTTCATTGCATAATTTATTAATCACTTTTTATCGAACGGATATTTAGCGTACTGAAGTATACGAAGAAACGAAATAAGCAATTAAACTAATAAAACTATTGAATCATCGCCTTTGTACACTAGTTTTTTTTCTTAATGTACAAACAGTACAATCATGCAAGATGTAAGCACAGTGATTCATACAACATTAAATCACACACTGAGAATCAATGAATAAGCTTCGTGTATATTTATAGAAATGTAAATGTACAGCAATTTTTTAAATTGGATAAAAACTTACAAAAACAATGCGGAAGTGTATTGCCTAATGGCATGATTCAAGAAAGAATGCGATTGGTTTTCAAATATATTATCCTCACCATTTCTGCTGCTGTAGACTTTTGTAAATCCTTTAAATGGCTCCGGTGGTGGAAAATTCGCAATAGAATGGAACATGTCGGCAAATCGTACCTCTAAGTCCAGAGTACTCATAGTTTGCCCATTGCGCATGGAAGAACTTCTCGTAGGAGGTGTTGGCGGAGGTGGAGGTGGTGGAGCCAGTCTCTGATGGGTAGGAGCTGGACGATGGGGAAGCGGCGGAGGTGGAGGAGGTATACATGGTGCGCTAACCGTTACTCTAGAAGGTGGTGGCGGTGCTACTCTAGTTGCCGTGGCAGTTGAATTATTTGCTCTAGAAGTAGGAGGAGAAGGCGGTTTCGCAACTGGGGGTCTAAGAATTCGATTTGTCGGCCTTGGTTGCGTTTCATTCAAACAATCTTGAGACTGATGAAGAGATGGCGGGGTTGGAGCAAGCACAGGAGGTGATCGAGGTAGTCGCATACTTTGTGCCCTCGATACACTTCCTCCAGTAGTTAAATTTAACTTCTTAGGAGGTGGAGATGGTTTGTGCAATGTAGCTGATGTATTTGGAGGAGGTTTAGGTGCAACAATTGGTTTCCCAAATCCTTTAGGCGCTTCTGTATTAGAATTTGCAGAATCTGTAGTACTTTGTCCTTGCATTGAGCTGGTCTTCTACAATATTAAATTGAAAAATTATACAACTGATCTGTTACAATATATCCATTAGTATTTATACCTGAGCAAATATCTGTGGTTTTTGTGTAGCAGGAGGTGGAACTGGAGGTGGACCTCGTTTCACAGAGGAAGTAGTTGATTGACCAAAATTTGTATTATTTACATTACTTGCATCCTTTTCACCTGAGGATGTTCTTAGCCCTGTTGGCTTTAACTTAGGCATGCCACTAGAAAATAATCCACCTAATCCTATAGGTCCTCCATTACTTGAATTATTAATACCAGTAGTCATTGCACTAGAATTATTATTTTCCCTGTTATTCGACGAAGAAGAATTTCCTGTTTCAGCCTTTACCCTGCCTAAAAAAGAATAAACAAAAGTATGCTTCACTGCTTTGTCACAATTCTATTAGCTTCAGATTTACTGAGAAGAAAGGTGTAACTAAATGTTCTAATAAATGTCACGTATAGACTTACCACTAACTATGGGTGCACTTTTATCTACAGTCACAGTTTTCTTCAAGGATTTTCCAGCTCTAATTGATTGAAGAAGTAAACTTCTATCCTGATCTCCTGCACCTGAGTTAGATGCATTAAAAACAGGAGGTGGAGGAGGTGGTGGCGCAGGCATCTTTGCTTCAATCTTTACAAAAATATTTAATGTCCCTGACAAAATATATAATAAAAATTAGTAACTTGTAAAAAGAGCTCTAAATAATTTTAACAAAATTGGTCACAAACGAGAACAGCCGAAACACATTAAAAAGATAAGATTAGGATACCTACCCAGGAAACATTATAATTAGGTTAGTAAAAAAGAATTTTCATATCCTTTGTTTGCTGATCTTGGATAGCGTTAAAATCTTATGTTCCGAAATTAAATATCATAAAATTAATTATAAGAATCTTAAATTGTTTACCTAAAATTGACGAAAAGATAATCCCCTTAAAGTAAGGCGATCTTTAAAAGTACCGCACTTTATGTCTGTGTTTGATTCACTTTGAATAATTGAAACCCACAACATTCCAACATTTTCCAGTACGGAGCAATTTAAATATACTGTACAGTACTTTTTGCGATTACAAATCTACATTGATTCGTCATCCGGATGGATGATCGAATTAGCGAACATCTCGATAACGATCGACCGTTTGTTTATAGCACTGACGATTCATATTCGATAGGACATGCTCACGTCGAGTACTCTTGAATACACCACACCTGCCAAATCTTAAAGTCGTACTGGTAAAACGAGAACAATGATCTTCTCCTGTAGCTTTCACATCATTGGTTACGTGAAAGAGATCTACATCCTTCTTTTCCGTTAGAGACGCATACAATCATTTTTAAATAGTCTGATATACATATATCCTGTTCAACAAGAGATCATACTTATACGAATTTTCATTCGTTTTGCGCATGTTGGTTAGAATTCGTTCTGTACCCAAAGCCAATGCGCATACGTATTTTTGATTCTTATGAGGAGAAACGTATACATCCGGTGATCTTCTATCTTCTGTACCACGCATATTGCTACAACTTCCTCTTAATTACATATTTTTGTCTACCCGGTATATGGACAGCAGAGTAACTAGTGCTGACCAGAACTGGAAGTCAACTGAAATTAGCTGCGTTGCACTAATCAAATATGATCTCCGATTGCACAGGGTACAGATAGATTTGTTTCTTTATTTCCGTTTGTACTTGACAATTTGAATAATGAATAATGCCTTTATGTTTGACGTTACATTTATTCAAAATTAGAGATATGACAAATGGTATATTGAAAGAATTGAGAATTAATTAACATGATAAAGTAATGAAAAATATTTATAATTTGCGAGGAATCTAATGTTTAATAAATGGAAAACTATATTTATATAACATATGTTAAAAATACGTTTTAAAAGAATGTAAAAAATGCAAGATATATATTAGTTCATATTGTAATATCATTTGTTTAAAAATGTAGTTAACGTTATAATTAACATACATAGATATAAATAATACAATAGCTTTATTTTTGAAGAAGTACTTTCAACGTTTTTTATTCCGGATAACTGAAAGCATTATTTTAAAATGCATAACATCTTACCTTTCATTCTCTTTTTTATTTTTTATATTAACTATTGAACTATTGTGCCTGAAAAGAACAATGCAACATTATTGTCACTACGTGCCATAAAAATTTCGCTATAATAAGGTGAAAGACTGAACTTTTCTACACGCTGTAATATCAAAAACTGTTTATAAGTGTAAAATTCTTTTTGTGTAAAAGTGTTTTTACAGTAATATACAATTATGTACATATATACAGATCTCTTCTTTTCGGTACAAAAATAGATTATGCGCTATGAGTTATGATAATCCCTGTAGAATGTTTCCCTTCTCTTTCGTATCGTCGCAGAAAATAATTGCAATAATCTTTACTAACTGCCATAAACAATGCAACGTTACGATTACTAATAAATTTATCTTCCATCGATATCGTAACGTAACAACAACCAATGTTCAACCAACATTCACTCCTAAATTTTCAGAGGCAGACGAACCCGTTACATGGTTCCCTGTTTGGGGTTTTATATCATCCATGGGCTCTGAAATCACCATATCGGATTGTTCTGTCTCTTTATGAAGAGCAATGATAATTTTCTCTTCTGTAGAAGACTGACTGTCGGAAGAACCTTCTTGCGTTGAAGTAGCTGCTTCCTACGATAAAGAGAAAATTACCAGAATCAATCATAATCCCATAACTTGCTTCTATTACATTCTCATTATCCCAGAGTATAAATCTGCTTACCGTGCTCCGAATCTTTGTATGCGTCTTTATGTGTTTTGTTAAATGATCCGATCGCATGAATTTCTTAGTGCACTCAGGGCACTGGAACCTCTTCTCTCCTGTATGAGTTCGTCGATGCCTCTGAAGTTCATCGGATCTAGTAAATTTCTTACCACAAAATATCCAACTACAAACAAACGGTCTCTCTCCGGTATGCCACCTTAAATGAGCCCGAAGATGACTCGTTTTTCCATACACTTTATTACACCCAGCTATGTGGCAAACATGTTGCCGTTTTCTAGTCATATCTCTATTCCTAAAAAATCAGTTCAAGTTAACTGATATCAAAGACCACATCGATCGGTTTGAAAATGGTCTTACCTATCACCATCACCACAATTGGGACAAGTGCAAGCGACTCTTCTGCGATGTTGCTTATTAGAATCTGTTTCAATGTTTGTGGACGCTGCTGTATTTATCTGATGCTGATGAGAAATAGGAGTAGGTGTTGTTAAAGTGTTGTTCGATTGAAGAGTCTGTAGAATTTGCCATTTCGTTGCATCGTTTGAATCTAATTGCACTGTTGGCGCAGCTACGATAGGCGCAGCTGCTGTTGCAGGCAGAGTTTGAACGGTAGCGGGCTGAAGCGCACTTGCAGGTATAACTTGCACGTTACCCAAACCTGGAATATTTTGCACGGGTATCGACTGAAGGAAACCATTTGTTGCATTTATTCCAGCGGCTGGTTGAAGTTGCATTATACTTCCACTACCAACGCCCCTCATCATGTTACCTTGCTGGGCAGTTAAGTTTGCTAACGCTGATGCGGGAATTAGGGTTAGCTGTTGTGCTTGTGCTCCTATAAAATGCACGTTCAATGTTCTTTTCACAGAAACAAGTACAAGTAAATACTATAACAATTTATGTATATACCTGCAATTGTAATGGGTTGGACAGCAGGTTGCGTCGATTGAGCAGCAGGAATATGTATAACTTGACCACTTGCCAGTTGTCTAGCATCGATACTAGTAACTTTTATATCACCTTCGACCGCTTCCGGAGGTCTCGTTAAAGCTGATAACGTTTGCACGTCGATTTTTTGTCCATCCTTGGTAGTAATTACACTACCGTTTCCCGCGACTGATCTTCCAAGTGTACCAATACCAAGTACCTGTAAAAAATACACGTTTAGTTACGTACTTAACGGTATAAACTACCGTGTTAGTTACCTGAACATTGCTCGGAGTTGATACAGTTGTACTCCAAGTAGCTATAGTTGACGATGGCGTGGATGACTGCTGCTGTGCCTGTTGAACTTGTTGCTGTTGTTGTTGCTGCTGTTGTATGACTTGTTGAACTACTTGTTGTACTTGTTGCTGCTGTTGTTGTTGCTGCTGCTGCTGTTGAACTTGAGCTTGAGCCGCTTGTTGTTGCTGTTGCACGGACTGCACTACTTGCGTCTGTTGTTGCTGCTGAACTACTTGTTGTTGTGCCTGCTGTTGAGCAACTTGCTGAGCTACCTGCGTTACTTGTTGACTCTGCAAGCTTTGAAGCTGTGGTATGTTAGCAATTTGGACCTGCTGAATTTGTCCATTTGGTGTAATAATTTGAGCCATTTGTGGAATTTGCTGCAAGTAAACGTCGGCGCTTTAAATCTTGTGTTAGGAGTTAAAAAGATCCTTCTTTATATTTTAAACGTACCTGGGTAATCTGTGGTATCATTTGCGTGGTAGGCACATTAAAAACACTGGACAACGCTTGGACAGGAAAATGCACGGTTTGATACACGGTTTGACCGTTACTAGCAGTGACTGGTACTTGTACAGGTACAGTTTGCTGAACGTGTTGCATAGGAAATTGAAGCGGCCTAACTTGTACACTTTGCCCTGTAACATAAATAGCATTGCATTCAATTTTCAAATATATATAAAATATAGATTTTTCCTTAGCTTAAAATACGTACCTGTTGGTAGCTGAAGAGTTTGCCCAGTTACATTTTGTATAATAGAAGTAGGAAAGACATTAGGTGCTCTTATTAAACTAACCGGTTGAGGCGTGATGATTGTTTGCCCATTAGCCAATTGTACTTGCTGACTAGCAAGTTGTACTTGCTGTCCATTAGCAGTAGCAAATTGCATTGTGGGCTGACTCTGATGATGTCCACTTGCAGCAGACATAGCAGAAGAAGGAATAAAAAGCGCTTCTTGACCATCTATATTTACAGTTTGCATCTGTGGTATAACGCTGTAGCTAAGTTGTTGTTGCTGCTGTTGCTGTGACTGTTGTGTTTGCTGCTGTTGTGATTGTTGCTGTTGTTGTTGAAGGGCAGCTTGAGCTTGAGTGCTAATTAACTGAGCACCCTGAAACGATTGTTGCAAAAGTTTAAGATACAAATTTGCAATCTATTGTTTCTCAAAGTCTAATAGTTGTGTACCTGTAAAAATTGTTGAGGCAGAGATTGTACAGAAATCGTTTGCGCTCGTTGTTGATCATGTTGTGGTTGTTGAGTTTGTAAAGGCACAAAATTTTGCAACTGTTGCAATGTAATAACTTGTGGCTGTTGCTGCTGTTGAGCTTGTTGTTGAACATCTTGCTGTTGTTGTAGCTGCTGCAGAACATTTGCACTTAGAAAACGAATCTGAGGTTGGGCAGTTTGTTGTTCCATTTGCTGCTGCTGTTGCTCAGCATCATCTTGCTGTTGTTGCACTTGTAAGGGATCATGATCTTCAATATCCTCCTATGAATTAATACAAAAATTTATTTTGTTTCTATTCATTTTATTTATATCAAGATCTTAAAATAATATTTTTTATGTCTCATACCTGGGTGATATTTCTTCCATCTACACTTCGCTTCATGATGAAAATATCTGTCGCAGATTCTTTCCAAGGCAAACAACAGAACTATATCGATGCTAATTTTTTCTTAGAAAGACCTTTATGCTAGGAATCCATTCTTTGCTATATGGAATCCTGTTGACTCTTCAGTTCACTATATGTGAAAATGCTCGTCTCACGAGCGTTTAATCTGTGAAATCATCAGTACATTAAATTTATTTTAGTCTGATACATGTCTATTTGAAACAAGGATCTTCACCAACTTAGTTATAATCGTAACGACCCTTCTGCAAAAAGACTGCATCTGGATTGATTTTTCTTTCCTCTTGTTTACAAGCAATAGAGTGAACAGCATAACTATACCAATAAATACAAATATTTAAGCTACATAAAATACATAGATGGAATATTTTATCTAATTAAGTAAGTTTGTAGTTTTAAGACTGCTGTAATACAACAGTGGCTCATCTTAAACTTGAAACCTAGACAACCCTATCTGTACTAATTAAATCTGGATAATAGTATTCTGCACCAGGTGAGGTTAGGGTTAAGCTAGGTCAGGTCAAGATACATGATTTGATTTCATCATTGACATTTGTTAACTTATCTTAATTTAATACGTTACATGAGAAGTGAGTTAGATTAGGTTAGGTCAAGTTAGATGAAGTTAATAGATTACAGTTGCTTTGATTATTAGATTCGATTTATGTTAAATCAAATTTTATCATTTGGATGTATACATTCTTGTTTAAACTTCAAATATGATCTAACCTAAATTAAAACATGAGTAATTAGATCCGAACAATAGGGTTACACGTTATATTCTACTTTAGTTACTCCTTTGCCATAACTATATTGTCGATATATCGAATTATCGATAACATTAACGTATAGCAGTAGCTCTAGCTCCATTTATTGGTACAGTTATGCTCCGCGCTGTATTTTTGTTCGAAATAGACGCACTTCACTTGTATTTCATAAGTGACGAACATCAACAGGAAACGTTGCACGCGAACCCAAACACCTTTTAGGCGTCCAACGACCGAGAAGCATCGGTGACTTAAACGATCTATATCGACACGTGCGAAGACCACTCTCTCCGAAGACAAAGAAGGCCAGAGAGTACTCCTCGAGAACCCAATTGAGGACCGCCTCTCTACGCCCCTGTTCCTGCCGCCCCACCCGCCGCTCAAAATATCACACTCCGTGGCAAGGACGCGCATAGCCACCGACACAGAAGCGCACGATGTGTCGTCACACCCGCCCACTCGGTCGTTTTGTCGGCCGTCCGTTTACTCACACTCTCACGTACCTGCGATAACGGGGAAGGCAGCCAGCCTCACGAGCCAGCCTCCACCCACTTTGCACATGGGACTCCACCTAACTCGCGAACCAGCACGTGCTTCTCTACGGAAACGCCAGTCTGCGCCTTCGTCGATCCTTTTTTCCTTCGGGAATCAGAGGATGCACCCTTTTCTGCGTCGCTAAGCTTCCTGATTCATCTCGGCTGTTAGTTTCAAGGCGGCCATTATATACGATGTTACGAATTATTCAGACGGGACGAATGTTCATGAATTACCGAGTTCTCGTAAAAAAACACGACCGAGACATCCTTTAATGTTCATTTAAAATACGTTAGACGGAACGCGTTCACGGATACGCATACCTACGCACCAACACACGCATACGAGCGTTCGACGTGTACGCGCGCGCGCACTGCGTAACCAGCGATCGCGGTCGACAATCTATGCCCTCGTTTGGCCGATACGTCCGCTTGGTATCGGTGAAATTTCTCGAATTTGTTCGTTCTTACTTGAAAGTGACCTCAACGGTAGATTAAACTAGTTATCACCGATTTAATGAAGTATTTTTTATGCAGCACTAGAAAATCGACGCTACGTTCAAAACTACCGCCAAAAGTACGTATATGGGACAAGCCAGCATTCTGTCTTGCCTGCTCGATACTTCGACGCGAAATCGTTCTACCGACCTCTTCTACCGAACAATTCTCGCTAGGAAACGATGTTGTACGCTGATTGTAGATCACCTGGGACACGATCCAATTTCAACGTGATTTCAACACGTGCACGTAGATCCGCAACGTGTTAGTCGGCAGTCCCTCGCGAACACAGGGCTACGAATACCGCTATGAGAGGACTACTTTCGCCGTGGGGCGGTACACGAGGTGGCAACGTCGCCGTCTGCAAAGTGATCGGACGAGGGCTGTGATTGGTCGTGCTTGCCTCGCGATAGCTAGCTGCGAGCAGAGGTTTGTTAGACAGGGGCGTACGCAGGAACCGTCGGACGCCCACCCTGTCGAAGAGGGATAAACGATGCACACCTCCTACTTTCTCTGGCCTTCCTTCCCCTCTTTTTACCAGTGCTCCTCGGTCAGGGCCACGCTTTTAGCGGGGTCGCGAACGACGTTACCTCGTTGTTATAGCTATGTTCTCTCTTGCTCCAATCACTATGAACACACTGATTGTTTGATGACGACCAGCCAGAGAAGGGAGGAGCTGTACTCCCTCGCTATGCCGCCGCCCTTCTTTTCATAATAACCGAGCTTCACGATCTCTTTAGTAGCCATGTACCTACGATGTGTGCACCTAGGAACACATGTAAAAACTGAGCATGTGAGGGGGAAGTTATTACGGGACGTGGCGAGGTTAGGCGATGCCCAGGTTTGATTGGCTGCCAACAGTAATAGCTGTTACAGGTCCTACAGGGTCCTTGTTCGTTGTCTTTAATTGATTTCGTTTGAAGGCACCGCTTTATACGTAAAAAATAATATAAGCGTTTATCTACACATTTCTGTGGAGATTCTACCTTCAAGATGACTAAATTAATTACCATAACAGTTAAGGGATAAATAATGAGAGTAATATTGATTGGTAATTAATGTACAATAAAAATAGTCCAATATGGCTTTTATTAAGTCAATGGTAATGACTATGACAGTGAAATAAATTAATCTCTAACGTCGATTGTATTATGACTGGATGACGCTAGTGACAATAAATTAACAATAATTTAAATAATAGATAGTCTATATAGATTGATTCTAATATACATTAACAATTAATACAATTTACAAATAAATCCATTTTCAAGTCCTAATAATAAAATTGAGTTAACTCATGGCATGTATAATCGTCACGGGTAACATATCTAGGGACAAGTATTCACAATACTTGACGATATTGTTACATGAAATGAAACATAATAAAGATCTTAGATGACCAATATATACTGACAATATATGTTGATCGTCTTAGGTCAAGATGGTATTAATTTACTGAATGGCAAAGATGTTCATTTTTTGTAATCTATTGATTATGTCTTTTAAAACGTTCGCAACCGATAACGAGTAATAAAATTTATGAAAATTTACAATGTAAAGAACGAACGAGTAACATCAATTTTTGAGAATTACAACGACTCGATATACACTTAATCATAAATACGTTTTAATCGTGTCACTGAATTTCAGTGCTGTACTCGGTGAAGATCTTATATACAAATAGAACACGTTTGCTCTTGCATAGTGAAAAGAAAACTGAAATGCTGTACATAAGATATTTACATACATAAAATTTCAATTAAAAATCAAACATAACCGTAATTGAGATTTACACTTATGCGATAAAAAAGATAATGAATACCACATAAATTCTTGTTCGTTGGTGTGCGAAGTCAACCTAAAAACGTTCGTACTAGAATCAAACTACACGTTTGAAGTTCGAAGTGAACAAATATTATATAATAAATAGTTTGTCGTGACAGTTTAAATATTTTCATTGCATTAAAAGTGTACGCATATTGTACAATGGCCGTAAGATATGAATGCCTTTACAGTCCACCGCCTGATCTCTCTACACTGATTTGTTTCTTTAATATTTCTTTCTCGTGTTGTGCTTCTTCCATTTCTGCCATCCTTGCGAAGCGCGAATATGCTACGTGTCCAGATTTGATAGCTGACATCATCTGTATGAACAAGAAAATTATAATTATGAGAATCAGTCACAGGGCAAAAAAAATATTCCATACAATCTCAAACTATCGTAATTTCGATTTAGCACCAAGAGCAGCATGACACTAAAATACTTTGCAACAGAGAAAAAACAAACAAAAGGATAGAAGTACTGCATTGTGTCAGTCGAAACGGCAGTATTAGATGTCTATCGACAGATTAACGTTTTGAAAGTAAGAATAAATTGTCCGTGCAAATACAAAAAGAATACAGTCAAACTTGTTACGATAAATGACAAGAAAACCAACAGGAAGAGTTATGGATGCATCTGTTTCGTTTTCAACAGGTCTTTCAATCTTCTTTGTAGAATTACAAGAAGTACTAATTCCGAACAATGTTAAGAAACAGAACACTGAATGATGTGTGTGAAATAGGGCTCTTGTTACCCAAGTTTCGAGTACTCAAGTATCCGGACTCGTAAATTTGAGCAACAGTAAGAGCCCTAGTATGAAGTAACGCAACAAAAAGAAATCTGAAAGCAGCAATATCGTAACGACAACTCTCTGCGGGCGAATTTGCACAGACCTGAAGGTATTCGTCCAACTCGACTTGACCATTCATATTAGTGTCGATTTCGCGCAGTATTTCGTGAAGCTCTTCACCCGGTACTTCCTTGTCACCGAATAGCTGCGAACGGTAAAAAATATACTAATTAAATACGTATTCAATGATTTACCTGCAAATAATCTTGTAGTTCCATTTGCCCATTGTAATTGAGATCAATTTCATTGAGCAAAATGTGCATCTCATCTTCGCTCAGTTTTATGCCAAGTACCTGGACATCGACAATAAAAGGTGTAACAAAAAAAAGAGAAAAAAAGAAAACATTTGTAGACATAGTACTCGTATATACCTTGAGTCCTCTCCTGATGTCATTGATGGAAACGTATCCTTTGTTGTCTTTGTCAATGATTCCGAAGCGTTTGATGTACAGCTGTATTTCTTCTTTCGTAAGGTTAATAGGAATCTTGTCACGTGATACGCGGTTGACCGTCTGTCCCATTTCGTTGGCAAGGAACTCACTGGCTGCTTTATGCTGCTTCTTTTTCTCGTCGTCCGACCAGTGCAATTCTTCTGCCATGATGTCTATGATAACTGGAAGGGCTTCTTGAGCCGCTTGAACGTTCAAGAACGCTAATCTTAATCGTCGTGCAATCATGTCAATCGCTGTTCTTGCATACTCGCGAACTCCGTATCGAATCTGAAAGCAACCGTAATTAATTTTTATATCGACGAGTTGAGAGAAACGTTGAAAAAACTTACTTCGGCATCGATATACGGAAATTCAGGGTGAATCTTTTTGCCTATTATTGGCCATCGTTTACCCGTCAGAGACGCCATTTTCGCTACAGCAAATGCACGGTCTCCGTAACTCTTGGCTAGGTGCTGTGCAACTTCAAATTCCAAGCCAAAATCCTGTACTAATCTAATATACATCGTTGGACTCCACCCACGAGCTCCCTCCAAGAGGAAACCATTAGTCTGGCAGGGCCTTTCGGGCTTCAAATCGCAAGCTTAACAAATTGAATAATAAATTAAAGCTTTGTCTAGGATGGACCAGGTCTTTAGCTTTATGAATAGTGCTAATGCCAACGATTAGCAAATACCTCTTATAGCTGCATCGATTGTTTCTTCAGCCATTGCCCTATACGTAGTCCACTTTCCTCCGGCTATTGTAATAAGTTTAGAGGGAGCAACGTGTACTATATGATTTCTAGCGAGTGACTGGGTGTTGGGTTTGTTCGGGTCGGAAACAAGGGGCCTGATACCGCTCCAAGCGGATAACACGTCTCCACGACGTACCTCAACATCTGGGTTAAGATAGTTTTTAACTTCGCATAAGATAAACATAATCTCGTCTTCGGTTGGTCGAGGATTATGTGTTACTTCGCAGGGCAAATCGGTCGTTCCTGCGATCGTGTGTTTTTGCCAAGGTAAGAAGAAAATTACTCGGCCATCGCTCGTTGATGGATCCAGCAAGCCCATCTGATCGGGACTAAATGAAATTAAACCGATCATTATAAACGTCTGAATATCATTTTAAATCGAAGTTTGGTCATACATTAAATTATTTCACCTGTAATAACCTGGAAGAACGACATGAACACCAGAAGACGGACAACAAATTTCTGGTATCTGTGGATCATCCATTTTTCTTATGTGATCCGTGAATGGGCCTGTTGCGTTTATTATTGCCTTTGCCTTTACGTCCCATTCCTCGCCCGTGAGTTCATCTCGTAAACGAGCACCAGTAAGTACTCGATTACCATCCTTTAAATACATGAATCTTATTTCAATACAGAATCTATTATGATACAATTAGATTATCTATTTAGCCACAATCAAATATCAATACTGGTACCTTATCACGACCTTTTAAGAGATTAACAACTTTAACGTGATTTACAACTGTTGCTCCGTGTCGTGAAGCAGTAAGAGCGACCGCCAAATTCATTCTAGCGTCATCTTGTTGACCTATTACACAAAAAAGCACGAGATTACAGAAATTTTTTCATGACATTACGCATACCAGCGATAAGCGTTTAAAAAATATTGATAATAAACGGTGAATACCAGTAACAGAAACATACCATCATAATAAACAATCGCGCCTGTAAGTTTATCTCCCTTCAACATAGGAAACAGTTCTAAAGCGTCTCGTTTGCTGAGAAAGTATGATGACTTAACTGTTTTACTTCCAGCTACCAGATCATACATCTTTATACCAAACCAATAGTAAGGTATTTGCCACCATCTGTTAAAAAATGTTTACATTATGCACCAACATTTTGTGTTTAAATGTAGAGAAGCAATGAATGATTAACGCACGTATAAACTGGTAACATAATAGGTAAAGGATGAGCCAAATGAGGCGCACTGTTCAACATAGATGCTCTTTCATGTAATGCTTCCTTAACCATTCTGTATTGCTCCACATCCAACTGCATGATGGCTTTCTGTAAATAACGGACTCCTCCATGAATGAGTTTTGTACTTCTGGAAGATGTGCCAGATGCAAAATCATCTCCTTCGATTAAGGCTGTCTTCAGACCTTCAAGTAAAATACAGTATGCATTAAAAAACATTCAATGTAACTTCTTTCTTTTAATAGCTGTAGAAGTACCTCGTGTACAGGCATCCAATGCGCATCCAGCTCCTGTTGCACCACCACCAATGATAAGGACATCATATTCGCCATGAGTTTTTAAAGTTTTTAGTTGGTCCTCTCTGGTTGGCAAAGGTCTTTTCGCAGGCTTTGACTTTGGCTTGTCAGCGTGCACCTATCACAAAAAGGAAACTGTTAATTTTTATAACTGTTTTCTACATGACGTTCTAAGAAAACTGGCTTTTCTTTCTGAAGTTACATAATAGTTCAGTTATAATAAAGGATAAAAGATAGTTTGAATGTGATTTATTATTTTCTGTTATTTACGCGCGCGTCAAAACATAAGACTGTCATCACTATAGACCCACCTGCTAACCACTGACCTTGGATAATCAATCTCGGATGACTAACAATAGAATTAACTGTTCTAGTGATTTCTCGCAAACGACGAGTCAATTTACTCGAATAAATTAAATTGTTCACATTACTCGTGTAAATTATCACAACGATTTCTAAACCGTTTAAATGAAGTACAATCGCAAAAAACGGACTTAGTGAGCGTATCATTGCGCGATATATATAGAACGAGGATTTAAAAAGCTATGGTTTATAACACGTTCGAAATAGCTCAGCATCCCTGATAGCTGGTCCTGGTTTGGCACAGACCTTGCTAGCAGTGAAATTTCAGTAACCATGTGACTGCTGTCTGATCACGAAATATTATACAACATCGAATATGTATTAGTATACATCATAGGTGGTTTATTATCGCGTTTTCGACAAACCAAATTTTCGTCAAAATCTTCGCTGCTATCAGATTATCGCAATCTCTCAAGTACCTACATGTAATTTTTGAAATATCATCTTTCGCGATCTGAAATTTTTTAATTTTTAAATTTGGCGGGCGAATCAATGGGATGGGGGGAATTGGTATACGCTAAGTGAACAATTACAATTTAAGTACAATTGTTTAAGTATTTTTGCAAGTCAAATAAGAAACAAAAGAAAAACGTCTGAAAGGATAGCTTATAGATACGAATAACTTTCAAATGGAAAGTTACACAATTTTTGTTTACTTGTGCAAATAACACGAGGGAAGATAATATACATCGTTCGAAGAAGTGAAAGATGTTTTATAGTAATAAAAAATGGTAAAACTTACGGTATTGTCGGATAGTAATAAATACGACGTAAGGGCACTGGCACCGATGGCACTTGCACCCCCTACTAATAACTTGAATGTTGCCATTTTACGTCACAACTGATTTGACAATCTTTTCGGAAAGATCTGAAATAAATTAAAATCTCTGGTGATTAAGATTAAACGACGTCATTCGTTGGTTGGAAGTTATGTAAGACGAAGGCGAAATGAAAAAACTTATGAAGATATATACCGTTATGAATTACTAAACAGCAAAATATCCACGAAACGATAAGTAGCTATTGCATTATAAAAACTTGAATCAAACCGATTAGATAGACAAGATCGATGTCTACTAAACATCGAACGTGATTTTCTGACCAATAAATCGATGCTCCTGATCTATTTAGTGAGTCACTGTTCACTATTTGGCAATATATCAACAGGTGCAATGTGCGCGACGGTCACGAGGAAATGTTACTCTAAAAGAAACAACGATACTATTAATGATTTTTAATTAGTATAATTATTCGCAAATTGATATGCAAATTTCACTTTTCCCGGTAAAAAATAAAGCTCATCGTATAAAAACACTTCTTTTCTTCTTTTAAATACATAAAAAAAAGTATTCGAACAGTTCGTTGGCTTCTTTCGAAAAGCATTCATGTATAAAAAATGACTCATTGGCAAATATCCCGGAACAGATTTATCGAGGTATCGATGGCTTTCATTTATCGCACGTGACATACCAACCCTGTATCTCGATATATCACGTCATGTGGCAATTGAATGTGTCACACGTAGCGCGCGCATAATAGTTCATATGTGTAACGATGTAATAATTTAACGATTAGGAACCTCGAGTACAAGCGAATTACTTCATTGTGCTATAATTACTCCGATGTGTTAAAAAGTATACTATTTGATAACCAATAAAATCCGTGGAGAAGTGATTACACACACAGGGTGGTCGCTATGAATTATCAGCAAAGGAAATACGTGCGATTGATAACAGATACATGGACTGTACTACACGCACGAACTAATAAAGATTCTTATCTTTAATAAAAATTGAACTAAGTATACTGATATAACTGTCTTAAAAAGGAAATATAAATTGCATTTACAAAAAAGAAGACCACACTGACAAATACGTGCGAAATTTCGCGGCAGTTGACAGACTACTATCGATTATTCACATACTATCGATATTTTGTTTACATTTAACGGTATATCGATTACACCGTTGAGACGGTATATCGTCTCTTCACATTCAACGCTATTTAATTTTATTTAAATTTCAAATGTAACCTCGTGTTATCTATCCTAACCTATCCTAATCTAATATTAACTTTACATATAATTTTATCATTGCAAATAATTTATTCTTATTGTAGCTATAAATATTAATTTAGTTTTACTTCGAATAAAAAGCAAATTTGAATAGTAAATTTATGTATCGGGTATGGAATAAATTATGTTTAAAAATTATATTTAAATAATAAAATTACGTATTAATTATTTCTTTCGACATTTACGCACTTACATTAACGACATTATCGATACATCGAATTATTGATAAAATATCGACGTTATCGATATATATCGATAATGGCAGCTCTGCGCGGTAAATACTGCTATCATCTGAAGTGTTAAAAAATAATTCACACTATATTCGCTACGAGACCTTGACAGTCCCCTAAAACACGTGGAATTACGTAAGTCATCGCTCACGTAATCAACCAATACCAGTATTTTTGTATTCTTCAATCAAGACTTCTCACACAAGCAGCACATTTCAAAAAAATCGACAATGTCATTGGCGCACAAATAAATTACAAATTTTCAAAGTATAGCTATAAAAATGAATAAGAAAAACAAATTCATCTCGGTAAATTGTGCAGTGTCACAAACCTTTGCATAATATTCTTTGCATAAAGCACTCTAAAATACGCGTGTATTGCAATAATACAAAAGACGAAAATGATGTCGCAAAGCTGAGTTTTAAAATAGCACCCGCGAATCTCGTGCCAAATGCCTTCGAATGTCATTTGCATTAAAGACGTTCTCATTATACAATGCACACGATATATCGTAGGGAAAATAACAAAAATGTTTAATAATTTCTAAGGAGGCATGGAGTACGATCACTGCATTTTAACGAAACAGTCCTTCGTGGTACATCGTCTTCGCGCATATCGAAGGGTAACAAACCGAAAAGTAAGGTTATAAAAAATGTATGAAAATTAAAAAGATGAATGACTCTTACCACCAAATGTTAAACAATTATCAGAGAAAATGAAGTATTTGCGTCGAAAATGATTCAAATCTTTGATAATCGTCAATAGCTAGATAGTTAGAAAATATTGACAATCTTATGAGTATTAGTGTCTCGTTACTTACTGTAAAATTGATTGACAGTTAACAGACTGTTTAGAACACCCGCGCACGGTGGTGGTGAGTGTGATATGTGCAACTAGAGATTAACGATGCACATATTTAACAGAGATGCCGGTACACATTTCACCGAGTCGCACAAGCGAATGGACTGTAGCGAATAATCATTCAAGAGTATGGACCTAGGAGTATAGGGATGGAACGTAAGCTTGAATAAGAGACGAAGAGAACGGAATCAACAAAAGAGGGGGTGTTTAATAGCTGACGTCCATATTTGATTGGTCGTATTTCTGCGCGTGCTCTGTACCGCTAATTATAAAAACTGAAAATCACTGATTAATACTAGGTCTGTTTGATTAGGCGCTCCGCACCTAACCTAACAATGTTGAGTGAGCAAGTAAATTTCACGCTAAAGCAAAAATAGTCAACCGTGTCATCCGGTTGAATTGGTTGAGTGGTGCAAGAGAAAAGCGTGGACAAAAAAGTTGAAAAGTCAAGTACATAAGCGCGAGCAAATTCAATTTTGCATTAAAGTCTACGAGGATATGGTTTTTCGCTAATTATTCTTCCGTGGCAGCGCGTAGGAGGAATATACACAACAATGAGTATGCAAAATCGTTAATTACTCACTTTCTAAGCACAGTTTATGAACTTTTATGATTAAAAAATGGTCAGCAATGCATTATTTACATGGATCGATCATGAAAGTTCATAAATAATGTTCGGGTAATGAGTAATTAATTATTTTGTGTCAGCATTGCGATACGTACATGAGCCGCCTATGTCAATTCTACTGCACATGCAAAGTGCAATATTTCGGCACTTTGACGACGTAGTATGGTTCCTGAGGCATTTAGAAACAAATTTCTATTAGGGTTTGATGCGTTTTGATGCTTAATAAAGCCAGAAAATGAATTTTTGTCGAATTCGGTTCAAAACGGTACATGTGGCGCCATCTAGCGGCGAGCGGCGGAACTACGAAAAATTAAAATTTCGATTTTCTCGAAAACTAGGAACTTTTCCGAAATTCTGAGATATACAAATTGTTCCTTATCGCCTACGGAATCGAACGAATGTAATTATAGCCCGCTAGGACAATTATTAAGGAAAATAGAAAAATAGCCCATTTCATGGACTAAAAAATTGGCGTCCATCTAGCGG